CGCCTTTTTTTCTATCGTGATGATATTTATAGTCGTTACAGAAATCAACAGCAAACAATTTATGATTCAACCTACAGATTTTTGACTATTTCATCGATTTCAACCTTTCTTTGTACCATCTCATCATCATTTTCCAGTACAAAAACTGAGGAACAATCGTTTCTGTATTAATTGTAGGCTAATTGAAAGGTTTTTGAGTTTGGACAGATTTTTGTGCGATTCTCTTCGAGCGGTTTATATTTATTTTTTCCCGGTACCTTGTTTAGCAGAGAATATGGCTTGTTTTCAAGTACCTTTACCTAAATCCATGAAACACCAAGGTTTGAACTCGATACACGAATACGAGCTCGCGTGATTCCTTAGTGAGGGAAGTGAAATTTATCGTATCATTTCGAATAGTTCCGAAATGATTGCGTGGTCGACCCATTGGTTTGAGTTTCATTGTCGGCAATCAATCGTTGGGAATTTCGTCAGATTATGATGAGGAATTATTTTAGATCCGATGCACTAGAACATTGATCGAGGATGAATCGTGGATTGAAAGATTTCATTTCTTTCGTGATCTTTGTGTTAAGCAAATTATTGTTTCTCGCGATCCGTGGCATTTAAAAAACCATTATTTATTAACCAATGTTTCTCTTAAAAAATCGACATGTTGTTCCTGCCCTGTTGGAAATCGCCTCAGAATGATCAAAACTCGAAGATACCGTATTTCTACTGCAAGTGAGACGTTGAATGAATTCATGATTTCAGTTTTTTCTTTTTTGGAGGAAAGTCATCTTCTCCCTGCCCAGTCTACCCAAAACCTCCCTAACTCTCTAGGAAAGCCCAAAGGAGTAACAGTTGTGTAATTATTTGGATACCAGGATGTTTATTTACAAATTTTGTGTCGGCGGCCGCCGTCGCCACACAACGATATTTAATCCAGGCGCCTTGCCTCGATTTATAAATCTTTTTGGCTTATTATGGCGATGAATTGCCGCCCAAGTCGGCTGTCTTTTTGTTCCGAGAAGGAATATTTGGGCGTCAAACGTAAATAAGAATTTTCTATTATATCTTGAGAAGAAATGAACTTTTTTTAAAATCATACTTATCCCAAATTTTTGAAAAACATCATTTTATGCAAATGAAACACTTTTAACGATAGTTCATAGGTTTGTTTCGTTCGGAATTTTTAATGACGTCACCAAAATCTTATAATCTTCAGAAGAATTATCAAAACGGAGCCCTGGAGTATGAACTTCACATTTTTTTTTCCGCAGGCTTTTTTTTTGTAGTTTTCCATGACCTCGCTATTCTTTCAATTATCATGTCCCCCAACGAATTAATCGTCAAAAAACGTGAAAACGAGAACTAGCAAGATGAAGGGCCAACCAAATCTCGAGTGCTATCACCTGGCTCTCCGCCCTCTCCGAAACCCATGCTCTCTCTTCGGCGCCACCGTATTTGCTCCAAAATGATCATCTCTCGACGGCGCGAACATCTCGACAAATAATGCTCACAACTGGGGTCAACTTCTTGGGGGCTTCTGCTCAGATTCTGTATAGGCAGATTTTGTTTGCCGATGCGCATTGTCAAGAGTGTATGTTGATTATTGTTGGTACCAAATTCGGGTCGAAGCTTCCGATTGGAGAATTCTGTCGTCATTAGTTGAAGTTTAATAAAAATACCTATTTTCCTTAGTGAGAAAAATAAGTATTCTGTGAAGTTACTTCTGAATGAAAACCGATAATTTTGAAGGTTTCTGAAGGAAATCTTGGGGAATCATAATGTTTGAAGTCTTCTTAGTTTTGGTTTGAAGTTTTTTTTAATAAGAACCAATTTTGCGAAAACTTCTGAAGTCATCTAGAGGAATCAGAGGAGGCTTTGACGTCTTCGGGAGGAGAAATGATGAATTTGACGACATCCCGAACAAGAAGAGGCTCTATATGATCTTTCCAAAGATAGAATGATTTTTTGACTTCTGGTAGGGTGATAATGACGCAATTTCTTTTTTGTCCTCCATTTTTTTTAAACAGAGAATGGTCCCCGGTCGCAGTGGGACTTCTGAATTACACCAGGTTTTTAAAAAAAAGAAGTTTCTAACAAATCGAGAATATATTCATTTTTAGTGACGTGGTTTGGAATGACGTCATAGATTCTCATCCGATTAAAAAAACAGTCAATTTTTGATGCTTTGAAAATTCGCAGATTCTAATCTTTTTGCAAATGAACCTGTAAAGTTTCGACGAAAAAGAAAAAAAAACCCCAAGAATCACCTGAAAATATTTTTCTTTGTTGACTTTCAAAAAAAAAAAACAACTTTTTTCCTTGTCCCTCTCATAATTTCCTCAGACAAAGGCCGGGATCCGCCTTGAATAACGGTACCTCCTTCTCAAAGTCGCGTTCAATTTTAATTGCGATTGTCGGACACGACTGGTTACCCTTCCGCGATCTTCCAACGATTTACCTCATCTTTCTCCTTTTCTTCTGAAGTTTGCCGACCCGAATCGGCTTTGAGCTGTCAGTTATGGTCAACAAAATTATCGGCCAGTTTTCGAGGAAGTTTCTGGGTTTTCTCGACATTATTTTTAACAAAGGAAAGGGCTTAAAAAGATGAATCTTGAACTTTCGAATCTTCCTAGTTTGCGAAACTCATCCTCTAACAAAGTAACAAAGAAGGAAAAACAACACAGAAATTATCTTTCTTTTTTTGTTCTCTTTTAGTTTCGCTTGGAGGAGATTGTTCGGATGGAGGGCGAGAAGAAGCGCCTCACAAAATGTTTGCTATCAGGTGGAGCCCCACCACAAAATCTCCTTCGACATTTGTCGATTTCGCATTTGAGTGTCTTTTCTGTGTGTCTTTGGGCCTCATCGTGTGGTGTATGTGCGCAATGAATTACGGTACTTTTCGATTTTGATCCTTCTGATTTGTCCCATCGTTTCTGTTGAGCTTTCTGAGGTTTTGGCTTCTGATATCGGAGCAACTTTGACCTTGCTCAAAGTTTTCTTGAAGTAGGCGGCCTGAAATAACACTTTTCTTTCACAATTTTCACAATTTTAAAGACCTTAAGAGCACCCTGAAAGATTCAAAAGTTTTTTGCAATTTTTTGGTAGCTTTGAGTTTTGTTTTTCTGAAGGACTGTTTTTTTCCCCTTAAAACGGTCATTAATGTCCTTTACTTATCCTTAGGATCTCCCTTGAGTCTAAAATTTATCCCAAATCAACACTTGAAGGGTAAATTTGATTTTAAGTTTACATTTATCATTTCATTTTGTTTTCCAAAGTTTTGGGACAACATGAATGGACCTAGAGAAAATTCAGATATCTAGGTTCCTCAGAACATTTGTAAAACAATAAATTCAAATCACAGTGTGGCAAAAATAGACTTTCTTTTGGTATAGGTCATAATTTTTCCGATCAATCTTTTAAAATAGTTAACAGACGTTATCAGAACCTAATTCTATCAAAATGTTATCCCTAATAACCTCGGGGTCTAAAGAAAACATTGAATTGACGCGAATCAAAAATGGTTGATTTTTCGGCAGAGACAATTAGCTGTGGGAGCGCAATTAGAGCATTGTTTCTTGACGGTATTGTTCCTCGAGAGCCACCTTGCCCCTCCCCATCCGACTGCTGCCAAACATAATTGAATAAACTGCACCCAGCCGCCTATTTGTTGCTGCAGCGCATATTGAAGCAGTCAGCTGCCCCGCACGATGAATTCTTTTGTCTGGCCAATACCGAACCAAATCATCACCTACCGTGTCATTTTTTTGACTTTTTCATGAGCTCCTAAGTTTCATAAACGTTGCTTGGATGGTTGGATAAGAAAAAATGATGCATATGACTATACAAAGTATTGACTATGGAAGAAGACGATTATTTTAGAGCTTTTTCTGAAATAAGTAGGCTTTGAAAAACTTTTCGAAGTTGAAATAAGGGATGTGTGAAGATTTTGGTAGAAGCAACATAAATTTTAAGTCGAACCTTGGTCCCGGACTTGTCTGTGCATTTCTAGGGACCACTTTAGCGGCGTCAGCCCTCTTAAATTGTCTCTAGACATTCTCAGAAACATCCGGGGCCCGTCCAGTATCTGTTACCGAGGTTCGAAAAGTTGCTCAGGGAAAAAAAAAAACATTTTTGTTGTCAAGTTTCAATAAGGCAACTTCATAATTACACTACTGATTATTATCACTTGGTTCTAGAAAAAGGTTTGACTTGATTAGGAAGTTCGACTAGGTGAGAAAGATGCGGAAAATTTAAAGTTTTTTGAGAGAATTGGTAGTGAATCCGTGGAATAAGTTTGAAAGTAGTTCCACAGATAACTTTGAAAGCACTAATTTGAAGAAATTTTTAATGGGTCTTTGGGGATGAATGATAACATCCTAGAGCCTTATAAGTTAATTTGAAGATAATCGCCGGCTTTTTTCTGACTTTTCCCCAATATATTCAGTTCCTCGACATCCTCGAGCCTCATACACTCCTCCTCAATAAAAACAAGGAATAATAGTCTCCTAAAGGACTCCAGACAAACGCCTCTTGCACTGTCTGGCTCCAGCCTCGCGCTTCGTGCTCATCTCGGGTTACCCCATTGTTCGCGCTCAAATCTAGAAGTGACCGGACAGACCTTTAGTCTGACTCTTCCTTCCCTTTCACCGGCTTTTTTCCCTCCTAACGACCGCTAATGTCTGGAATTTTGAGTTTGGCTCAGTATCGAGTAAAAATCTTGAGAGTTTTTCGGATTAGAATCTTTTCCTCAGATGTTTTGGGTAACAAGTTTTTGAATCAATTTGAAAATATCTTTGATTTTTTTCTCTAACTATTTGATCGAAGTTCGATTTTTCGGTATTTTTTTTTGGGTACGTCAATGGAAAAAAAAAATGTTTTTTGAGATTTTTCTAATGACTTTGCAATTTTAGGGCCGTTTATCAGAGCTCGTCGAAAAATCTAAAAGCCCGATCCGCAAATGAAAATGACTTGTCTCGTTATTACACATGAGGAATTTTCATGATGTCAGGATGCGGTCCCTAGAACCAGGTTAGGACTCTCAAAGGCTCTGATTCTTCGGAAAAAGACAACATATCAAGAACGTGTCGATGATGAGACCTCCAAAAAACGAACTCTGCGAGGAACTCCCGACGGCGCAATCAATCGCCGAAGAGGACCAACCACGGCGCCGATACCTCCGGCGACACAGCGGCACTTAGCACACACACATCCGAGAACCCTGCCGATAATTTATCGGCTGCCGCTCGAACAGAACAGAAAAGAGTGAAGGAAAAAAAAACGAACTGGGAGGAGGACATGTCAGTCAGTCTCTTGCTCGAGTTTCATCTCCACCTCTCTCAGCGAGACCTTGCCTGAGGGCAGCAGCCATCCCTGTGTAATGCTCTGAACGTGTGTGCGCGTGTGTGAGTGACTAGCCAATTGATGAATTGAATGAACGAAACGGAACATGTTCGATCGACACCTGATATCTCTCCCCGCTTTTTCTGATACGAAACCCACTGTGAGCTCTTATTTTATCACTCTCATTTCCGGGCGTCGGGCTTTTAAACTCGACCCTTTTCGCATACGAATTTTATTCATTCTTTTTTGGCTTTAGTCAGATCTCGGATTGAGATCAATCAGCTTCAAGCTAATCTAGGAAACACGGTGTAGTCAATCCTTCCCGACTTGAGAAGCAAGATGGGTAGATTGGCAGGAGTGAAGCGTTGCGTACGCAACGCGGTTTGGGCCCGAAAGTGGCCAGTTTTTCAATATTTTCAGTTTTTATGGCCTTGGAAATTTAGGACTACTGGATAACACTATAAAATAACAGACAGAGTATTTTTATTTTCTTCTTTTTTTCCGTGATTGCGCTCGACCTTGAGCTCCGTTTCTGTTGTTTCCAATCTAGTCAAGTGCCTTTCAAGTCCGGAAAAACTTACAATATAATTTACAATATGGCTTTTCTTTTTGAATTAGGCTTGTTAAAGGTAAAGTTTTGGTGCGTTGTCGGCCGTTTTTTCAAGCTAAATTCAAAATTTTTGTATGGTTTCCTTCTTGGCTTTTGTTTCTGGTTTAGGTCAGTGAGTCGGGAGAACTCGAAATTTGGGTTAACTTTTTTCTCTTTTTGGGCCTAAAATCAAATATTACTGAGTTGTTAGCTTTTCGTATTCATTAAGGAATTCAGGTTCGATTTTCAAAATTGGTAATAAGAGATTTTTTCAAAGAAATTTTTCACCAGGTCGGTCCCTTTTGGATCAAAAGGAGTCGTGTTCGGCTCTCCCAAATCCAAAAATTTGTAAAACTCGACCAGCATGAATCAATGAAAAAGATGATGAAGAAATGAAAATGATAATTAAGAAAGGAACAAAATTCATCAGAAAATAAGAACGTCCGCACTTTCAAAGGATCCTCACTACCGTAGTCCCTTTGCTGGCAGCCACCTGGCATCTCATTAAAATGGCCCGAGGGGGTGGAGCGCGTCGCGCGCGCAAATTGAGGCCTGGCCTTGGCGAAAGTGGGCGTGGCTTAATCGTGTCCTCCACAAGCCAATAGTGGAAACGGGCTCGACAAGCATATAGGCATATAGCATACAAACAGAAGCACCAACTTCTTCATTTTGTTTTTTTTCGATCGCTTTTTTTCAAGATTTAAGTTTTGGACTTTTTTAATCTGGAAAACCCGACTTTAAAAAAGGGACTTTTCTTGTAGTTTTTTTTTGTGTTTTGCACTGCTTGTTGATTTATTGACCTTTTCTCATCAAAGATTGGAAATTTCGGTTTTGGGATTGGAAAAGTAGGCCTTCACATCTTCTAAATCTTCATTAATTATTCTTTATTGAATTCCGAGATGATACTATGACTCATTCGGAAAGTTAGTACGTCCGCCCTTCTAAAGCTTTTTGTAAAGGCTTTTTGTAACTTTTTTTTTTCAGAATTTCAGGTTGCTTACCTGATACGAAAAAAGGTATCGAAAAACTTTTTTTTCTCTTGGAAATGTGAAAACATTCAAAATTATAATCTTGTAATATTTCCTCACGATATTTGGAGAAAAAATCAGAAAAAAGGCTCTCATTTTAAAGAAGCTAGGCTTTATCTTATAACCATTGAAAATAAGGTCAAGAAAAAATGTTTAATCAACTTTTTTTTTCGAAAACAAAATTTGGAAAGTGCGGCCGCCGGCGACGGCAGCGGTGGCTGGAAAAACGCATGGGAGGCGAATGATGATATCTTTGACAAGCGTCATAAGAGATGCTTCAGATGCTGTAAAGTATCAATTCATTTTCTATCGCATTCCGGCAGGAAAAGCCTCAACTGAGTCTCCGGCCCCAGTTCTTCTTCTTCTTCTTCTTCCATTTTTTTCTGCTTTTTGAAATTTTCAACTTTTTTTTTGAACTTTTTTCACTTTGTATGTGCTTTTTTTTCGAGATTTTGAAGTTTTGAGAAGCTTTTTTCAGCCAACTGCTGTTGTTGATTAGACGGTTTTTGGGATTGGGAAATTTTTTTGTTAGTTCTCTGAGTTTCTTATTTAGTATTTTAGAAATTCCTTTCAAACTTTTTCGGTTCTTGATCTCGCAAAATGGCTTAGAATTGATCGAAAAGTTTGGAAATTTTTCAAATCTTTGAAAAATTTTTTTAAAAAGTGAATTTAAGCTTTTTCTGAGAGCGGTTTCCGGAATTTTTAATATGAATGAATTTTCATGGAAAAACTTCATTTTTCTTGATTCTCAAATTTAAAAAATATTTTCAGACCTTTTTTCTAAAATTGATAATTGTTTTCTTTATTTTGTTTCCTTTATTTTCTTCATTGATCGCATTTTTCTCTGATTTTTTAAAAACCTTAGTGCTTTAATTGTGAAAAAGGGCTTTATCATTATTTCGAAGTTTAAAAAAACAGTAAAATTCCATTTTTTTCGATTTATAGAAATTTCAACAACTTTTTTTATTCCAAAATTTGTCTTGAAATTGATTTTTCTGTCGCGAAAACGCACTTGAGATTGATCCACTGATCTCCCGAGTATTAGACAGGAGCTGTGCTCTTTTTGCACAAAAAGTTTTCAGAAGATTTCGACGCAAAAATGTCAATTCCTCATTTCTGTGCGAACTTTCTGAACCTGTTGAAGCTCAAAAACGCATGACATCCTAAAAAAAAGCCGCGTCGCACCGCCCGATCCATGCGTCGCGGTTTTTAATTCTCACTCTTCTTCTTCTCGACAACTGCCTCGCAGTTATGAAAGGGAAATATTACAGCCAATCGTGTTCGTTTCGTTCCGTTTCATAAACTGCGCGCAGAACACAATTTTTTCCGAGAGAGATGTTGAGAAGGAGACAGGGAGAAGGTCGACAAAAGAGTGCGAGAAATGAAGAGAGCCAAAGTGTCTCTCTCGTGGTCGTCATAAAAATATTCGTCGCCCTCCGACATTTTTCCCGCATCTCAACCGCAGGAGAAGAGGAAGGATTACGGTATCAAACGAATTGGGGCGTGGCTTTTATGGTGATGATGCGCCGGCAGTAGTCTCCTCTCCACTACTGGGTTCAATCGGCTCTCGTCCTTTTAGGGGCTGCAGAGAGGTCACTTAAGGCTTCAGTTGTTGGTCCTCCGGCGAAAGCTCGAATAAGTTGTCTCGAAAAAACTCTTCATGTTTTTCAATAGAGCGAATTTAATCAATTTCAGTTTGAAATATTTTTTTAGGTTTCCTTTTTATATTGAAAATCGAGAAAATTAATCCTTAAAAATTTGGAGCTTGAAAACGTATTTCTTACTTGACTTGTTTTTATTGGAGCTTTTTAAATTTCTTTCATCGGGTTCAGTCTTTGAAGTTTTTTTTTTACAAAAACGCTTATCTCCTTGTTTTTAAGACTCTCCTTAAGTTATCCATTGGTATTTTTGAGTAGTTCTGTCTGACTTTGTGAAGCTTGAAGACGTCTCTTTAAGGTACGCCTTTTAATTTCTAATTGCGTACATGTTCGATTATTTGCGGCTTTGAGGAGTGTACTTAAGGTTCCACTTCCATTTTAAGATCAAGCCAAAGCCATTTCTCAATCATTGAGAAAGTCTCTCCAGGTGCCTCTCTGGATATTCACGCTTAAATAATTGTTTCAAAAACTCTTAAGTTTTCGCTTCAGTACTTTTTCGTCATATTTGTTATCATATAGCTTCTATGATTTCTTATGGAGAATTTGTTTTTATTTTGACATTTTAGAAGACTCATGCAAGTTGCAGAATTTCAAGCTTTTCAATTATCTGTTCGACTTTTTGGATGAACGATTACTCAAAATCTTTTTTTTTGACCCAAACTCATCGTTTTGCCAAATCAACTATCAATCCCCGAAAAAAGCTTTCCCAGTTGTCTTCGAAAATTTGTCGAATTTCAAGCAAAAAAAATCTTTCCACTAAAACCCAAAAAATGGGTCTATTTGTCGACATTCTCTCCGACGGCGAGCGCAAATTTTGTACGTCGACTGGAAATTATTCAACAAAAAAAAGTTCGTTCTCCTTCTCTGCTCCATCCGTCGCTTTTAATGCTCTCTCGTCGCTCGTCTCGTTTTATTTATTTTATTCTCCCCTCCACTTTGCGTCGCTCACCTGAAATTACCGTATTTCAGGTGAAAGAGCTTGATTTTTAATCTGATACCGTAATTTGATGATTTTTGAGCTTTTTTTTCTTTTTTGTCTTTTTTTCGGAGGCCTAGTTTCGCAAATATTTCCTTTTTGAGAGGCTTTTGAAGCCTGTTTCGAGTGTTTGGTAATTTTTGGCGGCCTAGTTTTCCAAATGTTTCTTTTTTGGAAACCTTGCTTCCCGAACCCTTCTTCTCAAATGCTCATTCTTGTCCGTAGATCCCAATTTTATTTGCCAAGCTCAAGAATTTGCTCATTTTGTCCCGTAGAAACTTCCAGTTTACAGTTTTTGATCAATTTATCATGACCTAGTTTTCTTCAAATTTTCTCTCTAAACAATGATTCATATTCTGCAAGACTGGGACTATTTTTCCTAAGGATTTCTAATCTCCGAGCATTAAAAATCGATTCTCATTGTGTGTATGTTGTGTGGGGAAAAAAGATATAATCGATCAAACGTCCCACCAATCGCTCACTTGTCATCGAAGACGATCGCCTGAAGCCAATGCAAGGAAAAAAGGAGGGGAATTTAATGAGGGAAAAACGAAACGAACGCAACGGATGGACAACTGTCGTCGTCGAGGATTTGATGCCGAGTCGATGGATTTCGGCCCCCTGAAACTCGAGGAGAAGCCTTCTCAACACACATTGTTGATTTCGATTTCGACATGAATTTTGGAACAGAAGGGGTGCGAGAAAACCATACTACATTCACTTTAGCTTGTCAAGTAAGGTCATTTCCATTCGTGAGTGGAAATTCCCTAAAAATCAGCGAGATGTACCAGATGAAGTTTCTGAAAGTCTCAACCTCCCAGTTTTTAAGAAAGAACGCCTCAAAGAAAACCCTTAAAATCCGTTTAAATAAGCATTTTTTGAGCTTTGAGCCCTCATTTCACGAAAGCTGGAAAGTTTTTTTGGTTGAAACTTTCAGATCCTTCTTTTGGTACATCAAGGAATGTTCTGGCCAGTTTTCAGGAAATACCTAACCGAAGTAAAACTACCTCCCTTGTGAGGGAAACTAGCATAGAGACGTCTGAATCTCCGGTTTTCCCAAGCTGTTTTGCTTTTTCTCGCCTCAATTCTGGGGTTTATGATATACACATCAATCGAAAACTTGTAAATATTAAATTCACTATGATCCATAGGAAATTAGGTCTCAAATTGATGATTGAAAGGGATCAGTTTTTAGAGAAAAAAAAAAACAAATTTTATCGACTTTTCCGAATTTTTTGGGTATCTTTGAAGCTTGAAGCATTATGATGGGAGGTTTCAAAAAGAAATAAAGAGAGAAACGAACAAATCGCGAATTTGTTCAAAAAGTTGATTAGATCAGTTAAAAATTGTTTCTGAATTCTCTATGTGTAACAGATGAACAGAAGAAAAGAAAAAAAATCTCATAAATCTTGATTTATAACATGAGCAATACACAGCAACCCACCGTATATCAATCATTGGGAAGATCCAGGCGCGCCAAAATAATTGGATCATAAAGCCGCCGGATGGCTCCGCCCACTTTTTTCTCCCTTTTTTTTAAAAATATAGTTCTCGGCTCGAGAAGAAGGGAATTTTTGGAGAAAACGGCGCTAAAAGTCATCAAAACCGACCGCCTGGAATCTCCCACGAAACATGTGTTAACCATTAGAACATTTTTCCCCTCCAATTTTTTTGTTTTTTTTTTCTCTGTTCTCTTTGTGAAGTACACAGATAGGCTCGCATCCATTCTTCTTCAATTTCCAGTGGTTCCCTATCAAATTGACATTTTCTCGAGATTTTCATCAAATTAATTGGAATCCACCAATCGATAAACTATCCTTCTGAATACAATTTTCCCCTTCATCAAGTTTTTCATTAAAATCAACTTTTCTCCATTTTTACCACAACATTGTTTTTTCAATTTCAGAAAGATTTTTGAGCTTTCTGAATTTGTAAAATTTTTTTAGTGGCATTAATAAAACTTTCCCTTTTTATAAATTCCACTTTCTGATAAATTCTGAACGAATAATTCTTGGTTCTAGATAAATCTCGATGAGCTTCTACTTTTTCCGTCGAGATTTAAGATTTTCTTGATGATCCATCGTAAAAATTTCAATTTATCAAGAACTTCAGTTTCCAGAGTGTGCTTCTTTATGGACACATAACTTCATTTTTTTTTTTCGAAAAGTTTTATGGATATTTTCAAAACTTCGTTTCGTCTTTCTAATGTTTCACCGACTTTTTTTTGTTCTTGTTTTGCGGTTTATGTGATCTATTTTTTTATGATAATTGTCATTTTGCAGATTCCCCTTCGATTTTTCCCGGTGTCGTCGTCTCGTGATATCCCAAAGTCAACTTTTGAACTCTGACCGAATCAACAAAATAATACGAAAAAGTCGCCAAGATTGTAACTCGGATGGCGTTGCGAATCGACGAAGCCCAGTTGTTCGCCAATCTGCCCATCAACGGCAAGACGGCCGAGTCGACCGACGGCGCCGAGACTTCTGAAACCGCCGAGCCTTCCAGTCATGAAGTATGAGTTTTCTGAATACTCCGGTTCAATTCGGCTTATATCAGTGGGAATCGTTCAACTTTCATAATTTTCGAGCGTAAAATTTTTAAGAGTAATGTATGCTGATATATTTCTTTAAGTTCTTTAATTTTTCTTCAAATTGAAGCTTTAGAAAAAGCAATTTGCACATTTACAATTCCAAAAAAGTTTCAATTTTGAGCTTTTCAAAAAAAAAATGTCTGCTGCTTGAGTTTCAAAGAGTGAAGAAAATTGGTTCCAATTTCAACAAAATGACCTTTTTTTTATTGAACAGCTTCCAAAGTCAACAAAAAACGAATCAAACTTGTTTAAAAATAAAATTAATGAAAATTACTATAAACCTAAAGCTATCCGCCATATATCAGAAACTGATAATTTTGGGGGACGTTTCATCAGAACGAAGACCTTAAATCTGGTAACTAAGGTTGTAGAGGTTTTTTCGGGAGCGACTTCTAAAACTTCAAAAGATGAGAAACCATCCGCACTTTCCAGAACCAAAACTCGCCCCCACCTTCCCCCGAATCAGCATTGAACGTTTTCGACGTTGAAGCCCAGCAGAAAGCTTTGCAGAGGCTATCTTCCAGTCTTGGTTGGTTATTTGGACGATTAATCAAAATATCAGAATAATTTTGGGCTTGGGTAATTTCCGGTCGCCTTTGAACCTGCCGCCGTTTCTCGCCGCCGCCCTACAACAGTCACCATTTGCCCTTCAGGTGAAAAAATGGAAATTTACGCTTTTGAGAACTTGAATGAATAAATGTGTGGTTTTCCGTAGAAATTAAGTTTTTTATAGTCAATGTTTCCCGACTTGAAAGCCGAAGGAGGCGGGGCAAGGGACGGGACGCGTAGCGTGTGCGTACGCGGTTCTTGGCACGAGTTCAATTGAATTGTCGCCGACTATTTAAAAAACTCGGCAACCGCTCTTTTTCAATGTTTTCTACTATTTTTTGATGCACACATAAACATAATCAATAATAATTGAAAAAGGAATGAAAAAAGCGGAAAACGGGTTTTTCAAAGAGTCGATGGCGGTTGAATTGAACACGTGCCAAGAACCGCGAACGCACACGCTACGCGTCCCGCCCCTTGCCCCGCCTCCCTCGCCTTTCAAGTCGCGAAACATTGACTATAGTATTCAAAAAATGGAAAGGAATGGAGAACACCCATGAGGGAAACTTGAATTCTCATCGATTTCTAAAATTTCTGAATCAAATAATAACTATTTGATACCTGATCAAATTGAATAAATTTCCAGAGTAAGCGTAGATTTTTTTTTAAATTTGTGTGTATCCAAACAGGTTTTTTTGCGAAATCAATATTTTTTTGAGAAAATTCCTAAAAAGTAGACAGAGAAATTTTTTTAAATGAAAAAAAGAAAGAAGTTGGAGAGCTCTTTTTAACTTTTTCAACTACGCAGATAATTCATTTTTTTGTAGTTGTAATTTTTAAACCTTACAAAAAAATTATCAATATTAAGATAAAACTCCTAGAAAATCGATAATTTTTCAAATTTTATCGATTCTTCCTCGATTTTTCAGTTAATTTTTTCCCATTTCTCTTCAGTATATTTTATTCTTCAAAGATTGAAACAGTCGTACCATCTGCGCTCTCTTTGCTCTCACTAGTGAGGTCATAGAAGCTTGAAACAGCGCCCAAAAAAAGTGCAAGGTCACCAAAATGTTCCAAATTATGGTGAATTGAGTCTCTGACTTCAAATTTACCAAATAATCAATCAATATGTTTATTTTTCCAGCAACAACTGCTCGGCTTGGCGTCTGGCTTGTCGGGCGTCTCCCCAGGCCCCGAAGACGAGGACGAAGACCATTCCGCGGCCATCGAACCTGAAGATCTAACCCTCGGGTTCGTCGTGAGGCTTCTGGATTCTGATGACGTCACGCGTTCAGATTCCGAAAAGAGCACCTGAAATCCGAAGATCACACCCACGAGAACAGTAGCAACGGCGGCGGGCCGACCTGGTCTTACGAGGAGCAATTTAAGCAGGTCCGTGACTGGGTTTTACAAATTCAAAACGAATGCGCGTTGATTATGTGAGGAGGTGTACCATTGATAGGAGCGGGAGCTGCGTTTTGTGAATCGGAGGTCTAATTTTATGAATTCTTATAGCTGGGAAGGAATGCGCGTTGATTCTTGAGAAGGTTTATCATTGAAAGGAAAAGTGGCTGGGTTTCGCAAATCAATGGCCTAATTCCACAAAATCTAATACCTTGGGAGGATCGGTGGTTGGATTCTACAAATCGGAGGCCTTTTTTTCCAAATATTTTTCCAAACTCATTGACCAACATATTTTTCAGCCAAATTTCAAAGCGGATTCCAGTTTTGTGAGAAGTTTTTTATTTTTGTCAGAATTTCTGCTCGTGACAAAAATATTTAAATGAGAGGCCTAGTTTTAAAACGGAAAGACTTGCATTTTTGCTCAAAAAAGCTGAGCATTGCGGTGTTTCCCTATATCTTTTGAAAATCTCTCGTTAACTATGAAAATATTCTGCAGATTGGAACAATTGAGAAAGTTTCCCACACTTCCCAGCCAAATCCAATCCTCCTTCCTACCGTATTACATTGAGCCAAGCTCCGAGCATCTCGTAAATAATTGAGGAATGTGCGCGCCGACGAAAATCCAGACACAATAACCCTCCTCCCTTCTCCTTCGAATTATTATTACTATGCATGAGAAGAAGGATCTTCGCGCTAAATCGAAGGTTACGGTAGCCGACTTGGACCCGCAATTGAATATTCGTACATCTTCCCTCTTCGTCTTCTTTCTTTTTTCCGAAACATTTGAGATAGGGCAAAACGAAACGAATTCAAAATGGCATGCTGTAGCTATGGTTATGGCACTTGGACACTCATTCTTCTTCTTCAATTCTTTTGCCGAGTTCATTAGCCGCCAGAAAACTAAATGAGCAAGATGGTGGCCAATGGATAATAATGGAATGGAAAGCCAATTGTTCGAGTTTCGGTCGGACTCAAAATTGTCTTTTCAATCAAATTAGAGGCCGAATTTTGAGGGTTTTGAAGAAAGGAACATTTTTTTTTGTCAAAACTTGGAACTTTTTTCAATTGAGACTTTTTTCTGAACCCTTTAAAACCAAGCTGATTTATTTCCAGTCAAAAAAGCTTGATATTGAGAATGGCAAAATTTTGAAGAAAACTTTATCATATTTGGAATGGCTTGAAGATTGATAACATAAAGGAATAATTTCATTTTTACCGTACCTTAAGACAACCGGACTCTCTGTGGAGGAAAACGAGTCGAATTAAAAGAGAAAAGGGAGCAAAAAAATGTTGTATTGTTCTGCTCAGCGTGGAGAAGCGCCTTCGCCTCAAAATTGTTTGCTTATCTCTCATTCGAGACGATTCGCACATTTGCCTCCACATACATACATTCAGACATACACTGAGACGGACAAATGCACACAAATATATAGACGGTAGCAGAGACAGGAATTAGAATCGACTTGTCCTCGGCGTACAGATTGATAGATACACACGCGGCTCCTCGGAGAAGTTCGGGTGTTTGAGGGGTTTTTGGAGGTTATTCAGGAATAGTCAACTCTTGGAGAGGATTGAGATATTCGGATTTAGAAAAGTATTTTGAGAAGAATTTTGGTTGGAAACAAAGTTCAAAAATTTCTTGAAAAAAAATTTCGATTCAACACAATTTGATCACTTTAATAGTGGTTCAAAACTTGACGGTTGTGAAGCGGTTTCTAGAAAATTGCGCCCGACCATGATACGATTTGCGCGTGATTAACTTCAAGGTTCAAGCATCTCAATGTTTAATTTTCTAACTTCAACAACCACGCGTTGAGCCTTTCCAAACGCAACCAGAGCTTATAAAACTTACAACTGAAAAATTAAAAAGTTATCAATAGCTTGAAATTTTATATCCAATCCAAAATTTTCTCAAACAGAGGATTTAATAGTTCCACGGAGCACATATGCAGCCTACTGATGGCTGTAAATATGATAGTTATTAGCGGGAACGATCAGGAAGCTGGCTCGAGCCCATTGTTGTGTCAAAATTTACGATCCTGCAGTCCTCGTCGACACTTATTACCAGTCGTAAATCAAGCATTTTTATTCTTTATTTACTTGGAACCTTGATTTTGAAATTGAGAATCGCCATCAAGTATTAATTTTTTTGCAAGTTTGTTATTAATTCTTGAGGAAAAAAATTAGAATAATGAACCGGACTAAAAAAAGTGTGAAATGGCCAAAATTTTTTTGAACGACATTCCGTTAGAACGTGTCCAGCAGTTAACCAAAGACTAGTAGGAGAGGAACCGAACTTCCTTAGAACATTTGATACATGTCTAAGTTGTCTAATAATATTTTTTCCGACTAAAAACGGCTTTGAAAAATGACCTTTTTCTAAACGACTCTCCGCTAAGACGCGTTGATAAGCTTTAAAATTTCAAATCGTCAAAAAATAAAAACTGACACATTTCCTATTGCAAAATTGCAAAATTCCAACGTATTCTCAAGCTTAATTCAAAATTTATCGTAATCCTCATCGTTGCAAAATCCCCAGAACTGCTGCTACCGTAATCCATTTCCATCCACTCGAGTTAATTGAGTCCCTCCATCGTTCCGCGGAGACCCCCGAAATTGCATAATTCGTGGGAAAATTGGCATTATTATTATTGAGAAGAGTCTTTTTTTAATACGTTTTTTTGAGTTTTTTTGGAAAAAAATTTGATTTAATTTTTTTCCAATTTTCAGTTGTACGAGCTTTCGGACGACTTGAAGCGAAAAAGAATGGCTCGACGATTGGCTCAATTTTTATGCATCGAATCGGTTTGAATTATTTTTTTATTAGAAAAAAATCTTCTAAAAAAACTTCAGAGAGTGACTTTTTTTGACACTTAAGTGATCATCTGTTAATTTGTTTTTTGAGCAATTTCGAAAACCAAGCTTCTTTTCAAAGGCAATTGTCTTCATTTTGAAGAAGTTTTTGTTCGGCATTTTGTTCATAAAGTTCTGGATCGTTTCCAGGAAAGCCAGTCACCCGGATACCAATAATGGCCAAGCAAGTTTTGGACCTCTACGAACTCTACCGATTGGTCGTCCAACACGGCGGCCTCGTCGAGATCATCAACAAGAAGTTGTGGCGCGAAATCACGAAAGGCCTGAATTTGCCGTCCAGCATCACTTCGGCCGCCTTCACCCTCCGAACACAGTCTGTTCGAACTAAAAAAAGACGATTTTCATTGTTTTTTATAGGTACCAGAAGTTCCTTTATGAGTATGAATGTGAGAAGGAGGGACTTTCCAACCCAACGGATCTCCAGCAGGCGATCGACGGCAACAAGCGTGAAGGTAACGATTTTGAAGGCGTCTTCTTTACCTTAGGAATTCGGGGAAGGTAGCTAGCAAGAGGTTGGAATGTTGGAAGGTTAATCGAAGCTAAAAGGATTTGGAAGGTGTTCAAAAGGTAGTCCATGAAAAGTAAACTATTGAAAATTGTGGGCTGGTAGGTATAGGGACCGCAACCAAATTTTCAAAAAAATTTTCGAACTTCAATATTACTATGGTTGGATGGATGGTTGGATAGCTGCTCTAAATTTCTATTCAAAACAGTTTAGTTTTTCGAAAAAGGTTGAGAACAAAAAAAGTTATGGTCAAAACAGTAGTGAAAAAAGTCGCGAAATTTAGTACTGAAAGTTTAGATTTTACACTTTTGGTCGTTCATTTTGTTTTCATATCGGATTCAAATTTTTTAGTAGTTCAGTTCGGTTGTCAAAGTCATAATAAGTTATTAAAACTGTATAAAACCACAAGTTTGAAGAGAAAAGCTATTTTTTCATGAAAAAGGAAAAAAATGGCCACCGAGAGGATCGAACTCGCGATAATAAAACTGTATGCAAGCGCGCTTGCGCTGCTCCACGTCCATCCCTCGGAGATGAGAGGCGTTCGCGCTATACAGCACTTCACTTCAAAGTACAGCATTTACCAGCTATCTTGTTTAAAAAAAGTTATGTTAGTTGAACAATTATTAGTCACGTACGTTTGGACCACCTAAAAGTGATTGAAACTAGGTTAAAAACCCGAAGAAAAAAAGTAGTTGTGGTTTTTTGTACGACACTCCGCTAAAACGCTTCGAAAATCGGGTGAAAAGTATATCAGATTGAAGAGGAAGGGTTTCTCTATGTTTCCACCAAATTTCTCTGTGTTTGATTCAGTATTGCGCTTTTACGAAAACATCAAACACGAAATCTAAAAAACCATCGCATTTCACCATCGCAAAAAGGGGCGTGGCTTTGCGGTCTCTAGGTAGGTAGAAGCTGTGTCTGACTTATGCTTTTGTACCTGGAGCCTCAAGTCGAAGAGACAAAGTCCTATCTTGATACAGTGATAATCAGGAAAAATATCCGTTCTTTTGTGCTGGGGGTCATGAAGCCGTCCACATTTCTCAAACCCCTTGGGCGGGTCGCGGCGCGGAACGAACTTGTGACCCTTCAGACCGCAGACAGGCACACAACCGGTTGAGCTACGGCGCGTCGGACGATTTTTGAGACTCGCCTTCATAAGCATTGACATTCTATGATAGAACTTATTGTTCTGATTCCGAATATCTCCCCGAAATTTTTCAAAACTTTTTAGTTTTTGAGGAAAACCATTCTAAGACTAGGTCGATCATCGAAATGTTGTTGCCTGAAACAGATCGACACCATTTACAAGGCACATTTGTGAATTTCAGCCCCTGGACGACGAAACGTCCCGACTTCGAGCTTCACCCTGGGATTTCCGCTACCTCATCCTCACTCGGCTGCCGCCAGTCTTCTCGGAAAGCAACTCAATGGCTTGGGCATGCGAAATGGTTCTTCGATCAATCTTCTTTCCAAGAGTTATTTGTGTAGATTTAGACCTGGTCGACGAGGATTCCCTAGGCCTGCAGGCCAACAATTTGTTCGCCTACCGGCCCGACCAGCAGCTCGCTTTGTTTGAAGCTCACCAGAGACAGTTTGAACGAGCTCAAAGGTAGCTAAATCAGAAAAAAAGAGCAAAGTTTTCAGATTTTTCCAAAGAACCTGTTAGTTACTGCATTTTTTGAATCATAAATTGAAAATTTTTTTCATTTGAAATGCCATAAATCAACTCAAATATGATCAATTTTTATAAGCTTACTACTAAATTGAGGCTGCACTGGGAAGCAGTAAATTGATGCTCCATTTGGCTTAAATTGTTCGAAAATTTTGGAAGACGCACCATTTTGAACCAAGGATTGAGTGAAAAAAATGAATGAAGTGCCTAGATAAGTTTAAAAAATTGGAAGGTTACCGGGTAACCTTCCAATTTTTTTTCAACAATTTCGTTACCCCAATACTAGTCCAAGTACCAAATTAAAGCTCAATTGACAATCTATCGATTGATTTTGCTTAGGCAAATCTTAAATTGAACCAGTTGTAATCCCCAAGTTCAAGAAAAAAAAAGTGCTTTTGAAAAATTCGTAACTGGTCAATTTTCAAAAAATTATCACAAGAGTGAAACACACTCCAAGCTAGATTTTCATCAAAATTAATTCGATATGTTATGAAGTCAAGTTGACTTCAATTCTGAAGATCTCTCTAGGGAAGATTCTGAAAAACAAGAATCTCAAGCGAAAACTGTTTCAGAGCAGCCGAAGCGGTCGCAAGGCAAACCCTTGGAATGCCGTCTTGCGTTCCGACGGCGACGTCAGGCCGAGAGTCGACGTCGAGTCTCGATTCAGAAGCGCCGACGTGCAAACGCGCCAAGCTGGAGAACGGCAGTGGCGAACCCTCCACCGCTCCCAAAATCGCGCCTCCCACCTCCAACAACGTCAAGATCACGACGAGGAAGGCAGGTTGGAATGGTTTGGCTTTCAGAATTTATTCATCGAAATTGTTTCTTAAGGAATTATTAAGGGCAACTTTGACATGAGAGCAAGGCATGTAAAAATATCTTTTAAACGTTATTTTTCAAAGCTTTGACAACTGATTTTGAAACTTTTGATATAAGCAAGTTATACCGTAAAAACTTTTCCATTAGACAACCTTACGAAACGTATCCCACATATTCAATAATTGAAATAATTTATTGCCATTTTAAGTCTCTTAATGAAATTTCAGAGCGAAAGTTGAGAAAAATCGATTTTTGAAGTTTTCAACCTTTATAAGCTCAATTTCATTCAGATGGTGGAACTTCCTCCGAAAATTCGATGGTCGTTTCAATGGAAATCAACGGAATCACCTACCAAGGCGTTCTTTTTGCCATCGACAATGACGTCAGTAAACAGGAAAAATTGTTGAAAAAAATTGTTTTCTTTTTGTACAATCAAAAATTCACAGCAATTGAATAATGTTTTTCAACGTTAACAAATACGGAGCCAACTTTTTTTCTTGTTTTTCATTTTGTACAAATTTTTCTTCCACCTTCAAACGATTCGAACCAAGCTTTCATTCGTTTTATTTTTCTTGTTAAAATATTGATAATAATCAAGTGGAGTGGATGAGAAGATTCAATTTAGAAAAATGGACAAAATTCAGCCTCGAGAAATTATCGATTTTTACAATAAATTCTACCTTTTCATGTACTAAAAACGTAATCTTAATAAATTTAAGAAATTGAAATTAAGGTTCAGAAATAATTCATTCAAATTCTTTGTTTCTTTTCATTCACGTCAATTTTCTATAGAACGATCGACGGTTTTTCTTTTTCTTCCCCATTTACTTTCCCAAATGTTCTCTAGTTGTGAGCTTATTTTACGAATATTTTTATATATATATGATATGATCCGTTTTTTAACCCTTTAAATTATGCCTTTTTCATCCTTGCTTCGTTTTCAGATTTTTTTTTAGTATTTCCTCTCGTTTCAATAAAACCAAACTGACGAAAAGTGGAGGAAAACGCACGACATTTGTACAATGTCGGTGACACATAAAGAAATCCAAAGAGTCAACACTAAATGAATTTTTGCCGCCGGAGACTGGACCACCTCAATTCGCGCAATTTTCAGGTGTAAACATGGAACGAAATGATGGTCTTAAAAAGGGACCGTTTTTTGTGCGTTAAACACAGCTCGGCAAGGAGAAATGGAATTTATATAACTCAGTGAAAGAACGTGTTGAATCGCAGAAAAGTGCGTGTTTTAAAATTAAAATTATCCAAAAAAAAGAGAAAAATAAAGAATGTAAACCCACTAGCTTAAAACAATCGCTCTTCCTCATAATTCCTGCGAGCAAAAAATCGCATGTTCCTTTAATTGCCATGCAGTTCCCGCGAAGAAATTACGGTAACCGACCATTAATGGTCGGTTAATTTTCACCTAGATCGAGCGCTCGATCTGATGCCGTGTTCAAAGTAATTTCGGCGGTCTCAAAATAGACGCGTTATTCGTTTAAAATGAATTCACGAAATAGGCAGAATTGCTATTCCGAGAATGGCAAGAAAAAATGAGTCCTACAACGATATATCGTTAAATATGCATTTTCACCGTAATTTCTTCGCGGGAACTCAAAATTTTGAAATTATTTGGGCATTTTCTACTGAAATTTCAAATTCGCGCGTAAAACTCACCGTAAAAATGCGTATCCAACGATATATCGTTGTAGGACTCACCTTCCCAGAATACCAGTTTCGCCTATCTCCCGAAATCATTTTAATGCCGTGTTCAAAGTGATTCCGCGAAATTCAAAATAGCCGTCAGAGAAAGAGAAAGATAACTAAATTTTGGAGGGTCAGAGACAATTTCGCATTTCGCGGAAATTACTTTGAACACGGCATAAACGAATAACGCGTTTATTTTGAAATCGCCGAAATTACTTTGAACACGGCATGATTTTTTTTTCTTTTATTTTGTCTATTCGACGTTTTTCAGTATGGTCTTATATTTCTGTTTCGTGTTCAATACTTCACTTTGAGTCTTATTTCGTGTATCGCTCATTTCGAAGCTCGAAAAGATAGTAAAACGAAGAAAAGCTGAAAATCGAGCGAAGTGGCATCTTTCCAATTAGTTTTAAGATCACTCTTGGGGTAGTACGGGGTTCTTTTTCCAGCAATAGCTATTTTTTATTGGGAATTTTTTGTGGAAACCTTCAGACCAGGCAAAAAAAACTTGGTTTTATCACGCATGTTCAAGGCGGCCGGTCGTATTACGGTAATCAAGCGAGGTTTTTGGGTAATGAAAAGAAAACTTTTGTACTTTTTGTGAAGTAATTTGTCTTGTAACCTCGAGAAATAGGTCCTTAACAAATTGCAGAAAAAGAAAAAAAATTTAAAAAATTTCCTGGCTCCGAAACTGACTGCGCAATATTGACCGGCCACCGGCCGCCATAACACTGTCTTAAAAATGCGTGTTAGCTAAGTTTTTTTTTCAAGATTGCTTGTTTTTATGGTTGTAATGAGAACATAGGCCTGTGAATAAATGACAGGTTGATTGTGCAAGAATAGTCACGAGAGGGCCGACCGTTTTCGTGTTTTTTTTTGTTGCATTAAGGAAAGTTTTCAGAAAAAAAAATGAGGAGAATCGTTCTTCTTCATTCCAAAGAAGACAGGTCAGCTGAAGGCTTATCATCAAGCTATTTGGAGCGAGATCTAGTTAATTTTCTGCGAGTTCTCGATGAATTGATTAATTTTTTTCAGGCATCGTACAATTTTGTTTTTACGGAGGAAAAAAATTGCTTTTCATGCCCAGCGGATAAATGTGTAAGTTATGGTTTCTAATTTGTAGTCTTTTCGAATTTCTTTTCTGGGATAATCATCGAAATGCTTCTGTGCTCAAATACCCGTCCAACAAGGATTTTGTAAATACTATTGCCGCTTTGAAGGGGTTTAGGCGAAATAGAGGTAGTCTATAGAACTCCATAGATTTCGTTATTTTTTAATTTATTTCTTGCTTTTCTGAGAGCATTTTTTTTTTGCTGAATACAGGTTCTCGACCACCGATTAGGCTAACGACGATTTTTGAAATTACTTTGAGCGCAGTCTGTATTTGCAATAAATACCGTCGAATGAAATTTTTTCAGACTAGTTCGTTTTTGCTCCTGGTGAACTCGGATGAATTAACTCGGCTCCATCGCACTGTTTTAGTAAACAATTATATCAGCTTTCGAAAACGAAAAAATCAATATTTTTCTAGTTCCAAAACCCAAACACTTGCTGCACAATCGCCAGAAGCGTCGCGGAACTGTATGCGACAAGGAAAAATGATGCGTCCGTTCAGGTTTTTCGAATAAATAATCAAAGCCCAAAAACCGAAGCATGAAAAAAAAGGTCTTTTGGTATCCTTTATTCAAAGTTTGAAATGTGTGTCTCTATACACATTTTTTTGAACAATCTCAAAAAAACCCATTGAATATAAAGCCGTGAACCCGCGAAGAAAGTATCCTAAAAGCTTTTTTTTTCTCCTTTCTCCTGGACTGTTTTTTTTCCAGATTTGGGCTTTGAAAGTTTTTTTTAAATTTTTTAAATTTACAGGTCAAGCCGGAAGTCGCAACTTTTTCCTGCGGCGCCTTTGTTGAGACTTCCGTGGGAGCTGTACAGACTGAAAATCATGCGGTTTCTAACAAGTCCACAGAAACTGACGAGCTCCCGAAACCGACGGTTTTTAGCTTGAACATTCATTGCTGTGGCGGTTATAATCTGTTTGAATACATTAAAATGTGTACAAAAATTGATGATTTTGAGAAGGTCTCGAGGTTTAGAGCCATTTTTATCCGGAGAAGTGTATTAATTCTCCTCGTTTCTCTTATTTTTGTGATTCCTAGACGTTAATCCGAGTTTCTAGAAAATGGGTAGTGAAACAATTCAATTCTTCTGATATTTGAACATAAAGTTATTTTTTTCAGTTTATTTTTTAAACAGTCCAGCATTGATTTTCGATATATTATATCAGCATCTGAGACAATCGTGAAATTAAAAGCTCGATTTCAGACCTCCAAGTTGCATTTGTGCACCACTGTCAAAGAAGAAGTCGCGGACGACGATGAAATCACAGTTAATTTTCGAAGAAAATTTTTTCATTCTATGAATTTTTTTCAAGATTGTGTATGAAGGTGCTCCGTCATGTTCTTCGCGAAATTCGACGGTTCATAGACGATTCTCGGTGAAGCAGGTTTTTATTAATGGAGAAAGATAGTTCATTTTCCATTCAAGGAGCCGCCCTCGGCGAACGCCTTGGTGAAGGAAGAAAGCGATATTTTCGAAGACATGGAAGTTGATGCACAGGTTTGCTTTTTTCGATAAACTCACAGAAAACGATGAATTTCAGGCCCCAGCTCAGCCAGCTATGCAAAAATTCAACAGTGCGGAGGGTTTCGCTTTTTTCTCCTGCATAATGCGAATGACTTTCGCCCGAGAAAATCCTGGATCCACTTATCAGTTGTTCCATATTGACCTTGAAGCGGAGGTTAATTAGTTTTAGGGTTTTTTGTTGATTAATAGTTCCGAAGCTAAGCTTGTTTATAAAAACTGTCGTATATTTCGACTCTGGCCTCAGATGAAGAGGTTGAATTGATGAAAAATGATACTATTGAAATTTAGAAAATTTCTTGTTAATTCAAATTATTAAGTTATTGAGTTAATTCAAATTATTGATTCGTTAGTTTTGATTTTTTTTTAATGTTGAAATTTCGGGCTTTCCTCTAATAATATTCTATCAGATTTCAAAAAAATTATTAGCAAAATGCTTTTTATTTTTTTATTTTTTTAGAAAAATGGAATGTGAAACATTTTTTCCCAGTCTATTTGAAAAATAAAAATAAAATTAGATTCAAATGAGCGGTGATCATTCACAAAAGTTCAGTGGGAAAAGCTCACCGATGACGAGAAGAAACGGTACGAAGATAAAGCCAAGGGTCTTCAAACAGAAGCAGCCCCAGTTTTAGCAGTTGAAAATGATCAGGTTGTTAATCATTTCATCATGTTTACAGTAATTTCTCGACTTTTCTACAACTGTTTCTGAGTTTTTAGACGAATGTGCTAGTGTCTGAAGCCCGAAAATCGGTTGAAAGTGAGGAAAACAATGATCGAAATTCTACTGCTGTCCTCGAACCGCCCATGGAATTCGAACCGATGGAAACGGTAAAATTCTTTTTTTTTTTTTTTGCTCGATGGAGAATGAATGAAGTTTTCTCTCTTCTCGAAGTATACCAGATGTGTGTTTTTGGTCAAAGTTTAATAATGTTTCAGGCGGAAAGAATTGATTCGACGGCTGTGAAAACTGTTGACAACGTCGGAACGGCGTCTCCGGCAACTTCTCACAAAGAAATTGTTATTTTTCATCTTATTTTTATTGTCAAACCATTGTTGATTTGCTTAGTTTTCAGTTTTCTGTTATCATTTCAATTCCAATCTTTCAGCCGACGCAGCCTCCATCTTCTGGGGAACTGCAAATTTGTAAAGATAACTCACAGGTAAGATAGCGACGGATTGAATGAATGAATGAATGTTTATTTCGCTCACAGACAGATCTGTGGCGTGGTTCAAAAGTGAATTAAAAAAATGGGAAAATGACTAGAGTTTGTAATGAGTAAGATATTTACGAAATCTTCAGATTTTTCGTGAAAAGAAAAATTCAGTTCACTTTTTTTGGATGTGTTTTCACGTTGAAGAAAAAATCGATTTTTTTATAGTACATTTTAACAATTATTTTTTTGAAAAATTGATTTTGTTTTTTTAGCGTTTAAAGTACATTGGATTCCACTTTAAACTAAAGAAAAATCAAGCTTTGAAGAAGAAATTTCATAATTTTTTTCTTTTTAAATTTCAAGTTGCACTTGCAGTAAAGTTGGAAAAAAATTATATTTTGCTGGAATATTTATGAGAAATTTGTTTCAGAGTGTCGCCAGCGTTGATCAACACCAAACGCAGAAAGTTATCTTAACAGTTCCACAGAACGAAGGAAATCGCCTGGTACAAGATCAAGCTCAAGAATCCCATCCAGATGTTGAACAGGTTCGCGTTGTAATGACAGGAATTATATTTGGGTCTTCGTTTTCAGTCTCATGCGTCCCTTTTCAACGATATTCAGCAAAAAAGTTTGGTTGTGGAAAAACAGGTAAACTTCCTTTTTTAAAAGGAAGAGGATGTTGACCTCGCACTGTTTTCAATAAATTTTTGTCTTTTTTACTGCTTTTTTGAGTTTATTTTTCTTTTCTCTATAGAGCCCTGGAACTGCACCTCCTCAGCAACCTCAGACAACTGTTCCTGGAATCGAAGGAAATCATCCGGAACAAAGTCAAGCTGTTGGAATCGTTCCGATTGTACGGCTTTTCACTGAAAATCTCGAGAAGTTCTCATTTTTCAGCCTCCTTCCGGAAAAATGGACAATTTTCCTAATACATCAGGTGTACAGCAAAAAAATCTGACGTTAAAAACACAGGTGCGATATAATATTCGCATTAATTTAATAATGTTTAAATTATACAGAGCGTCCCCACGGTTGCGCCGAGTAACATTCTTGAAACTCCAGTTCAAATGGAGAAAAAGGAAATTGGTGTCACTTGCAGTCTTACGAAGTCTTCACAGGATCCAAGGGTGCTTTGAATTTTTTAAATCGAATTTCGAAAATAACCAGAATTTTCCTTTTTTGAAGATAAAAAGGGAAGTATTTTTCAGAGATCCGCTTTTTTTTCACCTCAACAAGCCGAACAATACCCGCCAATTGTCACTGAAAGAATGCTGAAAACACTTGATAGGAAAACTTTCCCAAAACCTATACGAGCTTTTGAAAACGCTCCCGTTGTTCCCCAGAGAAAGGTAATTTCAATTTTTTGAATTTTTAAAAATTGTTTAAAGTAATAGTTAGTATCGGTTGATATTGATTACAATGTTTTATGTCTATCCAATTTTCAGATTCAGGCCGGCAGCGTAGCTCAGTCAAACTCAACTGATAAAGCTCATCCTTCGAAAACTTATCACCACTTACAATCAGAAGGACTTGCCAAAGTTTATCTTGTACACGTTCTGCTTTAAAAAGATTTTTAGCCCCCTAACCCATTTGGAGCTCCAAAAACTTCTGGACCTGCTTTTCCAGCAACTGGAACGATGCAACAGAGATGTTCAACTGTTTGTATTTTGATACTGGATATTTCTTATCTTATTATATGATCTCTATATTATCTTTTTTGCATCCTAAGGCAGCCGTTTTTGTTCGTTATGTTTGTAGAGGCTGAAATGTGAGGAATTATGAATTGGTATGGGCAGTCCCTTTTTTTTTTCAATTTTCTAGCTTTCAAAGAATGACATTCTACTAATAAAATATTTGCCTTCAATTGATTGGTTTGAACATTTAGTTTCAACCAAAATAGATTTTGGCAGTTTTGCTACAACTTTTAGTTTTCTTTTTTTTTTTAATAACCTCACTATATCATCTCAGCCAAAAATTAATAAACAAAGTTATTCATTCAGAAGTTTTTTAATTTTTATCAATGCTTAACCATGCTAACTTATTATCCGTTTACTTCTAAGAGAACTTTCAGCCAGCAACGTCTTTTGGAACTTTCAAAAATCCTAGCAGAACTTCCCTGTCGATCAGCGGTCCCATAAAGCAAAACACGTCCCTTTTCTCGACGAATTCTCAACCTTTGGTTCACTCTGATTTTTCTCTGTTTTTAAATAAAGTATTTTCAGCCGACAACTCCGTTTGGAGTTTCGAAAGTTTTTGGCGGACCTGCTTTTCCAGCAACTGAAATCTTACTACAAAAAAATTCAAAAGTTTGTATTTTTTCACTGAATATTCTCTGAGTTCATTTTTTCCAGCCTCATGTTGTCATAGGAACAGCATTTTCAGTAACCAAACTGTTCAAAAAAAAAATTTTTTTGGTTGAGAAAAATTGAAGTTTTATGGAGATTTTCAATGATATCGAAAATCTATACGAGCTGTTGAAAGTATCATCCGAAAAGAAAGTTTTCCCGAAACACCGGTTCTACAGCAAAAAAAGTTTGCTAGTAGGAAAACGGTTGACTTCTTTTCAGATGAAGAAGAAATCAAAAAGGGGTTTTATTTCTTCAGATTCCTGGCATTGGGCAACCTCAACTGTCTCAGAAAACCACTCCAATTACCCCTATAATCGAAGAAAATTTTACCGAGCAGAGCGAACCTCGAAGTATGACTCAAGCTGGTGACCAAGCCCAGACTGTACAAACTTCAGCTCGATATTTCGAAAACTTTTCGGTTTTCAGGTTCAGAACGCTCAGGGAACTGTCCCAATAGTTCCTAAAATCGAAAAAATCGAAAGTCAAGATCAAATAGCTGGTCAATCGGCTCCGATCGCTCCGTTTGTATGTTTTTCCATTGGTTATTTCAAGAACTTCTTTTTTTTTCAGCCATATTCTGTCAAAAAGGAAATTCCTTGTAATGTACCGGTTGTAGCGCAAAAACAAGTGATTGAGAAAAGGGTGATTTTCATGAGATATTCCTATTCATTTGATTAAAATGTGATGATGCGTATAAAGTGAGTATTTCATTTTGCATGAGCGAAGCCTACTAATAATAAGCTTAAAAAACCGTATAGATACTTTTTTTAACGCTCTCACAGTCTTTTCGAACTTTCTTTCTTAACTAATTTCCTTTCCTTTTCTTAAATTTAATTTTTGATTATTTTACCTTACAGAGTTCTGTCACTGGACAACCTCCACAAACTCAGAAAAATGATCCGCTAGAAAGAAATCGTCGGGAAAAAATCCAGGCTCAAACTCAAAGACCTGTTCAAGCTCTTGAAGATTCTCCGATTGTACAAAATTTGACTCAAAATGTCGATAATTAATTGTTTTTCAGCCTCCTCCCGCCAAAAAAGACGTTGTTCATAATGTAGCACATGCACAACAAAAAACACAGGTTAATTTTTTTAAAATCTAAATTCGTAATCAAGTAATATTAGCTTTTATTTGAATTTTTGTAAGTTATGAAACGTAGTAAATTTTCTTCACCATTTTTCAATTTCCTACTATTCTACAGTTCTTTCTGTTTTTCATCGTGCATCATTTATTAGACTCAAAGGAAGCCGAAGCTTTCTCCAAACGGTAGAAATCGCCTGCCAAATAAACTGGATAGGATGGATTTTTGAAGCAATCTTTTAAGATCACAAAGATGAAAAATCCTCAAATCAGCAAGGCTGACTTTTTTCGAACAACTGTTGGAAGGGTTATCGGAGTTTCCTCGTGTGTTCTATTGTTTTATCTATTTGAAAAAAATGTTACGAAAGTAAGAAAGAAAAATTTTTGAAGTGGTCCGCATTGTCGCCGGAGGAGAAGAGACGCCACAGCGGAGGAAAGGTTTCGGAAAGTTTGAAAGCTGAATTTGGTGTCAAGGTGAATATAAAAAAATAAAATTTACTTGACCTCTGTGTTTTTCCGTTTTTCTGAAAAAAAGGAAATTGAGCTCACTTCAGTTTTCGAATTATACTAAGTTTTCATAATCTTGAGGCTCAAAAGATACGAAAAAGATGAAATTTAAGCTTCAGAAATACGTATTAGTATTGATAATTTGATGAATTGGTTTTCGACTTAACTGAAGGTTTGTAGTTCGCATTTCTTCTTTTTGAAAAATTACTGTATTTATAATTTTCTTGTTGCTTGATTTTTTAAATTTTTATCGAGCGTTGAATATTCAGTCTTTTTTCTTTATTTTTTCTTTTCAGGCGGAATCTTTTTCTTTGCATACTGCTGAAACCGCTCCATTGGTTTTGAAATGCAAAAGTGAATCGTTAACGCCTGTTCCCCAACCTTTCCAAAGACTTTCTGAGAAGGTATTTTGCAATTTTTTTTTTTGGAAAAAGAATACTTTTCAGTCCAGCCTGAAACTTCTTAGCGAGCCGGTTGAGGAAAAAACAGATAAGGCAAAGATTTTGATTTTGATTCCAGTTCAAGGTTGATCAATAACTACATTTCTTGTTTGGATATCCGTTTTTTAATAGAAAAAAAGCCATCATTTAAATGATGAAAGATGCTTTGAAATAGAAAATACTTGTTTTTTTTCTCATAACTTGAGAGCTACGTTAGGTGTCCGAAACTTTTACGGCTACATCAGAAAAAGTAAAAAGAAACTCTCTATTAATACAGCTTTTGGCGTTTTTTCGGTTCGGAAAACTTAAAAAAACAAGTATCGATGAGAAATGCTTCACCATTTCTGGAAAGGAACATAAGTAACTAGCTGGATTGGTATGAATTATATTAAAACACTTTTTTGGCTCAAAAACCTATCTCAATAGGGCCTCTTTGAGCCGAATCAGTGTAGCTTTTCTTCAGAGTGCGCTCGTAGACCTTGGAGCTGCCAAAGCTATGATAAAATCGCTCTCCAAAGTTGAAAAAAAAATGAGAAGAAACATGCCCGACGCCGACGAAATGCAGATCCTCGCTAGAATCAGCAGAGAGGTACCGCCGATTGCGAGAATGTTAATATATGTTATTGGAATTTGAGATGGAAAAGGATCCTAGGTCGCAAGTTAGCTCGCACAACAGTCCCGTTGCTTCTGGTGGTCAACGCGAAAAGGTGGATTTTAAATTTGTTGGAAAAATTTGTCATCTAGTTCATCCACTCTGGCTCAAAGCAATACTCCATGAAAAGTTTCGTTTGAAGCGAAATTTTCCTTGAGTGTACACAATAAATGGAAAATTTGTCATTTTGGTAAAATATTCCTTTTTAAATTTCTTGTAATTTTATTTAAAAACTCGTAAACTCCCAAGGAACAATATATTCACCTGAAAAGGAATTCTTAACTAACCATATGTTTCGAAAATAGCAATAGCTAGTTTTTAGGCCGACGGACCTCCAGGTAAAGCTCCTGCACACACCGGAACACCGAAAGGATCAAAAAATGCTCAAGAAACGGCCCAAATCGTTCCAAAGCTTTCAAAACAAGTTCGAAAATAGACCGGAACGATGACTTGCATTTTTTTTTTGCCAATTTTTAAGACAAGCTCGGCTTCAACGGAAGATTCGCTCAATCTATCACGAAAAAAACTTCGAAGAGCCGCTTACAAATTGTTCGGATCGGAAATAAGAAAGAGGATCGAGGAGAAGAATCCGACGGCGTCTTCGGATGAAGTGTCACAGAAAGTTCGGAATAAAGTTAAAAGAGAAAAAATAGACATCTATCGAAAAGTTGAAACTTGCAGTGGAAAGAGCTGCCCGAGGAGTCAAAGCAAAAGTTTGTCTCGGCAGCTAGGGAAAAAATTGACGAAAAAGTCGAAGATGTTGGTGAACTTCAATAGCTGAACAAATAATGAAAACGAAAAAACAATCTTTCTTTAGGTGGGAGAAATTCGTGGAGCCGCTGTAACCTGTCAGCCGTCGCCACAAACCAAAGTGGTTTGGACTCGTTTCAAAAAAACATTTTTTTAATTTTTTTCATCTTTAAAAAAACATTTTTTTCAGCGTATCAGTGCTCCGAAACCGAATGAATTCTCTGAAAAAGTTGAACCTCCGCCTCAACAGGTCTCTTGGAACAAAATGAATAAAAATTTTAAATTTTTTATTGAAACTCGTGTGCCACCTTCTCATAAACAAAAATGCAGCTAGAACTTGAACTGCAAAAAAACTTCCTCGTTTTGAATTTTGTAGTTTTCCATAGGACATCGAAGAGTTAGAACTTTTGACGCTGAACAACTCATGGAAGTGGTTCAGGAGGCTTCAAAAGTACATTTCAAAACCACTTTTTCTATTTATGCTTTAGAAGACAACGGAACATCACTTTGCTGGCGTGAAGCGACATCTTCATGAAGAGCCGAAAACGATCTCGGAAGCTCTACTGCTTGATAAAGTACTGAAACAGAAAAAAATTCGTTTGAATATGAAAATATTTCTTCTGCACTTTATAAACGGTACTGTGAAAATTTCAATTTTTGCTGAAAGTTTTGACTCAGTCTTTGAAACAGTACGAGTTGAAGGATCATGATATCAAAGAGAGCATTTTCTGAGTCTTTGGAAACGGGAGGCTCCTCCCTTTTCATCATTTTTTAAAACTTAACGATTTTGGTGTTTTCACATTATGCCGTGTTCAAAACAATAATTCAAAAAAAAAACGGCAGAAAGTGAAAGAGATAAAAATAGTTTTTGGAAAAATGAGATATTTTTGAATTATGCAGAAATGACTACGGGCCTCAAGGCAAAATATTGAAAGAAATTGTGGTTTTCGACCGAATGAAGATTACTTTTTTTCCAACGAAATTTAGATTTCTTCGAAAACAATGAAGTTTATTTTTTTGGCAGTTTCGCCGATCATTTTGAGTTATTTTTTTGAAAGTTTTCAGAAAAGTTATTGATTTAGCGTATTTCTTATACTTAATATTTTTTTCAGCTCGATTCCGCTCCGAGACGTTTCGAAACGTCAACCACTTTTCTCGGTGTTGAAAAAACTGTCAGCGATTCTGGTTTCTACAATAAAAATCGAAAAACGCATTCAAAGGATTTTTATTACCAGGAAATGACGCTCCGCCAATGAAAAAACTGAAAAAATCGGCTCAGGGAGAGGATGACGATATTGTGGTGAAAAAAAATCCAAAGTTTTTTTTTCATGTTTCGTTATATTGAAGGTCCTTATGAGCAATGTGAAGAATCCACATAGCTGCCATGTTGATAGTGAGTTAGAATTTCTAACGATTGGGATATTTAAAAATATTTTTTTCAACTTTTTATTTCAAATTTTTTTGTTAGCCAAGAAAAAGATATGGATTTTTCTTAATTTTATTCATTGCAGCGGCGAACCGTTTTTGAAACTTGTTTCCGAGAAAGCCCGAAGCGCTTACAGTGATCTTTTTAACGCCGAGCAACCAATCCTCTCTAACATTGTAAGTTTTCTTTGAATCGAACGGAAAAATAAAAATTTTTTCAGCCTTCTCCACTCACTTCTCAATCACTCCAACATGTCTTCCCCAAGTTCACTCTGTAAACCGTGTAGTGGTTCGAAAAAAATATATCAATTTAAATATTTTATTGTATTTTTTTAATGTTATCTTGCCCTGTTTTTCGTTTTATCCCCCGATGGTTAATGATTTTTCACCATCATGGCTTCACAAGTATAAATGTTATTCACAAAGTCGTTTTTTTCATATTTTTATCTCTTTGATGATAGCGACCTTTTGAGGTTTTTTTTTTTGATGAAGGAAGATAAGAAAATTGAGGATAGTTGGCTGCAGAAACAAGGTTTTTTTCCGGATCAGCTTCCCTGATTTTTGAAAGAACTTTTTTTATTTTTACATTTTGATAGGATTTCCAAAAACTTGAATTTTTTTCGTTTTAGAAATCTATTTTTTTGAAGTTGATAACTCGAAATATTCATTTTTTGTGATCTGATTTGTATAAGCCTTTGAGAAGTTTCAAACTCCGTCTTTTTAAAATTTTCTCAATGAATTTGAACTCGCAGAAGTCTACCACGACCTAAACAATGAAGTACAACACTTTACAAGGCTTTTCACCTCAAAAAATTTCTGAAAATTGCCCTTTCTCCTTTAATAACCTCATCATCTTAACTTTATGTTTGAACTTCCAACTTTATGAATGAAAATGACTTTTCTAGAGAAATGGGAAACAACAAGAACAGGAAAATGTATTTCTATACGGGACAGTTGACAAGATCCTCTAGTGAGGCTGTGCCGGATGACGTCAGGAAATACTGTCGACGTCTTCAGAAAAATTTTGTTCGTCGCGCTTTTGATGGGAGAAACGGTGTAGAACTTCTTCTAGGAACCCCGATTGCTCATCCCGTTTAAGCTGGCTGGTTATTGTTCCCAGGTAACTCCGATGGAGATGTTCAAGTTTGCTAATACGCCAGATATCATTGAGTGAGTTGGAAGGTTCGAAAAATGCTTTCATAAGGTTTTAAAGACGTATTTCAAAGATAGGCAGGTTTTGGAAAGTATGTTGTAAAATCTGTACAGCCCTTTCCGCGCCAGCTTTCCACTATCTTCGTTTTCCTCCGAGCTACAGGACCCTTCCATTCGATTCGCAATCCTGTCCCTCTATAAGCCTGAAACTTAGGTTAAATTAAAGGCGCGTACATATAAATGCGCATCGAAGGGAAAGTTCCTGTAGCTCACAGTTAAAACAAAACGAAAATCATGACAAGCTACCGTGGAATCGACTATCCCTGTCACTTTATTCTCGAAACGATAGTAGGAAAAGTTTCAGTATACTAAGTTTTTGGGCTTCGCTATGAGATTCGTCCAAGAATTGTATGAAGTTTTTAAACAGAAAAAAGACACAAGGAAATAAAATAAGCAAAAAAAAGATGAAAATCCGTGTTTTTTGCAGACGAGTGCGAAGGCGTTTTCACCCGAATGCGTGGCGTTTCCGTCATTTCCGCAAGAACGAAAAAGGCGAACTTGGCGTGAAGCTTTACGGACATCACTGCAGTTATGAAAAGTTGCGTCAGATGGAGATCGCTGATGAGTTTGTTTTATTTTTTCACGAGTAAAAAAAAGTATTTAGAAAATTAAAAAGAGCTACGAAAAAAGCTGGATTAAAAAAACTCAGTTTGACGTTGAACAAGCGCTTTTTTTCACCGAAGAATAAATCTGGGGGCGCCTTTTCTAGTCTGTAAACCACGAGCAAAGTCCGAAAGTGCCCAAAAAAGTAAGCCTGAAAAGACTTTAAAAATACCTTTTTAGAGCCTTTCAATGATTTGTTTTTCTCGACTAGGTCTTTTTCAAGGAAACGATAAGGCTTTGAAATTTAGAATTTCCAGAAAAAGCGAAATAAAACGTTCTTTTTCCTGGAAAGGTTAGAAAAAGGAGCATAAGAAAAAACTTTTTACACTTTTTCAGGACCTTCAAAGGAGCTTCGGTTAATCTTTTAAGGTTGCTTGTCTTTGAGCGAGGCCAGCCAATCAGAAATCTCGCTCCAAAATTTTGAGAACTTTATTGGAAATCGCCGTTTTTTTCCAGCCACACTCTCCGGATCGACCTCACTGACATTGAGAGCACTCTCGGATCTTTTCTGGCGATTCAAAGATGTTCCCGCTGTTTGGACGCGTGAATTTCAATACTTTATTCAATTCTACGAGTGCGCTCCAGCGAACTTCCCACTGTAAAACATTTTTTTCCGTGAATATTGGTATACTGTAAATACTCGATACAAAACGGCTGAAAATTGGAAGTAGAATGTTTGTGAATAATCGATCCATTTTTAAGCTATTCGCGAGAAATCGGGTTCATATGAGCGCTCTTGGAGATATAATCTGTTTATATTTTAAACATGAAGCCGTCCTTCGAATATCCTCCCCTCGCTTTCTGATTGGCTTTACGTTGAAAGTCTGGACAGATTGACAAGACTTTTATGAATGTACTTAATAAAAAAGGCCGTTTCTCCAGACTGCTCGACCTCAACGACGCCAATCAAGACGTCGATAAAATCCACGCGTTCAACGCCGTCTGCAAGTTCTCGAATTGGGTTCTGAGCGACGAATCGGAAAACTTTCTGCCGTTCGATTATCAGCTTCACGATCAATATCAGCCTTTTCGGAAGCCTGACATCAGAACTGTGGTTATTTATCTATTTCTGGAATTATTGATTGGAGAATTCAGCCATTTTTATAAGAAAAATCAAACAGCTTTTTTTTCGGAAAAATACCGTTTGTTCAACATTTTTTTAAGGATGAGTCGATTTTTTGGTCTTTCCAAAGTACCTAAAAAATTTTCCAGAGAAAGAGGCGAATTTCTAAGCGGAAACGGGTTCTAGGGGCTGTTCTCGCAGCTCCAAATCTGAATTCTACTCTTGCCACCTGCGAGCCGGAGGTATTTTCCTGTAACTGCCTCCAAAAATCCTTTTTTTTCCATAGGTGGTTGAACTGGACGAGCCGGAGCTGGATGAGAAAGATCTGAAGCCTGAGAAGGAAATTCCCATTGGGCAGAGAGAAAAATCGGTAGGACTACTATTTCAGTTTTTGCTGGAGATATACTGCACATACCGCTAAATTCCGTTTTCAAATTTTTTTCAGATCTCATTTCATGCTCTTTGAAATTTCAGTTCATTTTTTGATTCCTTTATGTTGCGATTGAGAGTAATTAGGTGATTTCAAAAAAAGTCAGTCTTAAGCTCCTCTCTGCGTCTTTGTGAATTAAGTATTTTTTCGCCAGAAGTCTCCCGAAAAGGTTTCAAAAATTCACAAAATGGCCGGCGTTTCGTAACAATAATAATACATTTTGAAAATCATTCTGATAGTTAAGCTCTCTCTTTCTGCGCCTTAAATTACCACATTAGGTTTCACTGAATAAATTATCTAAAAAAAAGTTGGCCATAACACTTCCTGATAAACCGGATGAAGATTCTGAGAATCTCAACCGGCACGACTCCCCAGTTTTTGAGAAAGGCAACCTCAAGGTCCCATAAAATCCTGAAAAACCATTTAAATAGGCTGTTTGAGCCCTCGTTTCTCGAAGTTGAGCAGGTTGAGACTCTCCGCATCTTCTGGCACGTCAAGAAATGTTCTGACCAAATTCGAGGGAAATCACAACCTCAAAGTAAACCTTCATTGTTAGAAGTCCCCCACCGAAGTTTCATTGAAATTCACGTTGAAAATTCGCAAAATGGCCGGCGCTATGTTTGAAAAGAAAGTTCGGAAGGAAGTTGAGGAGCAGAACCCTGGAGCGACTTTTCATGAACTGGCGGAGAAGGTTCGCTTGAAAGTAAGATTTTTGATTCAAAAAATGATTGGATTAATAATTTTTATAGTGGAAAAGTGTGTCGGAAGATGAGAGAACTGATTTCCGGAAGGCGGCAGCTGAAAGTATTTTGAAGAGTCATGAGAAGGTAATAAGAGACAAATAAACGTTTTTTGGTTCCACTTATTTATTCTTAATCCAAATATGATTATTTTTTGAATTTTTATGTATTTTCCAACGGAAGGAAAATTTTTTTTTCAGAGAACCCCTATAGTATGTTTCTAGTTGATTCATAGCAGGTTCGTGAAAATGTTTTCAACATATAGCGAAATATTTGAATATTTATTTCACTCTAATACATAAAATGACATGAGCTACAAAGAAAAAAAAAAAGAAATAGTGTGTGTAAATAGGAGGGCAAGATATCTCTTCATCAAAAACGAGATATGAATTCATTGTATCTTCCAGAAAAAAGAGAACTTTCAAAAATATAGAAACTGATTAGCCAACAAAAACTCATAAAATTAACCACCACCTTGTATTGCTGACAAGGTACTCAACTGGTGTGCCCGTGTTGAACCCCTGTTTTTTTTTTTTGACTTTTCGATTCTCAGTTGTTCTTGAAGGGGGCAACAACGGGTGTAATTATGTCAGAAGTTCTACCAGCTGTATTTATACGGGTTCGATACGGGCGCACCCGCCAAGATTCCGTTTCAGTACGGTTGGTCACCCCTGATCAACATGAGAGGGGAGAACAGTTTCAATAAATAATACTAAAATGAGAAAATCGGTTCGAAACAGTTTTCAACGAAATGAAATAAGAAAGAAGCTGCAGTTAGCCTATTTTGATCCATTTAATTATATAATTTATTTTACCGTTTTTTTTTTGAGAAAAGCTGCATCGCAGTTGAAGATTTTAAAAGTCTGCTTTATAATCGAACTTTTCAGCCCAAATCGGAACCGAATCCGGGCTTTCCGAAAAAAACTGATCAAAGAAAACGAAAGTCTCCTCCCGGTTTGCTGTTTTAAATCAATCAATTAATTAAGACTTTAGTAGAAGATGAACCGCCAAAAATTCCAAAGATGGAGCTGAAAAGGGAGGAAGAAGATGATGATATTATGGTAATGATTGAAAGTATTTTCTTATTTTCTAATTTTTCAATTCTCAGATTCTTGATGAATTTACTGTTTCGAATGTTCCGGCCTCAAAAAGTCCAGCCTCTTAAGAAGGGACTGTTTTTTTCCTCGCTGAAAATTGAAAAAAAGTTATTGAACTTTCCTGTTTCTAAATGTGTTTTTGATTGCAGTTTCGTGTAATTTTTCTTCAATTTTTTTAATAGATTTTTTTAAAAAGGTTTTTTTCATGATTAAAGAGAGCCTATTCCTATCGTTTTTTTTTTGAGTTTCCCCCCAATGTTTTGATAGTTTCGACTATAATCTTATCCAGAGCAATTTTTTGTAGCATTACATTTTTCCTTGTTGTAATTTTTGTGTTTTTTTTCCCAATAGATATAATTATATCCTATAGAGTTCTACGGTTATAGTGTATGGGTTCCGATTTTCATGTTTTGTTTCAGAGAGATTTTTGTGATTTGTCATAGATTTTCAACAGTTTTTTTCAGTTATAGGATTCCGGTTTTATGATTATACATATTATAAGCCTTTACGTGTTTTCTTTTTCCAAAGAGGAAATTATTTTTTAAGGATTGAAATCATTTTCAATATATCATTGAAAAGTCTATTCTTTGTTCTATGAGTTATCCAGTAAGAGTTATCCAGTATTCTTTGTTCTATGAGTTATACCAGTAGGCTACAGCGACCTCTGCCTTTGGTCGGCTAGCCACGCCCTAAAAAGTTCATAGATAGAATCCCTCAAGTTGACTTATTCTGTGAGAAAGAATAAGACTGAATTTGGAAAATTCCGAGATAATTTTGCATTTCGCGCAAATTACTTTGAACACAGTATTCGAATAAACCATTTTTCACGTTTTATGATTAAACTTTCATTGAGAATATTTTTGTTGTTTTTTATTAAATTATTAAAGGGTTTTGTGGCTCGTTTATTAAAGGGTTTTGTGCCTCGGAATATTATCTTTATTTTTTTTAATTCTAGAAATTAGTTTACATAGATTGTTGAATCGTTGCTGACTTTTCATGACTTTTGAAGGTCTTGGAACATTCAGAAAAAAAGCACTGCAAAAAAATAGAGGTTGTCAATTGGATGGGGGAGTACATTCTCCTCCACATGAAACCATCAACTGGTTCCATTTGCGAGCTACAAAAAGATTTGGTAACTTAAGAAAATTTTTCGAGCGAATTAATGCGTTTTTTCTTCAGGAAAACAACGGTTTTGCGTTTGTCGAAGAGAATTTTTGTTTGGAATGCCCACCGGCTGAGTTTGTGAGTTACATAAAATTATTCTAGAAAAGAAAATCTTTGTAGGAATTAAAAGAGCATGAGAAAGTTTTATGAATCTTGGGGCGAAGAGCCGTTTTGCGTCTTTAAAATTCTCAGAAAAAACCGTTGAATACACTGAATTGTTGAAAAACATCCCGCTTGTCGAGAACTCCAAAAGAGCTTGGACCTTTTCAAGAAAAAGATGTTTGAAGGAACCAGTTCTTCTATAAAAACCTCAACGACGAACTTGCGGTAAATGGACTAAATTCAGAAAATTCCAGACCCGTTCTTTTGTCCTGATTCTGAAGGAAACCGATTTCAAACATTTCAACGATTCTATTTTGGTTAGCAACAAATAGTGTTTAAAAACAGAATATTTTAGCGTCGGTATCCAACAATTTGTTATAAGAATGTTAAAAGGATTGCTGAACTGTTGCCGCCGAAAAAAGATGTGGGAATTCAGGTAAATTCTGAATAGTCGATTCATCTCGATATGAAACAACGACTTTTGATATCTTATTGAATCTTCTATGATGGAAATTTTGAAAAATTTTGAATGAATTTTTTTTGAAAGCTACTCCAAATGGACCCGAAAATATCTGCGCAGAAGTTGATGATAATGAAAACGAAAAGGTATGCTTGAGGTAATAAAAAGTCGTTTCAAAAATATACCTTGGATACTTGAATTATTCTCAGGAAAATCGTGACTATATTAATCACATTAAGATTAATTGAAAAGCATCCGAGCTTTTGAACAAAAAAGAGGAAAGTTTGATGAATCACAATCTTCTTTGAATTAGGTTGTAAGGTGGAAGTTTAGCAGGGAAAAGAAACCAAATTTCAAAAAAATTAATTTTTCAAAGTTTTTGCAGTACAAGGAACAATGAGAAAGATGTTCATTTACATAGGGAAAGTTGTAAGAGTCGGGAAAGGCTTCATAGAAATGTTGCTTTTAGGCTTCTTTTTCTTTTTCTTTCTTTCTTTGACTTCTTTTACAAAGGCTTCTTTTTTTTTGCCTTTTTGCGCCATTTTATCAGCTTTTGTGCACCATTTTGAGCCTTTTTAATGAAAAAAATTCATTTCAAAAATGCGAAAAAAATGGAAGGCTTGAAAAAGGTAGTCTTTTTACTGTCTTTATGCGGTCTTTTTTGAGCCTATTTCTTCCAGCGGCCAATATCCACCATTCTGACTTTGCCTGGGAATTCAGTCTTTGATCTCTCTTTGGAGGAATCTACTGAAAAATCGCGAGAAGATAATAGCGTAGACACTTCGAGTTCATCCCCGGCTGTAAGTTGTGAAAAGCTCGCTTTTTTCAGTATTGACTTCAGATAGAAGTCATTTGTGACATCCTCGATTTGAATACATCTTTGAAACTACCTTACATCGATGAAAAACGCAAACACATGCGATTTTGCCTTCTTTGCGATAAGTATGTCAACCGGAGGCTGCTCTGCTGCTTCACAAAGCACAATTCTTTTCTTCGAAACTCGCAGAACTGGAAAGAGTTCAACGCGTTGTTCAAAAGGATTCATGCGTGGGTTTTCTTGAGAAAACTGCTAGGCAACAGTTAAAATCATTATCAAATTCGGATCCGGTGGATTTACAAGCTAAACCTTGAAAAAGGCGCATTAAGACCTTCATTTCGCGATTGGAATGGCTCGGCTGCGTAGCGGGTTTACAAAATGAACCTTATTGTCAGAACAAGGCGAATAATTAGGGCAAGTTAGAAAAAAAAATTATTTGAGACTAGACAAAACAGCTTGAAAAAGGTCATATGGTGCCCTAACGAGCAAAGCAACATGGTGACCAATCTCGATTGCTGCCAACTTTGAATCGACCTGCGAAAAAAGTAGCAGAGCAAGGTGCGACGCTTCGAGCCATTCCAATAGAGTGTCAAGAGAGCTCAGAGAATTCAGACTTTTTCAAGTTTTGCCCGACGAACTAGAGAGTGAAATTCTCTCTTTTTTGTAGACTATCAGCCTGCTCGTGCCAAAGTTTTGCTTATAAAGTTTATTCGATCCTTTTTAAATGGAAAAAAAAACGCAAAAACACTAAAAACTTCATTTCAGAGCGTTCAGAATCAGAAGAGACAACCTGCCAGTCACTGTTCAAGAGTTGTTGGGCAACATTATCCCTCAAAAAAGAGCAAAAATTATTTTCCCCCTGTTAGAGGAACGCCACGGAAAGATGCTTTTTTGTAGAGAAGCGACGCTGGAAACTTATAAGGAGAAGCTTGTCATCCTCAATGGGGAAGGTATAACAAAAATTATGTTTTAAACTCCTTTTTGGGTAGTTTGAGGGAGCATAGAAAAAATTAATAGTGGTGCGAAGAGCCGATAACAGTTTCTTTTTAAATCTTCAAGCACTTCTGCGTTTTCAAAGTTGTAAGAATTCGCAAGACAATTGCGCCTTTAAACAGCCTAACAAAAGGTTTGAAAAAATTTCAACCGAAGAATCAGCTCAAATCATATTTTGACGCAGATTTCTGGAGAGCCGGCCGTCGATCGAGTGAGAATATCCCACAGCCACTCCAGTTCATAGCCACCTACGACGCGGTTTGCCTAGCCTTGAGAAAGATCCCCTGGAAGGGCGGCTTCGACTACGAAGAGTTCTGTGATGCGATCATCGACGCCAGAAATGATATGGACGAAAACAAAGCGCGTGACAATTTGCTCGAAGAGGTGGTCATTCGCGACGACTTGAAATTTTCTGATTTTTCTGCTCTCTCGTATTTGAGTGCTTTTTTCATACTTCTATGACCTCGTCGGGAGAGAAAATATACGCAGGAAGGTCATACTTATAAAATTAACCGAAAAAAGTTATTTAGAAATTTAGATTAAAGTTGAAAGCTTAATGAAAAGTTTTGGAAAGCTTAATGAAACTTTTTTATACTTCAGGATCCCCAAATTTCAGAACTAGGAAACTATTTTTCGCGATACATCTGATTTTCGAGTTGGACCTTCAAAACTTGCTCAAATCACGACAGAAAAGCGCTATTTCAAGCTTTTGAAGCGTTATAACTTGGAAAAAAGATCAACTTTGAGATATGTTTTCTCTCCTTTTAACTAGGGAACGTTTTTTACCCACCGGTTGAACTTTTGCTTGAACTTTGCTGAAGTGTACTTTAGGACCCCCTGATTCCAGAACAAAAAGAAAATTTCTAAAAAAACGTTTCCTGGTAAGAATCAGGAGGCGCAAAATCACTATTCGCAAAAGTTTCATCAAAAGTTCAGCTAAAAAAGGACTGAAAAACGGTCTTCGCAAATATAAATAACTTCAACCTCTATTTTGTTCAGATGACCAAATTTTCTCGTGGCGTCTGGCGAACACTGTCGTCTCTTCTCTTGGTTGCTTCAGTTGACGGTGGCCAACCAGCTCGAACCTTCGCTCTCGACCCCAATTTCACGACAATATTCCTGGACGCCACCAAGCGTTTCATTTTGTCCCTCCGTTTCGTCTACTGGAGCAATCGTATCGAAAAACACACCGCAATCGGCTACCTCAAACAAGTCAGCGCACTGCTCAATGGCCTCAGAGAAGCCGAGGAAACCCTCAAATCGTGCCGTTTATTGTCCTCATTGATCCGTCGGGTAGCTATCGATGTTCGAAAAATGATCTTTTTGACTTTTCTCCAGGAAAAAATACAGCGGGACAAGGAGTCCATCAATTTGAACAAGCGAAGTTGGCAGAACGAAGGCGATTCTGAATCTGAATCCGAGTTTGAAGTCGAAGACGAGGAGGAGGAAGTGCATTCGGAAACGTTCACGGTACATTTTCCATTAAAATTCTGCTGCTCTGACGTTTATTCTCTTCAAATAAGACTATCGATCCGTTCAATAAAGGTCGCGAAGCGAGATGCCGTTTTTTTGTATAATTTTAAAAACACCAAGAAATCTTCTAATAAAAAAAAATTGCATACTTTCATTCTCAAAGGTCCAGAGAATTTCCAAGACAATTTTTCTCGAACCTTTCTAAAAGCTTCGAATAAGCAAAAACTACGAAGTTTTCAACCCAATTCATTATAAGTTTCAAAAAAGAAAAAGTTTTCGGTTTTTTGATGGCGGTAAAACTTTTTGGAATGGATAGAAGCTTGTAAAAGACTTCAACTTTTTCAGAGCCTTCCTAGTGAAAGTGGTTTCTAAATATCGTCAAATTCATGATTTCACTCAGTAATCCTTTTGAAAACGATGATTTATTGCATTCACAAAACATAGTACTCGACTTTTAGAGGCGACAAAATTAATAATAAATTAAGTTTTAATTGTGTCTTTTCAGGTCGCCTCTGATTCAAGAAGCTCCTGTGAATCGAACTTTGAAATAGAAAAAATCCCGTCTAAAAAATTAAAAGTTGAGCCGGAAGACGAAGGAGATGAGAAGAATTTGGTAGGTGTCGCTATAAATTCCTCTGAGTTTCGCTATGCAGTTCAGAAATGAGTTTTCGAATGAAGCAGAAAGGAAAAAAAGTTGATTCAGTTTTCGAATTCACTAATTTTTCACTAAATCTTGAAATTAAAACAGTACAACGAGAGGTTTATCTCAAACTTGGGCAATTAAATCATATAATAAAAAAAAGGTAGAAAACAAAATATGAAATACGACAAGCCATAGAAAAACTTTAAAGAAAAAGAAATGGAAGATAGGGGTAGGGGACCGAAAAAGATGAAAACCCGCGGCTGAGTACGGCGTTGCTCAAATTCATGGCTTTCCGAGTGGTGAGAGTTTCGGGTATATGTCAAAAGAGCTGCGAAAATCGAGCCTCCTCACTGTTTGAGATAAAACTGCCAGCGAAAAATGGGCTGCCCAAGAAATTGCCAGAGAAAAATCAGCTGAGAGAAACGAGCTGCGAAAATTCCGCCCGCCGTTGGCAGGTTAATCGCGCGACTCTGCGCTCCATCGAGAACAGTAACTCGGACATTGGTAACGCGAAACGGACGTGCTCCGGACGTTTCTGGGCGATTCTAGGGATCCCTTAAGAGTTCTGAGGCTACTAAAGTGGTCACTAGAAATGCCCCGACACGTCCGATTCGCGTCCCGTTCGCGTTACAAAGGTCTGAGAACCGAATTTCGTCCATTTCCGCTCATTAGTATCTTAAAATATAGTTTTTTTCTTGTTTTTATGTTGAATGATTTCAAACTACATCGTTGAATTTTTGAAAGCAATTACTGAAATGTCAGAAAAAACAGGACAAACATGCAGAAGTGATTAAAAGTGATAGTAAAAAAATTATCTACATAATTTTTCCCGGATTTTGCGTTAAAGGAACTATTTAAAATTTTATTTGCCCGTTGCGTATTGAAAATAATGAACATAACAAAATATCAGTTCATTAAAAAAAACCTAAAAAAAGAACAAAATGTGAGCATGACAGGGTTTTCCGATGAAAATTGTCTTTATCTTTCGTGAAGTTGCGGAACCAATACTCGAACTTCTCATCATCGCAAGAAATCAATCAACCCTGATTGCTTTTAAGCGTCCTGAAACCTTTTTTTTCATTATTGAAAACGTTTTTCAGACTCTTATAGACTGACTTCGCCCGATTTCATTCATGCTGGCCTGAGGAGCGAGCCCAAAAGATTAAGAACAGGCGAGAGAAGTCGGGGAAGGTCTACTTCCTTTTCTTGAAGGGAACCAGCGTCGTTAAAAACGGACGGTCTCTTTTTTACTCCTTGGGGCGAACCAGTATCATCTCAGTTTGTCACTAGCCTATTATTGAATTTGGTTGCCGACGGATGGGCAGCTTTGAGGATGAAGGGTTAACGAGAAAATGGTCTACAGAGCTGATTTTGAAAGAATTGAGATTGGGTTCTCTCAATGATTTGTTGGGGTAGGAATTCGGGAAGATGGTGATAACAGCTTTGGAGATCTGTTACGAGTTGTTACGAGAGATTTACGACTTAGAGCGCGCCATTTCACGTTACATGATATAATTGAATCTCTGTTGGAGATCGTTCTAATCCCCGCCGTCATTCTGGTCCCAGAGTTTTCCTTCGACGGGTAACGATATTCCGTTTAACTTTGAGCCACGAGTAGTCAGAGCACTCAGACTCGCCAAGAGAGTTGCGTAATGGCCGCGGCACTCTTTCGTAAAGACGAACAAAAAAAAAATTAAAAAAGAGAGGGCCGCGAGGTCTTTCACTCAATTACCTCAAACTCAAGTAATTGAACCATATAATTGAATTAGAAAGAAAAAAGAGATTGTCTTAAACTTGACCAGAACCCGTGCTGGCCAGAGAAATGAGCAGAAAAGATTAGAAACAGACAGAAGAAGTCGAGGAACGGACCGTCTCCTCTCCTCGAGGCTAATCAGAATACTCTTAGTTAACTTCCTTAGCCTGTCCATGTATTTGGTTGTGTTTGAATCGAAAACACTGACGTCTGATTCAATATGCTATACCGAAACGAATTCTGAAGAGTCACCAGACATCCCGCCCCCAAAAAAACAAACTTGGAGAAAAACAAACCGCCTAGGCGGAACAGACGTTAAAAATCAACTTTTCATCACTTTTAAACTAAAATTCAAAAAGGAAAATGCGCTCTAAGTAATCATTATCCAACAATTTTTTTTTCTCTAAAGGTCAACTTTTGAAAAAAAAAATTAATAATTTTATTGATCGTCATAAATCTCCAAAATACCCTTATTTATTCCACCTCCACAAAAAAAAGTTTTCTGCTTCGTGGGATCCGTAGAAGTTCCATAAAAAGGTATATTTGAATCTTTTCAGCCGTCCTTTGATACAAGAAGCTCCTGTAAAACAAATCCTAAAGAGAGGAACTTTTTTTATTCGGGTATTTTTTTTTTTTTGAAATCTTGAAAGTTCATTATCCATTTCCAACAGATGGTGATACTCCGCAGCGGCCACCGAAAAAGCCCAAATTAGAGCCTGAAGAAGAAGAAGAAGAATCTCAAGATAATTTGGTAAGTTATAGATAGAAAAGTTCCTCGATAATATCCATTATCAAGTGATAAACGAACTTTAAAAAATGAACTGATGCGGTTTTTTTTAAATCACTAACCTTTTATGAGATGAAGGGAAGATTTAAATTTCCGGAGGACTAATTTCTTGATTCTTAATTTTTAAAAAAACAATTTTTTTGCTTTTTTTGAGTCGTTTAAAAAAATTCATTAATTCTCTTTTTCCAGTCAGTCGTTGATTGGAGTCGGAGAAGCTCCGCCCTGAATTTGAAGAAAAAAAGGAAAGAAATTTTGAAGAAATGAATCCGTCCACTTTTGGTTTGTATCGAAGTTTTTTCGTGATATTTTTACTATTAGTTGAAAAAAATTTCACGACCGCTACCGAAAGAGCCAACGCTGGTGCTGAAAGAAGAAGAGAAGGACGATTTATTGTTTTTTAATGGCGTTTCTTCGCTTTTATTCAATTTCTTACAGTTTGAGCCGAGCAGCTTTCGCCTTCAACGAAGCATGAAATTTATTTCGAGTCAGTGACGGAATGTTTAGAATTTTTTCAAATGTCCGACAGATGCAGTGAGGCCAGGGAAAGAACCAAAACCCAAAGAAGACTGATTTTTTGGTAATTTTATTGAAAAGTTGGAATTTTGTAAGAAAATTTTTCAGATTTAGGAGTGATAGCTGTAAAATGGATGTTTCTTCAGGAAAAAAGATTATTGCATTTTTTCTTGTCTGTGAATACTTCTTTTTTTATATATATTTTGTGTTTTTATTTTTGAAGATGAAGAAACAATCTGAAGTACTTTCACAAAAAATTTTTTGTTTTCGTACTCAATACGTGTTTTTGTACAGCGGCATTTTTACCTTGATGTGCCTTTTTAGTACCTGTGATGTTTTGGCTTTTTTTTCTGAGTCATCCGTTAGTGGGATCCCGGGACGCCATTTGCTTTAATGGACGCTGTACAAAAAACTATTTCTAGCTTCTTCTTTCGTCAACATCAATTTTAAGCAGATAAAATCCGATTTCTTTTCATTCATTTTTAGTCAATTTGTCTATTGCATGGCTTAATATTCTTAATTCTCTTCATTGATAGTTGTATTTCCATTTAATTCCATGTGAGATCTTTTTCTTGTGCGTTTTATATGAAATTTTTTTGAATTGCATTTTTTTGTTCTTTTTTTATTTTAGTCGACTTTTTTTCCTGTTCATCGGGAATCTTTTTATTATATAGTTTCTATTCGCTCTTGTTTCATTAATGAAGTAGCCAGTTACGATCAAAAATTTTTCGGGTTTAACTTAACCAAAGTAGTCCCTCAAGGGCTTCCCTAGCAAAGTGCGCTGCACCGAACTCGCGCTCCAAAAATTAAAATTTGAAGATTGCAGTTCTTTTCTCTTTTCTGTTCGTATGTCCACAGAATTTGCTCAAATCGCTGATATATACAAAATTTTAACGATTTGTCGTGGGGAAATCAAAGAACTCACGCATTATATAGACCTGATCGACAGTTTGCCGCCAACTTTGCATGTTAGAAGTTTTACGGAATGGAACGCGAAAATGAGGGTTGGTTTTGCAGTTTTTATTTCATTTAGTGATATTTGTATAGTTTATCAATCATTTATTTTGTTTTAAACAGTTTTAACTTAGGATGAACGGAATAATTCGAAACAATTATTTTTTGTTTCTGTATCGAAATGCGAATTTTCCCGTAAAAATTAAATGTGATTCTCTACATCATGGGAAAGTTTCCTACTTGATTGTCTTATTCTTGCAGAGCAGTTTTTCTGAAAAGTTTTGTTTTTTTTTACATATGTATTGTAGTTTTTTTGTTGTAAACTTTCATAAAAAAATATAAAAAAATATGTTTTTTTGTTTCAAGATTTTAACCATCAATTTTTTTAAATTTCATTTATTTATTATTATTTGAAAGTTCTATGACAAACTCAGATAAGTTTTTTCGAAGAATTTACTTTGAAGTAGAGTTTTTTTCAATAGCTCGTTGAATTTTTAAAGTTAGTTGAATCGAGTTTTTTTAAAGGAAGATAATCATTTTTTTCATTTGAGGTCAAAATCGAATCATGTATCGGCGTGCACATCGATGTATACGAGAAGCAGAAGGCGAGGTTGGCCTCCTGTCGATTGAAAATCGATGAGAGTGCCGGGTCGACGCCTCTGTCCATTAGTTTCAACGAGGATCTGAACCGCGTGATCAGATTTTGTGACAAGGTATCCGTTTTTAAACAAAAGGGAATTAATGGGATTTTCAATTAAAAAAGCTTGGGAAGATCAAATTTGTCTCTTTTTAGATGATTTATTATGGCATGTTCATCGGAAAAAAAAACGAAAAATTGTTCCGGAACGAGGCTTGTGCGAGGGCCGGCCCGTCACCCTCTCGGCCCCCGACCATTTCGTAAGCCCGGCCCGGCCCGGCCTTAGCGGGGCCTCAAGAAAAATGGCCCGCCCGGCCCGAAACGCGCAATTTTTTCTAGTCGGATATCAAGTTTTTTTACGACAAAAATCACGTTTTTGCTCATTTTTTTCACTTGAAGTTTAACAAAAACTATGATTTCAGAAGTAAACGTCACATTTCGGTGAAAAATTTTTTTAAAGGAAATTTTAAATTTTTTGAACCCTGGCCCGGCCCGAGTCCACGCGGGCTTTTTTTCCTGAAAAATGAGGCCCCGCCATTAATATTTTTTTAAAAAAATGCCGCCCGGCCTGACGCACAAGCCTGTCCGGAACGCAAGAAAATTGTTACAAAACAAAAATTATTACTGTTTTGGAGCAACTTTGGTGCGCCAATGAACACGCTTGAGCGTTTTTAAACATATCCCTTTTACCCGATGAAAACGCCATTAATATATGTTTTAAAATTTTTGAGAGTAAAATTTAAAATTATCAATAGAAAAATAAGTTAATTTCGTTAGCTTCCGCATTTATTGTTTGAGAACATTTCTGGTTTCTCGTAGCCAGCTTAAATTTTATAATTTTTTTTTCCTCTCTTTTCAAAGTTATGCTATTTCCACTCTATTCATTTTTTACATGTGAATTTAAATTTAATTTGCTTTAAACATAGCAGAACGTAATAGTTAGGTAGAAAATCTCATTTTTTTTGAAAAATTTTTGAAAGACGTCATTTTGAACGTTTTATATCGAATAAATGTTCGTCTTTTTTCGAGGTGCATTTATAGTCTGTTCAGATTTTGAATTTCCAGTCATCGCTAAAACTCCGCCCCTCATGCGTAGATCAAACCAATCAGAGCCAGCCATCCACAGCGTTGCGGGGGGCGGTGTTGTGCCATTAAAAGTCTGAACAGACTATAAATTAAATTTTCCTGTGATGTTTTTTTTTCTTTCAAATTTTCCTGATATCTTCACGATAACGGAATATATAGATTGTTTTTTGAAAGTTTGAAGATTTAGGCTGAGTATATTATGACAACAAAAGGAATTAAGTTTGCTAACATTTGTATAATTTTGATCAAAGTTCCTTTTTAGGCCATCTGATAATTGTTTACTATTATTTCAGGCTCATAAAAACTAGCTTATGAGTTTGCAGGTTCTCACTTTCACGGCAATGCCGACGAGTTTTGAGCCTTTCCCTCGGCTCGATTTGGAAATGGAAAGCGCCTTGGAACGGCTCTCGAACGATGTGAAAATGTTTCGTTTGAACACTGAAAAATAGGGAATTTTTTTGTTTTCATTCGACATTCCTTGTTTCTTTTCTACTTTGTACTTTTCCGCCTTCTATCGACATCTTGTGTTTTGTTGTTCTTCCTGTAATAAATTTTTTCCATTTAATGGAATCTGTTTCATTCAAAAAGACAAAGGATTATCATTACCTTGATTATTTCTTCAATCACTGAAATTTCCGCGATTCGCACATTTCCACCGCTTTTTGATCGTTTGAGAGATAGGAAATAGGAATTTCAGGCCAAATGAGCGATGTCAGAGTTCGACGAGTTTGACCCGTCTCACGATGCGCCCTTGCCGGAAATCAGAGAGGCTTTGAAGCCAGATAATGTGTGAGTTATGAAAAAAAAAAGAACCATTTGGTTCGTTGAGATTTTGTCATGAAGTTCAAAGGAACATAGAGTTTTTTTTTAATCGAAAATGGTCCAGGCAAGATTTTAGAAAATTGTGAGAAAATTTAGACGGCTCCATAGTGTCCGGCGTGATTGTACGCCAGTAGTCACTTTTTTTCGCCCAAAAAACCGTAAAACACTTTGCTTCAGAACCTCATGCTTTTTTTTAGGGATTTCAAACCGAAAGCGGAAAAAAACTACCGCTCAAAAGTGTATTAACTTTGGTTTTTTGAGAATATCTCAGCGAGTACTTATCCGATTTATATATAAGGGATAATGTAAAATATACTTTGAAACATATACGTTTTACAAAAACATGTCCGCAATCACTGCGACGCTTTTTAGGCATTTTTTTATTGAATTCAATTTTTTTGTTTTTTTATGCTTTTTGTTTTTATTATTTTTTTATTAAATTTTTTTAAAAAAAGTAATAATGTTGCCATATGTTTTTCATGTTTTCAGACATGGGAAGAACCTCTGGAAAAAAGGATTTGACTGATAACGACAAAAGAGCCATCGTTGTGGGTCGTCAAAATGGACTGACCATGATGACGCTGGCAGGAATGTTCGGCGTGACAGAGGCGGGCATTTCTGAGTTCCTAAAGCTTTGGAAAGCTCAAGATGGCTCTACTAAGAGCCAATGCACTGGAAGACCACGTGTCACTGATCGTAATGAGGATAGAAACATTTTGAAGACGTCTAGAACCAATCCAAGACTCACCGCCCCTGCGATCAGACGGGAGTTTTCTTGAATTCGCCATCTCCGCCATCCGTCTCGACCGTGAAACGACGTCTGAATGTTGCTGGAATCATGGGAATACGTCCAGTGAAGAAACCGCTGATTTCTGAAAAGAATCGAGCCGGCAGGGTGAAGTGGGCGAAGGAGCATCTCAACTGGACCCGTCAAGACTGGAACAAGATTCTGTGGTCCGACGGAACGGTCCTTCACCATGTTTCACAGTGGGTAATTGGTATTTCGGATGATATCTGGACCCAATTGGTCTACGAACCCACTGAATTCCGTCACTCCCGAAGAGGAGGAACTTGCTTACGTCGGACCACAGAATCTTGTTCCAGTCTCGACGGGTCCAGTTCAGATGCTCCTTCGCCCACTTCACCCTGCCGGCTCGATTCTTTTCAGAAATCAGCGGTTTCTTCACTGGACGTCTTCCCATGATTCCAGCAGCATTCAGACGTCGTTTCACGGTCGAGACGGATGGCGGTGATGGCGAATTCAAGAAAACTTCCCGCCTGATCGCAGGGGCGGTGAGTCTTGGATTGGTTCTAGACGTCTTCAAAATGTTTCTATCGTCATTACGATCAGTGACACGTGGTCTTCTAGTGCGTTGGCTCTTAGTAGAGCCATCTTGAGCTTTCTGACGGTTTAGGAACTGAGAAATGCACGCCTCTGTCCCGCCGAACATTCCTGCCAACGTCATCATGATCAGTCCATTTTGACGACCCACAACGATGGCTCTTTTGTCGTTATCAGTCAAATCCTTTTTTTCAGAGGTTCTTCCTATGTCTGAAAACATGAAAAAAAATATATGGCAACTATATTACTTTTAAAAAATTTAATAAAAAATAATAAAAACAAAAGCATAAAAAACAAAAAAAATTGAATTCAATAAAAAATGCCTAAAAAGCGTCACAGTGATTGCGGACATGTTTTTGTAAAACGTATATGTTTCAAAGTATATTTTACATTAGCCCTTATATATAAATCGGATAAGTACTCGCTGAGATATTCTCAAAAAACCAAAGTTAATACACTTTTGAGCGGTACTGTACATTGTGCCATTTACTCGAATTTTCCTAACCAAAAAAAGACGATTGAAAATAGTTCTTCTCCGAAAGTTCTTCTCCCATTCCGAGCCAGTTTGTCACGATTTTTGTTTTTCTCCGAACTAGAGCATCATTCCGTTCGAAAGGATGTTTCTCTGAATGTGTCTTTTATTTGGCCTGAAACTTCCGATATTCTAAAAGCAAATATAAAAGTCGCGCGCGTCGAAGGGATGAGTTCTGTATCTTGGAAGAAAACGTAAATCGTGAAAGTGTGCGCGGAAGGGTTTATGCGCCTTCAAGTTTCTAGAAAGAATGATTGAGCAATATCATTACTGATTTTTTTTTTTTGAAATGATGTGGTTGATTCAGAAATCTCTATGAGAGTACGTCAAACAAGGGCAAAGGCTTGACGGCGACCGACATCGAATCCTACATGATGTACAATGTCGAGACGGGACGCGCCCTGCTGGCCGACAAACATGTCCTCTTCATCGGCGATTCTTGTAGATTCTTTTTTTTTATTCGATGGAAATTCGATTCGTTCCGACTTGAAGCTATGTACAGTGCCATTTCAAGGCTGGCTTAGGACGCAAACGGGCGGTTTGAACTTCATTTGAAAACGCTCTGCGGAAGGCTCGCTCCCTGATTGGTTCTTCGCGTCATTAGGGGTCCCAAGCTAGCTGTCAGTCAGCTATAGGTGACGATGAAGGAATTAAAATCAGAAGAGAATGTGTAAATCAGTGTACTCTCGTTTGCAATTTTGAGTTTTGAGCCTAATAAATTCTTGGCAGCTGTTTGGGACTATTGTCATGCATTTAAATAAGTTTTTCAAACAGGCTAAAATAATTGAGCAAGATCAATAGATTTAAAGCGTTTGTGAGAATCGTTAATTTTTCAAATGATGTCACGATTCCAGTGATCCGCGGAATTTACAAAGACCTGATCCTGTTCCTCCAGAACAACGAACTGACCACCCACGAAGTCCTTCGCAAATCCAACGAAGTTTCCACCTATGGGGATCGCCAGGTTACTGTTTCAAAAACGAACCGAAAACCGTATACTTTTACAGATTGACATCATCCCTTTGGAACTGAATAAAGTTTTCCAGCAGGCCCGCGAGTATCAGAGCGATTTCCACCTTATTCAATACGTTTTCACCTCTAGGTAATTGGCTCTGAAAAAGCCTGGGAACAGACAAAGAAAATTCTCATATTGCATAGGCTGCAGTGTTAAATGAAAGAGAATTATAATAAACACACAAAACTTCAAAATACCAGACCTTGAAGCCTAATATAAAAATAAAACACGCCCTGACGCACTGCAGAAAACTTAGTCTTCAACTAGACATTTAAAAAAGGAAAAACGCTCTTAAGCAAAAAACTAATAGCAGGGACCACGGTAACGCTGACGCTGCTAAAGTAATCACTAGAAAGTCTCAGAAGCGTCCGGAGCGCGTCCGTTTTGCGTTACCGAGGTCCGAGAAACCAACTAGAGTCCTCATTTTTTGAGGATACGATATTTTCAAAAACGAGTATTTCATGATAAGTAATTTTTATTATAGGGCAATGCGGTACGACCTTGAGAAGCTTGTCCTAATGATTGAAAAATCAGGCGAACGTCCCGACATTGTAGTTATGAACTCGGCCCTTTGGGATATGACTAGGTTGGTTTCAAAAGATTGAAGCAAAAAGTAGTGATTTCCATAGATATCGATATGATCGAGAAGAGGACGACGAAGACTGCACCTATGAGGAGTATCTTCACCGGTATTATTCTCCGAAAGGGAAAAATTATTGTGACCTATTTTTAGGTTATCAATATTCTTAAGATTGATGAGGACGGTTTTACCGCCGGATGCGATGGTAGATTCTTTTGAATACGTTTTCCAAAGGAATAAAATAATTTCCAGTTCATTTGGGTAACGATGCCACTGATCAGTGCCCCGCTCAAAGACCGCGGGTTCCAGTTTCATGGAAATCAACCCTGGTCCAGGGAGGAATTCGAATACGGCAGGTGCGTTCGAAAAAAATCGAAAACTAGAATTTTTAGACTTTTTGTTGAGATAGTAACATTCGGAATATTGGATTTGTTCATGAAAAGTCAAAGTACCCACTAAACGATTTTTTACGTTCTTCCCCTAGCTCCCACTACAAGGAGTAATGTTCTCATGATATTCTTCTTTTAAGGGATATTATTTTACTTGTAAAAGGCCAGTAAAAGGAGTTAGAAATGCTCAGTCTAAGGTCCAAGTCCATACTGATAAGCGACTTTCCTTCCTCCGAGAAGGCCAATAAATATTTTTTTCAGTATATATAATCTTTAAGAATGAAATGCCTCGAAGGCAACTACCGAGCCGTGCAGTTGGTCCGCAACGCTGGATTCGACGTCCTAGATTTGGCCTTCTACTTCAACCAACAAGCTTTCTTTCCGATGAGAACGTGCGTTTGACGATGGGACAAGTAAAAATAAATCAATATTGTATGAAGAATGGGAGATCAAAAAAAAAGATATATTGGAATAGTCATTTTTGGCGCTCTGATGTGATTCTTATGAGAAAGGCCATAATTTGAAATAAACTTGAGGACGTTCGGAGACAAAAGGAGATATGTAGCAAGACACAAACGTCTTCGGCTCTTTTTGAGACCAGATTTGGGATCAGCATGGAAAACTGCCTCTAGTGAACCTGGTCTCATTAAAAAGTCGATGATAAAAACTTTTGGTCAAAGGTAAAATTCTCTTTTTCAAATTCATCTTTTCCTCAGTTTGGAAAATTTCTTCTTGCTTATAAAATCATTGTGACTACGAAGATATAACTCTTTCACAAAAGTTGAAAAATCATCCCAATTTGAAATTTTTTCGGATCAAAAATGGACTGGACCGGTTTCCTTATCGGAACTTCTTATGAAATACAAAAAACTTTCTTTCTGCCTTTTTTAAACATTCCTCAAAGAACTCAGAAGTTGGGTGAAATCTGGTCGACTTCTGAGTGAGACTAGGATAAATACAGAAGTGGAGGATGGCTGCCCACTGGCCGCCCTGCCTGCCAAGCCATAAACGCCCAAAAGCAGAAATGACTTTTTCAATAGTAAGTCAATGAATCATTTCTATCGCATGGCCCAATGGCTTGGCTTGGCCGCCAAGCCAAGGGCTGCCTTCCCAATCCTCCACCTCTGGATAAATAGATGAGGGCTGTTCGAGAAATTGCTTTTTTGATTCGACGGCAAAAATTTTCCAAAAAAATTATCGAGGTACCCGCAAAATTTTTGATTTTCTCTCTCGATCTCGAGAAGTTTAATAGAAACTTTCCGGCGAGACTATCAAGCGCTTAAAATCATGATGAACACTAGAAAAAGAAATAATATGTAATCACCGCATGCGAGTCTTCTCATGTTATTTGAAGAAATAGGAAGTTTTTTCGGAGAGGGAAAAGTAACATTACGGCAAGTCGAGACGAGATCTCGACCCGTTCTTGTAGAGGGACTGGTATTCTTACGTTGTTTCTTTCTTTTCTTAAGTTAGCCTTTGACATGCTGAAATTCCAAAACTATTTTCTTTCGGGGCTTCTGAATTTCAAAGACCGACTAGTAAGACTGAAGAGTTTTTCAGAAGCGACGGCGTCCACTGGGGCAACGTCGCGTGCCGATTCATGACCCAAATGTTGCTTGGTCACATCGTCAACGCCTGGGAACTCAGAGTCGAAATCCAAAAAAGATATATCGCCGTCGACAAGTAAGGAATTCCCAGATCTCGCACTGTAAATATTTGGCATTTTTCTAGCGAATCTTTCAAGTTCCTCGAAGATGCCACCGCTTTTTACGATTTGAACTTCTCCAAAGAACTACCCGAGGATGTGTTTCCACCCGCCGAATCAATGCAGGTTTGAAACACTGTCTTTCGAAGACAAGTTGTTGTCAGTTAGAAGATATCAGCATGGTTCTGATGTCCGAATCTGAGTTGAGCCTTAATAATAATGAGACCCGCTAAACGCTTTCTTCACAACCTTCTTCACTGCCTAACGACGTTCTTTCGAGTTTTTCAATCGATCAGATTCAAAAAATAATTGACTTTGATAAAAGTTGGATTTGGCTTGGTTAGAGACTTATTGGAGTTATATTTTGCATGATTTGAAGCGCTACGGTATCTCAAACGGATTTGTAGTCTGCATGGTTTTCTAACTTCGTTGTTGCCGATTGTGAAGCTATTGAGCCAAATTTCGATGTTTTTGCTATTAAAAATCCACCTCGTTAATGGAAGCTTGGTACCGTAGCGTTTAAATTTATGCCGAAATGTGACTAGAGCAAAGCTAAAGTCGTGACAAATGTCCAGTCTTGGCGTAGATTCCGGAAATCTGTCCACAACGGAAATGCAGAAGTTGGTTGGCTGAGATCCTTGTCAACTTGATCACACAGAAACATCTTTTGACAGGGATAAAGTTGTGAGAAAATGAGTTTTCGGAGCTAACAAGTTTTAAAACTCAGTTCGGATCGAAATTATTATTATCTTGTATAGAATTATTTTTTTGGGTTTTCAGAATAATCTCCGAGAAAACTTCGTGGACCTTCTTCCAGATGAAAAGTGGGTTTTTGAGGTTAATTCACGTTTTTCTAAAACGGTCGAATGATTTTCGAAAATTCAATAAAATCTTATTCAGATATTCTCTATGTACTCGGATAATATAAATCCGGTTTTGCTTATTGAACAATTTTTACCTTTTTCCATTAAATTATTGACTTTTGTCCTCACCTCGAAGCCTTTACCTTTTTCATCTGTTAGATCAATTGATAACAAGAGTATTTGTTCAGGAGAGAAAAGATTCTGAAATTGGTCGGAATGATGCGGGCCGCCCTGGGACTGAGCCGGATGATTGAGGACTGCGAGAACAAATACTCCTACATGTCGGTCTTTATCAATCAGCCGAACATCCGCAAGGAGATCCTGCAGGACTGCGGCTTGACGCACGCTGATCTCGACAAATTCCGCAACGAGGTCATTCAAGGAGGATATAGGGAGTGGTCATTTGAGTAGCATCAGTGAAATCTCTGTGGTCAATATAGCCGGTTCATAGCTGGCTTGTGCCATTGAAAAAAGGGTTTTGTCACGATTAAAAAAGGAGACAGTGCTGGGTTGGAAGAGAGCGCAGACTTGGCATGCCCATTCCCGTCTCAATTTATAGTCTGTTCAGCTTCTGGATCACAAGTGGTCGCTAAATCTCCGCCCCTAATGGCGCTATGAACCAATTAGAGAGCGAACCTTCCCCAGAGCGTTTTCAAAAGAAGTCTTTGTAATTTACATTCTAAACTCTGAACAAGTTATAGCCATGAATCGGCTATCTGGACCCAGTTGAAGGTGCTCGGAAACTGAAAAACTTTTCTCTTGAACTACCGAAAAAAAGCGTGTCGAATAGGATCAAGTGAAACTCGAACTTTATTATTATTTTTTTTGAACTTTTCATAAAAATTCAAATTTTTAAAACCTTGGTTTCAAGCTCCATTTTGGGTTTGAAGAGAACTTTGAAAAGTCTTGTCTTCTAAACTAAAATTTTGCGTAACTCGCGAATGGAAGAAATCCTAATCTAGGCCTTCGGAAATTTTTTTAAGCAAGTTCATAGATAATTTAAAATTCTTGTTTCTCCACGTTCAATGCGCTTTTTCCCCTTTATGGGTGATCTTTCTCGTTTGCAAGTGCTCCTACGAGGGTCAATATAACCACCATCGTTTCAACTCGAACAGCAGTCAAATTTCTTGGATGTATCTTTTTTTTATTCCTTTTTCTTTCAGCTCCGATCGCTATTAGAAGAGCTGCAAATGAACACTCCGCAGATAGTCAAAAAGATTCACAAGCGTCGACACGCTGATGAGATCGATCTGACGTGCGTCGACAGCGAATCCGTAGACGACGAATCGGAGAACATTGACGAAGAGGTCGAAGTCTTCGAAATTGACGTCGACGAAGAAGAGGACGATGATGATAATATGGACATCGTCGACGAGGAAGACGACGACGACGAAGAAGATCATTTGGACGTCGTCGACGAGGAAGACGAATACGAAGATAATATGGACGTCGTCGAGGGTAACGAAGACAATATGGACGTCGTCGACGAGAAATACGGAGAAAATGTTGTCGACGTCGACGAGGAAGACGACGGTATTCAGTTTCTCTACTCGCTTAAAGGTGCGACGAAGCCTCAAAACCCCCCAACGCCGACGCTTCCCGAAGATCCGGTCTCATCGCCGAAAACCTCATCGGACGAAGATCCCGAAGATTTGCTGGCCTCTCTGGACGCCGAAGTCACGGATGCCATTTCCCCTTCGGAGACTTACGATTCCGACGTCGCCGTCGTGATTTCCGACAGCGAGGAGGAGGAAGAAGATGAAGAAGTTGAAGACGTTGAGACACCTCAAAGTGTTTAGTTCATTCACCGCTAGCTTGGAAAAATGCAGAGTTTGCTGTGCGATCATCTTCATTTAAAGGAAATACATTAAAAAATTGCTGCATAAGAAAGAATAGTATTGAAACTGTCCAATCTGTCGTTTCCCTCAACTACGTGCTTCCCTCGCTTATAAGAGAAAAAAGAGCGCAGACAGGTCAAGTTGTGACAAATGATTCTTTTTTTATAAATCACGCTTTGAGATAACGTGTTCCCTCAAGTTTGAAATCTTTCTGTTGAAGGATATCAAGATTTTGAGTCGCGCAGGTTTTTGAAGCGAAAAATACCGTACAGCGAAAAATCATTAATTTTATTTGAGAAAGAACAAATTAAGAAAAGTTAAAGTAAAGGAATTTTTCTCTACAAGATAGCGGTGATTTGAATCTTTCCAAAAAAAAAATTTTTTTTTTGTTTTTTGCATTTTCATCGACTCCTTTGCCGTCAATGTGGTTTTTTTTTTCTAGAATTTGCGCTTTTTGATTGCATTTATTTCCCATTGGTTGGAGAAATGTGCACCTTTTGTACTATAAGGACACTCATTTCCTTCGATTTTTCCTCAAGAAAGGCCTAAAATGATTTGTAAACTCAGTTTTTTTGGAATCGTCTATTCCTTTTTGAGTCCAAAGGCTGGCCAGTCGAGTTCCTGAGCTCTTATTTAGAATGCAAATTCAGAAAAAAAACCATTTAAAAAAGATAACACGACGTAATAGTTCATTCAATTGAAATTAAGTTGGGAAGCTCGAAAAACGCTATTTTCTCTATATGAACAATCATTTGAATAGCTTTTTCGAATTCTAAACTTGCCTTTCGAAGATTCCGAGAAGATTTGAGGACTTTTTCAACATTTCCTCGAGGATTTCGAAAACTAAATTCAAGAATCATTATTGGTCGTTTTTTGTATCATAAATGCCTCATAGGTTTACTATCAAATTCAGTTTTTCCATCGTTCACTTGAATAGCAGATTGCTGTCAATTTTTTTTTCTTCTCACTTTTGTTCATAGTTCTTTATATTTTCTTTTTTTTTCGTGCCTTGTTCCTACCTGTGTTATTTGTTTTTTTGTTCACTTTGATACCTCACGAATGATTTCACTTGCCATAATTCATGCTTTTAAACAACTGAAAAAGGGTCTCGAATAACTCTACATTACACGTATTTTCGCATAGTTTATATTGTCACACGCGGTTTTTTTTCCACTTTAATCTTGCCAATCTCCAAGATTTTTTTCATGTATTATTTCAAATTTCACCATTTCGAGAAGATCGTTTGAAATTGAATAATTGTTGCCATTGAAATTTATGCATTTTTGTTGTTTTTTTTGGACAAGTAAAGTGTTTTTTTTTTTGGATTTTGTGAGGTTTTGTTATTAGTTGAATTCGAGTATTTTTATCTGTCATTTTTCATTTTTTTACGATTAGTTGCCAGTTTGTATTTTTAATTTTTGCCCCGGTTAGAGGATGAAAAAAAATCTAGATATAAGAATATAGTTTTTTTAAAAAAATTTTTGATAAATTTGCCTAACAGATTGTGTGATCTTGAAAACTTGTTTTTTTTCCATAATCTATTATTTTCGCCCTTTTTTAAAACCATTTCGGACCTCGGGAACGAAACGGACGCGCTCCGGACGTTTCTGGGCAACTCCAGGGTTTTCATGAGAAAGCAGACGCTACTAAAGTAGTCACGACACGACCGAGGCGTGTCCGTTTCGCGTTGCCAATGACCAAGATCTTCTAGGAACCTTATAGAGCAATGTTAGAAATTCTGTCTCAATCGGTTTTTTGATCTTTCGAGTTTACGGCTCAAACGGAAGTTTCTCGAAAATTTCGAAAATTTCAAGTTAATACTTGAGTGACCCTTCTTCCACTCTACTCTAGTCTCCACCATCTGCTTTTCCGACCGCCAATCGAATTCGTTTTTTTGTCATCAAAACAGGTCGATATGTGTATGTTTGTGGTGTTTGACGCGTTATCTTTCTTCGCGAGAGCGCAGGTTTCCGTACTTTTGACAAGTTCCTCCTTCCTTTTTGAGATGGTATCAGGTGTAATTAGGTTGTAAAGTCGGCCTTAGCGAGGTTGAGTTCTTTAGAATTTTCGAAAGCCTTTTTTTTTAACGAAGAGAAAAATAAATACTAGGTAAAAATTTGAGGAGCGGATCTACACTTTTGGAATGATGATGAGTATATATGAGGCTCGTGCGTCAGGCCGGGCGGCCAGGCTTTGGGCTAGTGGCCGGGGGCCGAGAGGCTCCGATGATTTTTTGATCTTACCCAATTTTTTAGCCTCTGAAAAAACTTCTATTGCTTATTTTTGGGAAAAAGCTTGTGCGAGCTCGGACCAGGCTTCAAGAAAAAAGTCATAGTTTTTGTTGAACTCTAAGTAAAAAAATAAGCAAAAAAGTGACTTTTGTCGTGAAAAAGAACTAGATATTCGACTAGAAAAAACTGAGCGTTTTGTGCCATTTTTTCTTGAGGCCCCGCTAACACGTAAGGCCGAGCCGGGCTTAGATAGTGGCCGGGGGCCGAGAGGCTGCGATGATTTTTTGATCTTACCCAATTTTTTAGCCTCTGAAAAAACTTACTTCGATTTGTCATCATAATAGCAAGACAAGTGAATGAGTTTGATTTCGGCCAACGAAACAGCTGAGGGAATGGCGTCTGCCTTGTCTGGCGTCTCTTTCGCCAACCATGCTCTCTCTGACTGTCTCGTCGGCCGACGCCCGCGGGTGTCTCGCGGAATTGTCATCATTTCGTGACGCTCGTGCGTTCCTTCCCTAACTTTCCTTCCTTTTGATATTTGGCAAAAGAGTTTTTTTTATATTTCTCGGCTCTTTTTAGACGGCATGTTTTGTTAGATTCGTTTCTAAGTATGTTGTTTAATCTATAAAAATTGGTTTTTATCGATTTTTTTGATTTTTGACTCTTTTTCATCATACTTGAAATAAATCATTTTTTTACTAACATTAAAAATAAGTTTAGATTATTTAAGAACTGAGATAAGCTCATAAGCAGAAGGCTTCTTCGGCTACAAATTTGCTTATTCTATGATAGAAAAAACAAATTCGAGAAAATTCCTTTTTTTTTTCTAATTTTCAAAATCTTATTGAAAGGTTTCTCTAGGAAACAGCTGAATGAAAGTGATTCTAGTCCTTTTCTGAGCGAAAATTTTATAAGGTTTCACTGATCCTCACTTTTTCATGAGAACATTTCATTTTTGCTGCGATCTTTGTTGTACTTTTTCAAGCTGGGTCCAAAAACATGAGATATTTCAAAATAATGCTAAAACTTGCCATATTGAACTTTCACGTGTGTCACCGGCGAGAATCGCGTGATTTTTAGCGTGTTTCGAAAGGAGTTTTTCTTTCTGTTGGTTTTAATTCATTCTCTGCGAGATTTTATTAACATTCCTACGCGGCTATAGACGTTCCTGGTCATTTTCGATAAATACTCATATTCTTTTCACAAAAAACTGCTTAATTGTTCAAGTAATACTTTCGAAAACCTTCTTTCTTCTTCATTTTTCGGCTTCTTTCTCATTTTGATTTGAACATTTCTACTCCTTCTATTCTATTCTATTCTATTCTATCCTATTTTTTTTATTTTGAACAATTTATGAATTTTCTCGTCTAGACGCCCTCCCAAAGGCCTCTTCGGTTCTTTGTTTTTGAACACGCACTCATTTTCTATGCTTTTTTTAAAAGTACGTTTTTGAAAAAAATAAATGATTTTTCGTTTCTTTTTTTGCTGTAGCAACCTTGAATTATTGTAATAGGATGAGGTTTCTCGAAATTCATTTTTCAAACAAAAAAATTAACTGCACATTTTGTTCACTACTGAATTTGTAGAAAAAAGAAACTGTAACTATAGAGATTTATGAGCTTCCTTTTCTTGTTCATCAGCTCATCGGTTTTTAAAAAGTATCATTTTTTTAAAAATAGTTTTTTTCGATTTTTTTCATGACTCAAGCAGTTAATCGAATTTGTCAAAAAAATATTCTAAACTTCCTCAAAAAGGCTTGGAAAGGGCCATAAGATATTCAAAACACTGCCTAAAAAAACTATTCAATCGACATTTTTTTAGAATTTTATCGTTTTCCACTTAAATCACCCGTTGAAATTTAATTTACATATAAAATCAGAATATTCAAAAATAAATTCCTAAATTGAAATTCATAAAGAGCAATTTTTCGTCAAAAACCTCCAGTTTTTTAGTTTTATTATATGAATTCATCGATTATTATTGTTCAAGATAATAATTTTTTCTAATCATAGGTACCTTTTTAGGCGAATCCTAACGATATTGGTTATGATATTTCTTTTTCCAATATTCTTCCAGTTTTTTAAAGGATTTCCTCGGTTATCATCTTTCAAGCTTTGGATTTTTCTCAACATTAATCTTTTTTAGCCAAATCCTGACGGTATTGGCTGTGATCTTGCGTTTTCCAGTTTTTTTGAGTTTCTTGTCATGGATTTATCGATTATCATCATTCAAACTGAACTTTTCCCATTTATTTATTCCAGCACACTCCCAACGATATCGGCTTGACCACAAAGAGCGATCCATCAATCGATCATCTCCAACTACGTAAAGGGCACAGACACCGACAAGAATCGATTTTTCTCTCGTTTTTTGATTTGGTCTGCTTACTGGTCGCCCTCATGAACCAGTGAATGGGAAATTGGCTCTCGTCGGTGTTTTTTAATTTCGATTCGTTTCTGTTCGCCGTGACGGGCGTCTCGTTCGACCGACGTCTCTATCTTCGCGCCTATCAGTTGTCTTGTTCGTTTTCTTCCATTGAGGAGGAGTAGCAAAACAACTCCACGCAGTTTTCGAACATTTCCATGCGTTTCAAATTTTTTCAAGAGCTTCAAAAAATTTCAAAACTTTATTTTTTATGAAAAAATAGAGCTTGTTTGAAAAAAAAAAAACGCGAGAGTTTGTAGTTCTTTGCAAAGTTCTTTCTTTTCGAAAAAGGATTAAAACGATTGACCCGATAAGAAAGGACCGCTCCGGCCATTTCTTATCTTTTATTGATAAGAAAAGCTTCGAAACTGGTTTTCGCCAGGTGTTTGGTCATTTTTCTAGGGTAGTTTTTGGCTTTTTCCGGCTGTTTTGACGTTTTAAGTGTTGAAAATCGGTTTTTTCAGAAGTTTATTTTGCAGAAAGCCACTAAAACGCGTTTTCAGCCAGTCTTCAATTTAAAATTGTTTTTACAGAAGAGTAAAAATTGACTTCTAGGAAAAAATTTCAAAAACTCAGTTTCCAGCCGTAATTTAGTCAATTTTTTCAGTTTCTCTGCTCATTTGAAAATGATTAGAGCATTTTTTTTCTCTATTTTTATGTGATTAGTTGGTTTCTCATTTATTCTGACTTCTTTCAGATAATCGAAATTACTACGATCCTTCGGGATTATTGACGGCCGCTGCACAGATCGCCGCCACGGAAAGAATGTCCAAAAGGGTTCGATTTTATTTTTATTCTAAAACATATTTAAATGTTTTTGTTTTTTGCAAAAATATTGGTATCTAGCTTTATTTTTCATCATATTTTCGCGTGTATTTGTAATCATTTGCATTTATTTTTTTCATTTCAGAGAATAGTCATCCTTATGTAGTAAAACAGCTATTTTACTAATTATTTTTTTCAACTGTGCAGGTTTTAAAATTATAGGTGCCCCTTTGCTCTAATGATAATTGTAGTGCTCGGGTTTTTTTTTTTTTTGGAGACCTCTTTTAAAGTTTTTTTGGTTTGTGCGCTCTGATGAGCAATCCGAGTCGCCTTGAAATTTTTTCTGATAATTTTGGGTGATGGCATTTTTTACCATAACTTTCTAAGTTAGAAGAAAAAAACTGAGTCTCAACATTGGAGAGTCTCCAAAAAAATCTCATTTTATCTTCGTAGCTTGAATTTTTTCAAAATTTAATCACCTCCACTTATTATATACAAAAAGCCACCTAAAAAAATTTTTCAAAAATTTTTTTGATTTTTTTCCTTATATTCCGAGAAAGTCTACTACGAAAAATTTTTTTCATAGAATACAGGAAATTTTTTTATTTAATCCACATATTCAGATCCGCCTCAATTTTTTAATATTTTCAAATATTTTATTAATTCTTTTTTATGTAGTATTTGGCTCAATATGTTCTTCTAACACGCAGTAGCCAAGTAATGGAGAAAATAGCTTTAAACTTCAGAAAAGTTTTGATTATTCTGTATAGAAGCAGAAAGCTTTTGAGACATCAAAATCACTTTAGAAACCTCAGTTTTCCAAACTAAGAAAAGAAAGGGAAAATAGCAAAAGTCATCACTTCCTCGGCCAGAATATTTTCGTGTCAAGATAAAAAAAAATCTTCACGTGGGCGCAATTTGGCTTCTTCGAAGCGAATAAGATTGAAAGGCGGAAAGTCATCATTTTCCGTTTTCTTTCAGCGATCTGAACGGTCGGAAGAGTTTACCTCACGTTTCTCTGGGTGTTCTTTGTACCCTGCCTCTTTTTCACCGAGAAAAAAGGTCTCAGGTTTTTTTTTCCTAGGTGTGATACAAACTGAAACTTGCACTTTTCATTCTGATCTAGTTGTTCGCTCCAGTGTAGTTTGGTTCTCTGCAAAGAAATTCCCTTGTCATCATTCCTTTTGGCCTCGGCTGCAGAAGAAAAAGTTTAAAGGAACAGTTTTTGGCCTCTTTTTGAGCTCTTCGAGTTTAAAGCAGATTTGCTTGAAAATTGATTGTTTTTTGTTTCTAAAAGGGAAAATCGCTACAAAAAAGCGGTTTTTAATGATGTTTTGCGCTCTATGGAAATTTCTCAGTTTATTATACTTGAAAGACATCAAAATGGTCGGAAGTTACCAATTTAGCTCCGTAAATGTATTAAAAAAATATCGATCTTTTTGCAAAAACACTATGGAATAATAATTTTTTTCCTGATTTGACTTACAGGTAAAGCGATAGGGAGTTTTTCTTCAAAGTTTTTTTAACCCAGCTAAAAATTTTTCAACGATTTTTCAGCTTTTCACAGCTAAAAAAATGTTATAAATAAAATCAATATATGTTCAAAAGTTTCGATAAAACTGGAAAAAAACGTCTTGAATCGTAAAAATTTTTCCCCGCTCCATCAAGAAAAAAAATTCTAAAAAAATTATATTTCGTAGTTTCTAGCTTTTAAGGAGACATAAATGAAAGTCATCATTTCGTTGTCGCCAGTACGACACTTTTTTTCTCAGAATTGTCCACGAAATTAGAATTTTCCCATAACCATACTTTGCTCTTCTGATAAATGATTGAAAAAAAACTCGCTTAATGAGGAAAATATTTGAAATTCGCCTTTTTTGTATTTTTTGTGAATGAAATTCTACATAATTGAAACGGGGCAGCTGTTTTCTGCAGCATTTTCGCGCTCTCTTGATAAACTCTGGGATTTTGTGCATTTTAACGTGTTCGAAAGTGATGATAATGAAAAGTCATCATTTTTTTTTCGTGAGGCTCACATGGAATTTCCAGCTATTCCTTCAACTTTTTGCGCCCTATGAATGAAAGAAGTATATTTTGTCAATAAGTGATGATCCCGTAGAGTCCGAATAATTTGAGGGAGGCTATTTTTCACAATGATTTTCCGCTCCATTGATATATCCCGTTTTGAATAATATAAATAGGATTTTTATTCTTTTTTTGCGCTCTGAGGATTAATTCAAGGTTCTTCCTGTGATTTTCAATTTTTTCAAGTGATGATAATTCAATGTCATCGTGTGGTCTTAGTTTGATCTCTATGGATGGAACGGCTATTTTTGTCAGAAAAGCTATATTTTTACACTTCAATAAAAAAAAATCCGCTTTTTCGTGAGTTTTGGTCATGGAATGTCATCATTTCGGGTTTGAGATATAGCTATTAAGCGGGCGACTATTTCTGCCAAGGTTTTTTTTCCAATTGGGAAAAATCGAGGCTATCTTGATTCCCAAACATTGGGAACCTTATTAATGTCTTTTAAAAAAAAAGATGGCCATATAAAAGTCATCATTCTCGAGGCCTCAGTACAGTAATTTTTGATGTTTGTTCATTGTTCGCCGAGTTCCAGAGATTGGGTTTGTCATCTGTTTGGGATCTTTACCGATTTTCATTTTGTTTTGTCTGGCAAACTTTGTTTATCAGGGATTTCTGACAATTTAGCCTCCATGGGGAGTTTAGTGTCCTTTCTGTCGGCTTCTGTAGTCTGTCTGGTGAATAATTTTTCAATTCCCAAAATTTTGTAGCTTTCTGTAGGGTTTTCCGATTAGTTACTTAATTTGCAGTTACTCATTAAATATGTTTCAATGAGTTCATCCGAAAAAAATATATGAAAATTGAGCATTTTCTAGTTTGATGATGGTGGTTTACTTTACGCTGAAAAACGGACCGAAAAGACTCTCGGACCCACTTTTTCCTTAAAGAACAACCCCGATAAAGACGCTTTATATTGGATTTAAATCTTCATCTGAATTATTTATTTACTCTTCGAAAACCTACTAGTTACTAATTGGATTATTGTTTCTAGTGTCGCTCTATAGAAAAAAAGTAATCATTTTTCTGAAGTACATGATCAGTTTTTTTCAGGATAATTAGTAATTAAATGGAAAAAAACAGGAAAAAAACGCTGTTATAGTCAACCTATAAAATAATAATAACACATTCATTTTATTCACCAGGAATTCTGTCTGTTGTTTGAAACTTTCAAAGTACTTCGAATTGAAGACGTGGAAGTTTTTATTTGTATTGAAAGGTGTAGTTTGGGGAAACCTGAAGCTTTATGTAGTTTCAAGCTAGAAATGTTTGTCTATTTAGAGCGCTGATATAATTTTGAATCTTTTCGGGTGGTTTTTCAACTCTCTTATAAGCCTGGTATTCCAACAGTTAGCCATTTTTGCGTTAAGTTTGCTGGCTCATCTGGCTCTTTTTTTTTGAATCAGAAAAAGGCTTTTCTGCTGGAGCTTTTCCGCTCTAACAATAATAATTTTCCAACATTCTTTTGCAAAAGTCAGATTTTTCCAAATCCCAATTCAAACCAGTTACTGAGTTTTTACCGTTAATTTCACTCGATAGGAAGTAAAATAAAGGGATTTGTTCAGTTCTACAAGTTAAGGAAAATAAAAAGTCGAATTGTGAAAGTACTGTAGACGTTACGAAACTGATGAAGGTTTCAACAAGCCTGGGGGTAGGATTTCTCATTTTTCGTCGAAAAGGCGAAAAACTCCGATTTTTCTTCAAAGAAGTTTATTTTTCTAGTAAAGCACCCAGTTTTCAAGACTTCGGGAAGTGTTTTTAAGAAAGAAAAGCCTTTTTTGAGAGTAGATTCTCCTTGCGATGTTTTTTCAAGAAAACGACAAAGACTTGATAATTTGAAAGGACCGGTTTTTCTATGTCTTATTTTTTAATTTTCTGAACCTGATTTCTTGACGAAAGCTCCCTCTCAAACGAATGGAAATCGCCAGAAATTTTTATCATTTCTCACCAAAGACCACACTTGTATTCTGTGTGGTTTGTTCGTCGTGTAGTGTCCATTTTTGCGACGGCCCTCCTTCGAAATTGTCATCATTTTTCTCCTTCCACCTCCTTCTTCCCTTCAATCGACTGAAGATACGTTCTGGCCTCCGTCTTTTCCTTGTTTGAACTCCAATTTTCCGAGTTTCAAACTTCAACAATGAAAAGAAAATCAAAGAAGTCCTGCCTTTCCAGTAAAGTTGGTTTTTTTTTCATAAGCTCCAGTTTTGTGTAATGGTTTTATCGATTCTCTAGGAATATGAGTTGATTTCATGTCAATATTTTTTCTTTCTAAAGTGTTTTTATCCGACAATCTAAATTTTTTTATATTAAAATTCAATTGAGCTCAAGGAACTCTGATTGATTTTTCAGGTTCCCATTTAAAAAAAGTTTTTTTGGTCTACAAACCACAGTATTTTTTTACTTAAAAGTTTTTCAAAAAAATGCAAGATACTATTTTTTTAAATTTCATTTTTTTGGTTTGAAATTTTTTTACGCGGTTAGGTTCAAAAGTTTATAGATTCGAAGTTTCTTTTCTCATTTTTCGAAAATAGTTACAGGACTTTGATTCATTTCCTTTTTCAGCACTTGATTTTTTTTTTTTCACTACAATTCTTTCTAAAAGCCCCTGTCACCTTTTTTTTTAATTTTTTGTAAACTCTCAGCCTGATTATACCTGTTTAATTTTTTTCGTCGAAACATGAATTTTGGATTTTTAGAACTACACCCAATCGATTTTTGTAGCCTTGAGGCGTACTCGCAGACGATAAGTTTCCTTATAATCCTTGGGAAAGCAATAAAAGTTTTTTTTTTCATGTAGAAGCGTAGGTTTTGAAGTTAATTTTAGAAAATTTAGATCTTTTTTGGCTTCATTTATAATGGAATCATTTTTTTGCAGAAGCCGTCCGCCTCTCAACCGGGCACTAGCGGCATGTCGGCCTACAACGATGACACGGATATGGTAACTTTCATTTTTTTTTTCCTCTCATATAAATTTAATCAATTTTTCTTAACGTTAGTTTGGGTAGTTTCTAGCTTAATTGAATAGAAATCGGAGTTTATGAGAAAAAATCGTTACGTTTATTTTTCTTTCAAATCATGCGAGAACCTACAAAAAAATTTTAATGATGATTACAAAAATAGTTACGCGAAGATCAAATGAAATGCTTTGTTTTGACACGCCGAAAAAGCCCTCATTTCGATTTTGAACTTTTCCCCGCTTTTTGTCATTGTCTGGCTGGATGAGAACGGCGGCCCCGCCCTTCTTTTTCATGTTCATTTTTCATTTTCACCCGAAATGATGACAATTCCTCCTCCCCCCCACGTGTTCTTCGTGTTGGATTTTTTTTTTGAAGATTTTCTAACTTTAAGTTTTCAATCAATCAACCAATCATTTTGATTTCGAACTGGATTCCTCGATTCATTACTCAAATAAAGCTCAAAAATTACAACTACTAAGAATTTCCATTCCCCGACAGTTTATCAAAAATGGTTACTGTGAGAATAGTTTAAAGATCATCATTTTTCGTTTCGAATATTGGATTCTCTGGAATTTGGCCTAAGTCAAAGGTGAATCAACTATCAGCACATAGAATTGTAATCCCATGGAAGAGTAAGAAACCGATTTTTAGTTATGACAGAAAAAAAAGTTAAGTTTCAACTTCAGAAGGTGGTGTTGACTTCAATTTAAGAATACTCGGGAAAAGCCGGTCTTCAAAAATAAATTGTCCATGTGTAGAAAAAAAAAAAAGGAAAAATTGAATCTCAGAGACTCCGAGTAATGACATTTGTTTTCCAGGAGGCCGAGATGAAGTCCGACGTGAGCGACTGGGACAACGACGACTTCACGACGTCATCGTCGGACGATGACTGTCCGATCATGACCAAGGAGCAGGAAGAGCAGATGTTTGAACGAGAACGGCAGTTGGCTTTCCGCGGACGGTTGACTGTTGGAGATCCTGAGGTGTGAAGTTGGGAAAAGTGGAGAAACAGGCCGTAGGGTTTTTACGTTACTTTGAGTGACTTCTCTAGGGCTGTCTAGATCTGCTGAGTCTTATGAAGAAGAGATTGACTAAAAGTCAGGCATGTACAGCTGTTGAACTGTTATTTAGTGAGTTATAGGAGACTCTTGAAGGACTGCTTAAGGGCTGCTAAATTCTTCAAAGTGATTTCTCTCTCTCATTCCAAACATCAAGATGAAATTATCGATTAACAGCCAGTTATATAGAGCTCCTAAGTGGCTCCTTCAGGGCCGCTGAAGATTCTAAAGGGATTTCTTTCCTAATTACAGTCTCATGAAGAAGTCGTTGGATGACGGCCAATCATAAATAGCTGTTAAAAACTCCTGATTGGCTGTTTCAGGGCCTCTGAAACCAATTGATCATCCATATCAATATCATCAAGCTCATAATCTCTTTACAGAGCTTCGACCAAATGAAAAGCGACATCGAATCGCGCTGTGGAGGATGTCGACCCTCGACCAGCGTCGCCTTGATCTGCCTTTCTCGCGAAATCGGCTCCAGAGCTGGAAAACTGACTACCAACAAGAAACAGCCGTTGTCCAGTGGGGCGCAAGTCGCCGTCAACAACAGCTTCTTCCCGAACTCGCGCAAAGTAGTCCAGAAGATCCAGAGCAAGACGTTTTGCTGTCAGTACGTCAAGGATGGACGCGAGCTCGTCGTGGCTAGCCAAGGTGTTTTTTTAGAGGGTGTTTTCGCGTAGGTGCTTGTTTAAAGCTAAAAGTTTAGCTTTTCTTAAGAAACGTGCAGTATAAGTTGTAGTTGTCATGAATTCTGAAGCGACCACTGAGAGCAATTGAAGTGGCCTTTTAAGAGGAAAAAATTTTTTCATGTTACCTTTACACGAAAAACACGGTTTTCCTTTGAAGAATGTATGAGTTCCCAATAAAGGAAATGATTGCCCGAAGTGATCTGTTCAGCGATTACTTTGTTTCTAACTTTTTGAATTCTAAAGAATAAAAGTTTTCTTTATTGGTTATCTCAACGTTAGCTTTTTCCAATGATAAAAAGCTGTCAATAAGAAATTTCAACTAAATTCAATTTTTTTCAATTAACTTATACTTGCAGACGAAAAGATACGATTCTTCAAAAAAGATGCACCCTACGAGAAACGATCCAATCGCTACGTCTTACAGAAGGAATTTCAAGTGAGTTTTGAGGTTTTCAAAAGGTTCGGGCTGATTTTAATGCAAAGATTGATATGAATGAACTAGATTGATTTTGAAGAAAAATTGATAGTTTCAGGCCAGTTTCTAAGTGAAAATTCAAAAATATGATGGACGATTAGTAATGACCTCGCTATATCTTCAAGAGCAAGAGATTTAAATTTTAGTAGTTTCTGAAGATTTTCTTATTGAACTAGAGTGTTTTACACATAAAATAGTTTTCTCTCAACATTTCATTCAATTTTCTCAAGGTCCAAGCCTGTGGTTGGTCGATTCTGGACGTCGCGTTGGACCGCGAGGGATCTTCTTTGATTTATGGAGCCTGGGTCGATGCCGTTTTCTATGGAAGGTAGGAACTTGAACGATAATCGAGAAATATTTGAGATTTTTCGCAGATTTACCGAGCCGTCGGCAGAAAATCCACCTGGTGTTACCTGGCATACGATGAGGATCCCCGATGAATATGAGCAGTGAGTTTATTTTTGTTCTTGAAAAAAAAAAGAGGTTTTGGAGCTTTCTTCAGTAGGTGTAGCACAAAATTTACATAAAAAATGTTTCGCGACTGTGAAAAAATAGCCGTCGCTAAGGCCGTAAACGTGTGTGCCTCGGCCGGTTAATCTTTTTTAATCGGTTGAGCCATTCTACGTGCAATACTTTCTGATGCAGTGGGGCGCAAGTAGTTTCAAGTCTGTCGTGTGGGAAAAACCGATGTCTTCAGACTTCAGACACAACCTCATGTCTAATCTTTTCAGCCACATGGCCGTGTTCTCGGTGAAGTTCTCGCACGCCGGCGACGAAGTTCTATGCGGCGCCTCGGACCACAGCCTGCACGTATTCGACGTTCAAACCAAGGAGCGCGTCGTCAACATCACCAACGCACACGAAGACGACGTCAACAGCGTCTGCTTCGGCGACGAATCCTCGCATCTGGTGTTCAGCGCCGGCGACGACGGCCTCATCAAGGTCTGGGACCGGCGAGCTCTCAGAGAAGGCGACCATCATCCGGTCGGTGTCTTCGCCGGCCATCGCGACGGAGTCACGTATATCGATCCTCGTGGCGATAATCGGTGAGTTTTGAAAATATTTGAGGCTTGTGCGGATCCTTGAAAGGTTAAATTGAAGCTTCTAGTGATAATAAGAGAGGTGGGGACATTTTGATAGTTTTCGAACAGCTTCGAGGCTTTTAAGTGTATCTTGGAGGTGAGAAATTGAGAGTTCCAGCTTTTAGTGACACCTGGAGGTGTAAGTATCAACGTAATTCCAGTTATCATTTCTTGGTTAAATTCCAGTGGCTTCTAAACAATGTTGAGACTTTTAATGGTACTTGAAATTGGCATTTTTAAAGTTTTAAGCGATACCTAGAAAAGTTCAGATTTTAATAATAATAGATGTGGCTAAAGTATATAATCAAAACTAGTAAATTTGAAGTAGCTTGTAGAGGGTTTTAAACTCGTGGGCGCAGATATGAAGGTCGTGAGTTTGTCTACAATATAAGCCACTAGAAGGAGTTTCAAATGGCTGCTATAAGATTTCGAGCTCTTGTTTTTATCTAATCTGTGAAAGACTGTTTGAAGGTCTTAGCTAATCATTGAATGGCGAGTTGAGTTTCAAGCCCATTATAAGGATTCCATTGATGCTTCTACAACCACAGAATCATTACTGGTCCTTTGAAGGCTCTAATTGGAGCTTCCATGACAATTTCCCTCCTTTTTATCGTTTCATCAGCTGACTTTTACCGGTGTTATCTTGGTTGATGGGGTGCTATGTGAAAATTGCATCATCCCTCAAAAATTTCCTTCATTTGTTTGATTTCAGGTATGTGATCAGCAACTGCAAGGACCAGACCATCAAACTGTGGGACTTGCGCCGATTCTCCGACAAAACTGGAATTGTGAGGATTTTTTTTTTCCACATCTGCGATTTTCAACTTTTCAAAATTTTTCAATCATACACTTTCCTCAAAAGCTTCTTTTCATGCAAAGTATATTTAGATGTTAATTTCTTCATAAAAAAAATAGTTCTAGAGAAAATGTCGCAAGAAAAAAAAGAAGCAGTTGTTCTAATCCAATCGATCGATATTTCCAGGACGCGACGAAGAAATGCGTCCAATCACAACAGTGGGACTATCGGTGGCAGCCGGCGCCCCCCGGCCTCTGCCAGCCGATACACGGCGACACCTCCGTCCTGACTCTCCGCGGCCACAGCGTCCTCCACACGCAGGTCCGCGCCAAGTTCTCTCCCGAACACACCGGCAAACGGTACATCTACACGGGGTGTGCGCGTGGCGAAGTCGTCGGTGAGTTTTTATCCCATTAACTGAAATCTTTGTAGAGATAGTTCATGAAAACAAGGCAACAAAGCAAAAAACAGAAAAACTGGCTAAAAATTTTTTCGAATTTTAGCTCTCAAGGAAGGTCATTTTCTAAAAAAGAAATTGGCCAGAATACACTTTGAAGTATCAGGTGGAAATCCTAAAAGCCTGAAAAAATATGAATCTGCAAAAGTTTCGAGTTTTTGAAAAAGGGTACCTGAACTTCAAAGAAAAAGAAAATCATCAAAATCCGTTGAATCGGAATTTTTTTGGACCGACCCCCCACAGGCGTGTCTCTGCAGCTCACCTGCAATAAAAAGAATCTTAATTCACGTTTTACTTAACTCGTAACTTTTTTCAGATTTGTTTTCTTGAAATCACTAATTTAGCTCAAAACAAATCGTTCTCGAGTTTTCGACAAGTGTTTATTCATTTTTGTTCAGTTTACGACTTGTTGTCGGGAACTGTGACGAATCGGCTCAAGGGCAACGTCGCCGTGACCCGTGACGTCGACTGGAATCCACAGGAGAATGAAATCGCTTCGTGTTCGGTTGGTTTTTACAGATATTTTTGAGTGAAGGGTTCCGAAGTTCTTGAATTGGTTTTTGTTTCAAATGTTTTGAGAAGGCGCTGAGAGGAAAGTTCCGGCGCTTCTGAGCTCTTCAGTGATGCAGTAGCACCTCTTTAGTGTTCACTTAAAACTCTCATGAAGTTCATAGAATCGGACGATCCATCCCCGAAAAAAAGCCGAGAAATTGGTTGAGAAAAGGAATCTTGAAATACAGTTCCTTTTTTAAAAGCTGTCTCTTCATATTTCGAAAATCTCGGATTACAGTGGGATGGCACGACGAGCGTGTGGCAGTGGGACGAGCGGAAGAGCCACGTGACGTCACCAGACAGCGACAACGAGGACAGCTGCGACGAGTTCTACAACGACGTCGTCGAGGTCCGGAAAGCGCCGCCCAAGAAGAAGAAGAAGAGGGCGTCGACTTCGGCGATAACCTCGACGCGACGTCTTCGCAGCGCCGTCGCGAACACCTTCGACGACTTCGATGACGATGATTTTTCTGATTGATTCGCTTCCATTCTTAGGTTGGCCGGCTGGGAGTCAGCTTTATGTGAAGAGAGAACTCATTCCTAAAAGACCAACCTAATAATTTAATGTTTCGTTTCTGAGATTTTCCTTGTGATGATAGACTCTTGTATGTCCTTCCCCCCTCATTCGGATTGCACTTTTTAGCGGGTAGTACATAAATTTTCTATTCGTGCATGACATTTCTTTTTTTTGTGTTCAAGTCGCGTTGAAATTTTATTTTTCTTGTTATTTTTTTTAGTCGTTTCATCAAAAACTCCAGGAAAATTAGAAGCCAGAGTTCAATAGAGACCTGAAGAGATATCTCGTTTTCTGGCTTGACTTCAGACCGCTGTTGATCTCTCGCTTTTCCTTGTTTTCTTTAAAATTTCTAAAAAAAAAACATTACAGAGAAGATGCCTCTCTTGGGGGCTCTGAGTGGCTGGCCACGCCCATATTATTGGCGAAATCATGTGAGATCAGTGTAGAATTTAAAGATGAATAGAGAAATCGTGCCAAACAGAGACTTGATGAACTTCTTCATTTTAAGCTATTCGTTTTTATTCCAAGCCTTGCATCAACTTCTTTTTTTTTCGTTTAAAGCCTGTAACATTATTTTTTCTTTAATTTACTTTGTTCATATATCGGGTTTCATAATCTTCTTCCTTTATTTTTTCTTTGAAATAATTTCACTTTTTTTTGAATTTGTAGGTATTGAAACGAGTGATTACGCATTCTTTCTGTTTATAAATAATTATACATATTTTGGTGATAATCTTTTTTTTTTTTGAATGAACCAGGTTGAAAAGCCCAATATATACCAACAATAATTGATCTTTTTCGTTATTTTTGAAAAGAAAAAGGGCTTAAAAAAAGAAATTTTTGAGCGAAAAAAAAGTCAATTTGTAATATTTTGCGCTTGTGAGATACGTGTTAGGTGCATACATTTTCACACAAACGCCACTTGAAAACTTTTTTTCTTTTTCCAATTGAAAAAAATTCGGTTGAGAATTGTAAATGGCGGACGTTCCGACAAATGCCAATGCCGGCTGTCCAGGCACAGGCAGTGCCGGCGCCGGAAAAGCGTCCGGCTGCGCTGGATGTCCTAATCAGGTAGGATTTCAAACTACCTATTGTTTAGGATCTTATTTCGATTTCTCAACGAGTGCAATATAGCCCATTTCGCGCCAACTTGTCATGATTTTTTCCGAATAACAGAACTCTTTATTTTTCGATACGCTGTTTTTGTGAATGCGCCTTTAATTTAGCCTAAAAATTAACGTTTAATTAAAGGCAAAGCACACGAAACTTAAAAGTGGTGCGGTTAGGGAGCAGAAAATAAAACAAAAAGCTTTTCTTTTGTTTTTGGCTTTCTCACAATCATGAAAGAAATGGAAACATCAAAATGGTCTGAAGGTTCAGTTTTCTTGAGAATATGATGATAAACGCTAAAGAAAAAAGTAATAAAATTATCATATCAACTTAGTACAAAAAAAAGCAAAACGAGTCAAATATTGATTGGAAATCAAAAAAAATTATTTAAAATAAGTCATATTAAAAAGTAGTGTCTGAATTTTCGCACGCGGCGGAGCATCTATAGCCGATTCACGGATTCACTCTGGGCTCTCCACAAACCACTCACTGTCTCTTTTCTTTCATTTAAAATTTTACATTTTCTCCCACCACGCAGAACTCCGTGGCATACAGATAGAAAAACCGCGTTCCATCTGGCGCGGAATTGGCTATAAACTTCATTATGTATTTTTGGCATTCCCACATTTATTATATTTTCAGGGTTCATGTGCGAGCGGCGAAGGCCCGAAACCGGACGCCGATGTCCCGCAAATCCAGGATCGTTTCAAAAAAATCAAGCACAAGGTTTAAAGAGTTTGGGAATTTATTTGAGAGAAAAATACCTTTTTTTCAGATTTTGATTCTCAGTGGGAAAGGTGGCGTTGGAAAGAGCACGTTGACGACGAATTTGGCCCGTGCTTTGGCCTCGGATCCCACAAAACAAGTTGGCTCCGTATCCAGTTCATTTTCGCTGAACATCGACTTTTCAGGTCGCCGTTTTGGACGTCGATATTTGTGGTCCATCGCAACCGAGGATGATGGGCGTTGAAGATGAGGAGGTTGATTTTGAAGTTGAAATTTAAGAAATTGAGGATTTTATCGGTTTTTTTAAATAAATTGTCAATTGAATGTTTCAAGGCTTTTAAACTTCCTAAAAAGTCTTTATTTTCTCAAAATCGGCGAAGCCAGTGTATCTTTAAAAAAAAGTGAAAATTTATTCCGTAAAAAGAAAATTAATTGTATTGAAATTTTTCAAATTTCAAGGTACACAATAGTGCGGACGGTTGGACGCCAGTTGGTATCAAGGATAACCTAACTTTGATGAGTATCGCATTTTTATTGGGTAAGATATCAATTTTCCTCAGTTCCGAAATTCGAATTCATTTCTAAGGAAACAAAAACGACGCGGTGATTTGGCGTGGAGCGCGAAAAAACGGGATGATCAAGCAGTTCTTGAAGGACGTCGATTGGGGAGAAGTATTGATCGGAGTAGAGTCGATAAATCGATAAATTGGTTTATCAGGTCGATTATCTGTTGATCGATACGCCCCCGGGAACTTCCGATGAACATATTTCGTTGGTTCAGTTCTTGTTACAGGTATCAGTTGTTGATCTTTAGTGATTTTGTTAAAGTTAATATCAATTTTTCGATTTTCCGAGGTTTATTTTAGATGGGTTCCTTTGTTAATAAAATTATGAACACTTTTTAAATCAAGAGGGAAATTTTCGTTTAGAAGAAATTCCGATCAAATTATTTGAAATTTCAAATTAACTTGTTTAGGCCGGTTCATTAGACGGAGCCCTGATCGTGAGTACTCCGCAAGAAATTTCTCTTCTCGATGTCCGAAAAGAGGTTTTTTCGAAGTCGCTTCATTTTCATTTGAAGATTTTCAGGTGAGCTTCTGCCACAAAACAAAAGTCCCGATCCTCGGCGTTGTCGAGAATATGGCCCGATTCGTTTGTCCCAACTGCCAACATACGACTGTCCTCTTCCCTTCTTCCACTGGTCCTTTTTTGCAGTTTTAATAAATCTAGTGACTAATTAATTTAATTTTTGAAAAAAATTATGAAAAAAATGGTTGATTTTATCGGAACTCATTCAATGATAAGATATTCCATAAAACTCGGAATTTTTCTTTTTGAGTATGTTAAGCAAACCTTATCTTACAGTTTTTGCATGATGACGTGTTCAATATATAGAAAACTTATCAAAAAAATCTAAGTAAAATTATATTTTTAAATTGCATATTTTTCAGAGTTACTGACAGGTTAAGGTTTTTAAACTTTGAAAGAAAAAAATGCTGATTTTTTTCTCAAATCTATTTAAAGGTGGTGCCGAAACGATGTGCAAGGAGGGTAATATGGATCTTTTGAGCCAATTACCTTTGGAGCCGAGCCTTGCAGCGGTAGGTTTTTTTCGTATTTTTAAAAAAATTGAGAAAAAAACCACAGATAATTTCGTTTTACATGATTTCTCTGGAAATCATTTGAAAGAAAGAGATTCGTTTAGGGAGGTTTTTTCAATTTATTCACAAATTTTTTTCAAGTTTTTTTTTTAAATCTTATTCAGTTCTTTCAATAAAATTTAAACTTTTTTTGAACTCAAACTTTTTAGTCAGTCTTTAGAGAAGATTATCTGCTGAATCATAGAGTAATAGGAGTTGTTTGTCGCCTTTCTTGTGGGAGTAGTAGACGATTTTCGAGCTTTCCGACGTTCACTGCTTCTCCAGTACTTCTACATTTCCAGGCCCTCGACAAAGGCGAAGATTTCTTCGAAACTCATCCCGATTCGTCCCTGACCAAGGCTTTCTTGGACCTTGCCGAAAAGCTCAAGAAAAAGTTGATTAGTTGAGAATTTATTCACTTTTTCTCTTTTTTGTTATTCATTTACAGTTGTTCTTGTTACATTCCTGGTTGCCTAATTTTTTGGGTCATATTGTTTGAAATTTTGAAATAAAGTTTTATTGATAGCATTAAAAATGTATTTGTTGGAGTTAAAAGAAGCTTTGATACTTGTAAAAGTAATGTTTTTTTCCTTGAATCGGTGTTTTCTGCTATTCTTACCAGGTTATAGTCTGTTCAGATTTTGAATGTCAAGTCGTCGCTCAAGCTCCGCCCCTAATAGCGCGATAAACCAATCAGAGAGCGAGCCATCCACAGAGCGTTTTTGAATGACGTCATTCTACTTGACATTCAAAATCTGAACAGACTATAGCGTGTTTTCTGATTTGCCTACGTTAATTTTCTGAAGATAACTGTTAACTTGCCTTTATGCTTTATAAAAAAATGCTTTACCGAACAATTCAGCGGGATGAAAACGAGTGTGAAAGGCACACAAGAATTGATTTTATAGTCAATGTTTCCCGACTTGAAAGGGGAGGGAGGCGGGGCAAGGGGCGGGTCGCGTAGCGTGTGCGTACGCGGTTCTTGGCGCCAGTTCAATTCAATTGCCGCCGACTACTTAAAAAGCTCGGCAACCGCTCTTTCTCCGTATTTTTTACTAATGTTTGATGCACAAATTAACATAAGCAATAAATAATTAAAAAATAAGTGAAAAGAGCGATAAATGAGCTCTCTGAATGCTCGCTGGCGGTTGAATTTAACTCGTGCCAAGAACCGCGTACGCACACGCTACGCGTCCCGCCCCTTGCCCCGCCTCCCTCCCCTTTCACGTCGGAAAACATTGACTATAGATCTTTTAAAAGAATCTTGAACGGTCCAACTTCAAGATTAATTTTGTGTAGGATGTACCGCGTGGTGGTGACTGGAATGGGCTCTGTCACGCCTTTCGGAAGAGGTGTGGCTGCACTTCGGGCAGGACTTCTGGAAGATAAATCGGCCCTGAGATTTGACGACGGGTTGAAGTTTGTGGTGAGTATCATAGTTCAGATGACATCCCTCTCCAGAACATTATCAATTCAAAGCGCGGCTTTTGAATATAGCCGATTCACGGGTGGCTTGTACCGTCGAAAAATTAGTCCTGACAGCGTGAAAAAGGAAAGGCTGTCTGGTTGTTGGAGAGAGCAGACAGGTGCCAGCCCATTAGCGCCCCAAGCCACTTGTGAATCAGTTGTTGCACATTCCGCGCCAGCTTTTCAGGCCTAGCTACAGAACCTTTCCCTTTCCTGTTTCTGTGCATGCGCCTTCAATTTAACCTGAATTTTGCGGCATCTTAAAGGCGCATGCACAAAGACAGCCCGCGCACATCGAAGAGAAAGGTTCCGTAGCTCGTTGAAGGACAAAAACTGCGACAAGCTGACGTAGAGTAGGAATAGCCTTTAGTAAATGAAAGAAGTTTTTCCTTTGTAGGTTGGCTCGGTGCCAGAAAGTCCAGAACTTTTCGGGCAATGGTCGACGGGAGAAAAGCGGGAGATGAGCCGTGGCAGCATGATGACCCTCGTCGCTGCTGATGAAGTCTGTTTTGAGTTGATGCGCAGCGAAATTATCGTCTTTTTTTGGCACTGAGAGAAGCCCAAGGCTTGGAACTTTGCCATGAAGAGACTTTGGTGAACATTGGAACGTGTATGGCCGATTTGGAACATATTGGAGAGACGGCGGAGAAAGTAAAGAACGGACAAGTTAGGTAGAAAACATTTTGTTCAACCCTTTTCACTCATTTTTTATTTTAAGAAAAGTCTCCCCGTACTTTGTACCGAGGATCTTGAACAATCTGCCGGCTGGATATGTGGCTATGAAGTTTGACTAATGGACAATAATTGACTTATGCGGGAATTCAGGTACAAAATGATGGGAGGCGTGGAGAGCACCTCGACGGCTTGTGCCACGGGCCTTCACTGTATAGGTTCATTATTTGATATTTATCTAAATTTTTTTAAGTTTTTTTAATAATTTAATGAAGGTTTGTTAAATACAATTACTAAATATAAATGGGAAGAATAAGAGCGGAAAAGTTAAGAATAGTTAATAGGGCGGAAATAGAAATATTAATATATAAACACAAAGGCGTTTCCTGTCTCAAAAATTTATCGTTCTGTATTTTTAAAATTGCTATAATAACTGATATTTGAAAAAAATTACGGTTTTTTTGGCTCAGTTTTTTTAAACTTAAAACTATAGAAACTTATTTCAGTTCTTAGTTTAGTTAAAAGTAGGCTCACAAAGATTTTGTCTTAATAAGAAATCAAAGACACGTTATTTAGAAATGTGAACCCGAGCGAATAAGTCAATTTATGTTCAAAACATTTCATACACTTTTTTCATCAGGAAACGCCTTCCGATCAGTGAGGCATGGATGGGCCCGCCGAGCCCTGGCTGGAGCCACCGAATGTGCTGTCAACCCGATTTCCATCGCTGGTTTTGATAGGTTTTTCAAGAAATCCAAGAAAGTTGATCAACGACAGCTTCAGGATGAGAGCCTTGGCCCATGGCGATTCGCCGAAAATCAGCAGACCGTTTGACAAAAGCCGTAGTGGATTCGTGTTGAGCGAGGGGGTCTGTTCAGGGAGAAATTGAAAATCAATGAGTTCCGATGGAAAAGAGCCTTATCCATCAAAAATTCGCTCAAGAAACCAACCCTCAAACCACTGCGCAGACCACCTCGGTGTGAGAGGTAGGTCTAGGCGCGTACTCTTCCTGGACTTCTTCAAGAAGCTTTTTCTCAGAAGCCTATCGGGTATAGCGGATAATCTTTCTCGTTTCCAAGGACTCTTACCGAGGTCCAGTAGCCACCAAAGTTTCAACTCGTTTCGCGTCCCCCAATAGTTCCCTAGTAAGCATGAAGAGCCTTTCTGAAGGGGAAGAGTGGAAAAAAAAGTCTCAGAAAAAATAAAAATAAAACTTCTTGAGAATCCAAAGTATATAAACTTCTAGGAAATTGAGCTTCAAAATAGAAAAGAAAAAATTCTTAGGACTAGGAGTATTCCGCTGAAGTTGATCATGGGGTATGACTGATTTCAATTCTGTAATGATTTTTTTTTTGTCATTTTCCTCATGGGTCTTTAAAAAGTGTAAAAAATGTGTTTTAGATAAAAAATCTTGCGCATTTTGATTAATAACTTGTTTTCAGAGCGGCGTGGTCTTCCTAGAACGTTTGGAAGACGCTTTGGAGCGAAATGCGCCAATTCTTGTTGAAATTGTTGGTTACGGTAATATATAAGCTTTGAGGGGAGAACGGCCAAGAAAATGTCAAATCTAAGCAGGAAAGAGAACAATTTTCTGAGGATAAACTCTTTCAAAAAAAAAAAATAAAACAGTATTTCTTCTAGAAGTTTTCTATCATGGTAGTTTAAAATTTCGAGCAATAATTTTTTGAGTTTTATCATTTTTGAGTTGGCTGAGATTTAAAAGCAATCTAGAAGCCTTTAGATAAAAAAAAAGTGAAAACTTTTTCAGGGCCTTTTTGCTACTTTGTGAGGTCTTTGCTGTTCAGTTTGCCATGTTTCGCCTGGATTCCATGTCAGAAGCCTAATAATTTTATTTGATCGTTTGCAGGCCTCTCCTCCGATGCTCATCACATATCGACCCCTGAGCCGTCTGGAATCGGAGCAAAACTTGCGATGAGCCGAGCTCTGAGGGATGGGAATCTTCCGGAGAGCGATGTCGAGTTAATTTTCACGCGATGATCGCAAAAATTGACCAAATTTTAAGTTACGTGAACGCCCATGCAACGTCGACGCCCCGTGGCGACACCATCGAGGCCAAGGCGATCCGCGACGTTTTCCAGCGCGATATCGCCGTTAGCAGTGTCAAAGGTCAGATAAATATATAGCCTATTCCGCGCGATTTTTTTTTCGAGCTCCATAACCTTTATTCGAGATGCCCGGAATTACCACGCGCCTTCAATATTACGGAAGTTTTTTTGGTCAAAATGAGTGTTTGAAGGCGCATAAGCTAATTTCTTCAAGGTTTCGAGACGATAATCCATTTTCTGTTATTTTCTAGTTTCACATAAAACTTCGACACTGTTAAAAAAAAAATAAGGAAGTTTGAACGCAGCAGCAACTGGAGCGTCTCTCTGTGCTTTTTCCATATTCTTAAGACGAAATAAGTGTTTTCTAGGGTTCATAAATTCATATTCACAGCGTTTTTTCGTTCCAGGACACATTGGTCATTTGCTCGGAGCTGCTGGTTCTGTTGAAACGATTGCGACCATCTGCGCCCTGATGGACCGAAAACTGCCCGCCAATCTGAACTTGGAAGAGAGCGAGGTGATTTTTCAAAGTTCATTCGTGTTTTCTGTTGATGAATGATGAAAAGTAGGCAGAGAAGTTGAATAAATGTCTGAGACCCCTTCTCAGCTCCCTTCAACAGGTTCAAGGAATTTCAAAACAAGAAACACACCAGAAAATGAATTATCTTGTTTCAGGATGACGGAAAACTTCAGTTGCTGCGGAAATCAACGCCATGGACCTCCAAAACGCCCATAATCGCCATTGTGAACTCTTTCGGTTTCGGCGCCACCAACTCTAGTCTGCTCCTTCGAGAATTCCAGTCATAGCCCTTGGAAAGCCGAAATAAGCAAGAAAAATAATCTTATCGCGGGTTGTCCGATGTAGTTTTGTGTAAAGAAGTCGGATGAAAAATAAAATCGAACGTTCCTGCAATGAAACTGATAAATATTTGAATATTAATAATGAATCATCAGAAAAAGAAAGAAATAAATTTTAAAAACTTTTTTCAGAAATTTTTAAGCCTGAAAATCTTCGAAAACCCGTGAAAAATGACGAGAGGACGCCCATTTTTTTTGCGCCGCTTTATCATTTAAGAGGCAGAACTTCAAAAAAACTTCATGAAAACGAAGAAAAGAAATCAATTTATTCTCGCGTCTTTTCAATCTTCTTCGCAAATTCACGCAAAAGATATGTACAGATAAATCATCAATTTGTAAAAAATATCATTAAAAACACATTCGAATAGAAATCTAGGTTAGGTTATGCGTAGGAAAGACACGAAAGGCAGAGGGAGAAGGAAGAAGAAATCTCGTTTGAAAAATTCTCGAAAAATGCAAAAAAAAATTCTGAACATTTACGCCCCATTGCGAATGAAAGGGGCGGTTGAATAATTAAAGTCCAGTACGTACTCGACTAGCTGAGCACTTTTTCAAGTTTTCCGTTAGAAAAAATACATGATTCATAAAATTACAATGATTAGAAATGGGTACACGAATTTGATTGGTGGGGGGAGAAAAAGTAAGGCGATTTGGTATGATAGGATTGGTCGAAAAATTAGAGAAAATGCTGAAATAGGCAAAATATGAAGATTGCACCGAAAAATCTTAGGTTTAAATTTTTTTAAATAGAAACGAAATTTGAGCCATGGCCCGATTTTTCTTTTTGAGGACTTTTTTTAAACTGAAAAAAATTGATCGACCAAGTCGTGCGTTGCGGACCGCGTCGCGGCAAATGAAATCACTTTCAATTTTTTTCCGAACTTTGAATCAAGAAATAACTACGCGTTGCGATCCGCGTCGCTGTTATGAAGTCGTTCCAGGAGTATTTTATCCTCCGCAACTCAATTTTCTGTTCGAAGGCGCGCAGGTTTATTCAAAAATCCTTGATTCGTTGAAGTTTTTGAAGCTAATTTTTTTTTTCTAGAACTCTAACGGCTCAAAAATCGTAACGAAACATAGAAATACATGTTACACGATAAAAAAAAAAATACGAAGTAAGGAGATTGAGCCTAAAAAGGTGTACTGTACTCGGCGATGGTCTCGAAGAATTTGCGGCGCTCAGAGACGGGGACGGCCAGCGAGCGGCGGACGTCGTCGAGCAGATATTCGGGAACGCCGTCAACCATCGCCATCACCGGGTTACTGTGGAAACGAATGTCTGTAAGCACACTTTTTGGGTTTCGGAGTCTGTTCAAAATTTGAACGTCAAGTAGAATGAAGTTGTTTGAAAACGATCTGCGGATGAATCGCTCTGATTTTTTGATCGCGCCATTAGGGGGCGGAGCTTGAGCGATCATTCGACATTTAAGGTCGGAACAGACTACAATGAAGTTCAAAATCCGCTAGCCAAGCTTCGAAAAGTCTCTGTGTGGAATTTCCTCAATTCGTTTCTTCAAAAGTATGTCTTACAGCTAATCGAGAATAGGGATCAACAGAGCGCCCTTTCAAGGCTTGACAAGCTTAATAAATGAAAAGAGCTTTGAAAAAAGTTTTTTAGGCGAATTATCCCTTAACTATTTTTTTGAAAAAATAGTTAGAACTGAGAAATGTGTAAATTTGGCCTTGGTGACTTAATTTTCAGTACATCCTTTTCTGAAAACTTAATCTCTATCATTTTTCCAGCATCCTTCGATTTTCAGCTATAGCTTCACTAACTCTTCTATTCAAGAATAAATTTTCAAAAATTGCGAACCATGTCTTCTGTTTCTCTTCTTCCGATCCCGTCTATACTTGACCGTCTCGTCGGACTTCGCCAACGCCAGCTCCTCCAGCTCCTCGCAATCTTTAAATAAATCGAATGCAATAAAAAAAATGAGCAAGCATTATCCAGGGAAATCGAGAGATTAGTCTAACACTACTGAGAAATAAGAGTCGAACCAAAAATTGAAAATAAATCAGGCATTCCATGAATTTTTCAATTTTGTCTCAGAATTTATAAGAAAAATATTAAATCAGAATGTTAAGGACCATTTCCCATGCCGTGTAATAAATCATTATAAAATCAATGTCAGTAGGGCACCGATCCTCCCAATAATCATGAATGAAATATGATTTGAATCGAAATAAAAAAAATCATAAAAAAGTATGTATGGAAAAAAGCAGCTCTATGGAACTGAGAAAGTTTCAAGAGGTCACTTTTTTGATAAAAATGATTAGAGAAGTTCAAAGTGGTCTTCTGAGAAGGGAACCGAGGAATACTTTCCTTTCTTTAGTGGCCGCTTAAAAATTCTCTATAGAGACCAATTCGAGCAAAATTCTTTCATAATATCTTGAATTATTGCTTCGTTTCGGTCGGAACGCTGCTCGGAACGCTCTTTGAAGCCAAAACATGACTGGAAAGTTTGTGGCCGCTTAGAAAATATCTCTTAAGAGAGCACTTCGAGCAAAAACCATCTCCCAAAATCTTGATCATTACTAATTTTTGCTAGGGATGCTTTTGAAAAAAATTTTTAAGTGGCCGCTTGAGAGCCAAAATGTGAATGGAAAATCATTTCTTTTGTGGCTGCTCTGAAAATTTACCTCAAGGGTCCACTCAGGGCAAAAATCACTAGAGCGACTACTTTCTCATCAGTTCCACACGCTTCAATCGAGACTCAGACCTTGGTAACTCGAACCGGGCACGCCCCGGACGTGTTGGAGCATTCCCAACGAGCACTTTAGTAGTTTCTGCTTTTTTCAAGAGATCCCTAGAGTTGCTCAGAAACTTCCGTTTCGTTACCGAGGTCCGAGTTTGATGAATTTTAGAATCTTTCTCTCCATGGAGCACACTTTCTGAACCTTTTCCCGACACTCTTTTAATTATCGCAAGCAAGCGTTTTTTTTAGTAACGAAATATATAGTGAACTAAACATGCGAGAAAAGAAATCGGCGAAGAAACGAAAAATAAAAAGAAAGTATAAAAAACAGAAGGCATGCCACAGTTGGGCACCACATTCATTCACTTACCGCGATGACGATCTTTTCATGCCTAAAATATTCAAAAAATCATTTTAAAGCTGTATTTTCCTAGATTACACTGTAACTAACGAACCACATGGAAAATGTGTGCAAAGAAAATTTTAAAAGTCAAAAAGGCACCGCTGAGGGTCGAGTCGCTGATACGACGTTCCAGCGAGCCGATTCTCCTTCTTAACTCTTCGACTTCCTTCGATTTCTGGCCCAATTCCCCTCGAAGTCGCTCATTTTCAACGTTCATCTCACTGAAAGTTGGTTTTCTTCAATTGAAGTTTATTTATTCATGAATGTCTTTAAAATTTAAGTTTATTCCTGTAATTTACTACTGATAAATTTCTCTACTCTTCTTCTTTAAGTCCGCATTTGAAATAGCTTCTTACCTCATCGCAGTCTTCCTAATAGAAAGAAAAAGCCGGAAAATTCTTAATATGTCAAAAAAAGTTCCTTTCTTCCAAACTGTACATAAAAAAACCCACATTCAGGGTTGGCTTTTTTTCCTATTTCAGGGCAAAAAAATCGTGGTTTGCATTTGTCAACCTCTATAGCCGCATTTGGAATGGCTACATTGTCTGAGCTCACACAAAGAAAAAACAATTGATGAAAAATAAGTTCAAGTTAAAATTTCCTTGAAAAAGACATTTTTCTATAATTTCAAACTTTAAACGTTTTCAAGTCTCTTCTTATTTAACTGAAGAGGCTATCGAGCTTAGAAATTTAGAATTTTCCATGCCCCAGCTGTAAAATTTCTATTTATAAATAACCAGACAGCTTCAATATTCTCGATTCTCGAATAAATTATCAAGAGCAGCCATTCTAAATGCGGCCAGAAAAAGACCTTTTCTGCAAGGAGAGTTTGATTTGCATATGTCCTGTAAAACCCACGAGTTGGTCTCCTGCTCGTTCAACATAGCCGACAGTCTCTCATCGAGTTGCTCGTTCTCCACACACTTGGCCGAGTAGAGCGCCGACAAATTCGTCAGTTCCTCTCTCATTTGGTCGAGCATTTTGCTGAAAATCCCCAAAATACTCAAGAGAGTTTCATGAGTTCCAACTTTTGTCGCGTGAGCTCTCGGTCGCCTCCGGCCTTGCTCTTCTCGGCGAGCTGTCGGACCTCCTCCTCGTGAGCCCGTCGAACTGCCTCCAAGGCTAGCCTAGTCGCTTGCTTCTCCTCCTTGAGCTCCTGTTCGTGCTCTGACTTGACGGCATCCATCTCGTCCTGGAAGGCGCGTTTCTGCTCTTCCAGAAGTTCTGTGAAGGACGTCTTCACTGAGGAGATCGATTGATCGTTCCTGGTCTGAAAGGAAAAAAATTGATTGTTTTTTCCGCAAAAAGAAGAGGCTTACTGTCTTCCAATCGCATTATGAAAACTTAAAAAAACTTAAAAACGCAAAAATATTACTTGTTCACATAAATGATGGTGTAAAATATTCGAAACATTCAAACTTGATTGAAATTCGAATAACAAGGAAATATTTTCGGGATTGGGTGAAGGGTACTTCAAAGTACGTCTCATTCCGTCAAAAACTCAAAACTCAATTTTTTCACTTTCTAACTGAAGAAGGTCTTCAAGGCGTTTTCACAGGTAAATGAATTCATAAAAACCATCCAATTCCAAGTAGATATTTTTGACAAAGTTTTTGGCGCCAAAACAGTTGTACTTTATTTTTCCTTACCGTCGCCTGGAGCAGTTCCTCTTGAAGCTTCTTCCTTCTGGCTTCCTCGTGTTCGGCTCGGTCCCGGGTCCCTTTCAACTGCTGATCGTAGTGATGTCGGAGGCTTTCGACTTCCGACTGATGAGTGTTCTGAAATGGAAACACTTTTTCCATTTCAAAAATCTTTCCTTCAGATTTTCACGGTACTTTTGTGATTCAACTCATAAACTTCCTTACAACTCCTCAATTTCCTCGAAAAAATCACCTTCAGAGCGGTGAGCTCAGCCTCCCACTCGTTTGGCTGTTTCACGTCCAAATCGTCCTCTTTTTCGGTCATCGTCCAGGAATCCGACAGGTAGGGCATCATGAGGGCTTGCGACACCTGGAACGATCCAATGAAATCTTGAAACGGAAAATCTCTGTCGGAAGCTATAAAGTTCGGTAAGACACCCAAAAAACCTGCCGAAAATCTCCTTTTTCGAAAAATTATAATTATCAACACGCTAAAGCTTTTTGAGCAACTTTCCTACCAATAAAAGTCTTTTTTTCCTCAAAATTTTCAAGGCCAGCAAAACAATTTTTGATCAGAAACTCAAACTTTTCTCCATCGCTAAAAACCAAACTTTTTTGCAAACTTTTCGGTCTTACAAAGCGTCTTCCCACACGGTCGCTGCTCACTTGAACATTTGATTCTCCGCAAAAAGTTCTCGAAAGTTGGAACGCAACTGTTTTTGGAAGTTCAAGTTTTGTCGAAATTTTAACGTCCTTTCAATTTTCCCCAAAAAAGAAGCGAAAAGCTAAAAGTGTTCTCATCGCCAAAAATGGTTTTTCTTTTTCATGGTTTTCCAAACTTTCCCAGGAAAGCTAATCCACATGCTCTGAGCGCGATTTACCGTAAGAACTTGAATTCTGATCCATTCTAACCCTCACCTGGTCGAACAGGACGGTGACCTGCTGAAGGACGTCTTGAAGGGCGGCGATCGCGGTTTCATCGCTCGCTGGGGCGTCGTTCAGCTGCTGGATGACGTCATCGACCTCGTCGGCGAGTTCGGAGGCTCGCGACAGGACGTGCGACCGTGTCAGGACGGACAGGGTGGAGAGCTGGACGCGAAGCATGGTGACGAGCCGCGACTGAAGAGCTTCCAATCTGCAAGTCGCGAGTAATTTGAGGCGATCAGGTGTAATGTTAAGACATTTGATCGGACGGCGACGGGCTGTTGATCTGTTGTCGGAGAGTGCGCATCTCCTCCTGTCGCTGTCGGACTTCGTCTTCGGCCGCGCATAGCGATTTCCGGAGCGTAGTCAGGGTTTTCGACTGGAAAATGAAGGAACTACGGTCAAGTTCTGAGTTTTACAAGGAGATCGTGTGTTTAACATTGAATAAAAGTTTCCACAGGACCTCCTGATCACACTAAAAACATAATTGAACGTATCGTCAATATATCTATCGTTCTTCTTATTTTGGTTGTATCACGGCTCAAAAATGTAACCAGGGGTTTTCAAGTAACTTTTTGCACACTCTAATCGGATTTTCGATCCTCCATCTTGCGCCGTTTTCTTGTTAGAAAGAGCTTTTCGAAATTTTGTAACCAAAACCATGATCACCTTTTGATCAAAATGATAGAAAAATCGAAAATAAAAATAAATAAAGTGCTGGGAAAGAACCAAAACCACACAAAACCAAAAACAAACATCAGAATCCTTGCAAATGTGCTTGAGGCGTTCATTTTCGGTCTGTGTAGCGCCGAGACGATGGGAAGTGTCTTCCAATTGGGTTCTGAGGCTTTGAACCTGAAATTCGGGCGGTGGTGGAACTAATATTCAAAAGAAGAGTGGATCTGAACAAATGAAAAGTTGTTGGTTTTCGAAAAAATAGGCAATTTTCAAAAATGAGAAAAACTGAAGAGATAAAAGCGACGTCGCTGGCGGTACATTGACGATCTCGCAAAAATCCTGCTTTTTTGGCTGCGCCAGTTTTGAATTTTCCTTGGTGCAATATCGTATGTTTCTCGGAGCGACTTGGCATTTTGAACATTTGAAACTATTTTTCTAGCGAGAGAAAAAAAAATTTCGTCATTTTCCCCAACCTGATCCTCCAAGGAGCGGAGTCGGAGCTCCTGACTGCCACGGACGGCCGTCGGACGCTGGAAAGAACAAGAAAAATGGACCTTGCTGATTTCTTGCAGATGTGCCAGACATTGCTGATAGGCGACGGTGCAATGGCTCGAAAAGGGAGGCGTGACGGCGACGAGTCGCGACGCGACCCGCGACTCAAGGCCGCCCAGCGACGTGCAGCTTTTCGTCGTCGGTCGCATTTTTACTGCGATTAGTTTCAAGAGGATCAGAGAGATATTGGAGATCAAGTTCGCGGCGAAAAAGGGCATAGGAAATTGAAGCTCTTGAAAATGTAATTTCACAACAAAAAAAAAAAACTAAAGAAGTTTCGAATCTGACTCCGCAGAGACCATGAAGCTTGGAAAAGGACGATAAAGAAAGATTTCAAAATCGATATTGAGCGAGAAAAAAGCTATGGATTTTCAGTTTCAAATAGTTTGAGAAAAATTTCCTATTGGGATATTTCAAGCAAGGCAAAAGTTCATTATGAGAAGAGAGGAAAGCGCTTTTTGCAGGAAATCTGAAGCTCAGATTTGGAAGAGAAGCTTGGAAAAAGCGGAAAACTTCCGATTATGACTGACAGATTGGCCAATTCCACTCATTTGATTTGAAAATTTGTTTGGAATCTCAGACAGTCTTAACTTCAACAAAAATATTCTAAATTTGGAATATACGTTCAATTTTCTATCAAATGCCTCTGAACCATTCAAAAAAGGGAACAGGAAAGTCAAAAAAAAAGAGGAAAATTATGATGGGTGCGTCAAGGCCGCGACACGAAGATTAGCATATCAGCTTCATCTTTCCATTCCTTTCTTTCTTTCTCTTTTTTCCTTCTTCCTTCTTGCGTGTTGTAAAAGTTTTGCGGTGGCAAGCCGACCACATTAATCTCATCGCCATTTTTTTTTCATCCGATTGAAAATCGGCACACGCAGTGAAGCGATAAAATGAAAGAGAGCGGCTTTTATGGGTGCCGAAAAAATGAAAATCATGGGTTTTTCAGAATTGTTTTTTCATGTGCGCTCCACCGTAAGAACAAGAACTGGATCAAAAAAATGGAAAGCAGTCAAAAATCATGTTTTTACCTCAAATTCTTTGAATTGTGAAATGGTCTTTTTGACTTCGAAATACACAAGGCTGAAAATCATTTTCTTTTTTTTTTTGAATCTAAATTTCGCAGACTAAAATGGTTTTATTTTCTGATGCACGTTCGATCTATAACTAAAATTGAAAAATATGTGTTCTGATCTATAAAAAATCCTTGGAAACATTTGATTGCTTCTCACTGCTTCTCCAGCTGGTTTTATAACTAAAATCGTTTTTTTTTTTCCATTGTTCTCAAAGTCGGATGGTGTCTTAGCTAAAAAAAAATGTGGGCGGCTTTTTATCGCTTCTAGTATTCTTTCTTCTGCTAGAAACTTTTTTTTTGCTCTTGAAATGTGGGTTTTGTAGTCATAAAAATGAGAGCGGCTTTTACTACTCCGCATGTGCGCTTTATGGATAAAAATTATTTTAGATACTAAAAAAATTTTACGGCCAAAGAAACAAATAAATATTCAAATATTCAAAACTAAATTTCTCTGTACACTATTGAAGTAACACCCTCGAAAATAGTTCTTTCAAGTCCACAGATGCTCTAGCGCAGAAGATTGGAAAAACTATTTATAATGGTAAGAAAATTATCAAAAAATTCAAAATAACTGTTATTTCCGATTGCTTTTCACTAGATTCATAATAATTTCACCGCAAACTCCACAAAGAAATTTCCAGTGACTCAAGAAAAATTTGGATAGAACCTCAGGGTACTGTATTTGAGTGAGAAAATATGTATATTTCACACAGAACAACAACACGACGGAGGAGATAAGACCACGGGTCGTAAATTCAGAAACAGGCTTATCAGGAAGAGGAACAACACGCTATTTGAAACGCTACTAAAATCCGATCGTAAGGTCATAAAAATCTCAGTGCCATACAATTTTTCTAGCTTTAAAGATCCCTCTAACAAAATTCCGAAGCTCAAATTATATTTTAAAAACTATGGAAAATATCAAACATTTTTCAATAATTTAAGAGTCAAAGTCATTTTGCTTTCAGAAATCACACAAAAATACAAAAAACAATAAAAAAAAAAATGAAATTTTGCAACTATCGAAACTGAGTAAAAACTACTTGTGAAACTGAAGCGGAAACGACGGACCAAGACTGGGCGAATCAGATGTTTCGGCAAATTCGACACATCTGTGCCGACGGGGCTTTTTTTCCTCCACCCTCACATCCGCCCCGCAAATATCGTTTCTCGGCTCATTTCAATAGAAAATATGGTCGTTTTAAAGCAAAAAGCGCCTAGAAATGATCGAAAATGAAAATTTCGGCCTTCATAACAATAAATAATTCATTCAGAGTCCTTTCATCATTATTATTAGCAACTTAGGACAAATGTTGATTCAAAAAAACTGCTGGCTTCCGAAAAATTGACCTTATTGACCAAAAAAGGCAAAAATAATCCATTCTTGCTTATTTTGGGAGGCAAGAAAGACTTTTGAAAGCATGATTGGCTTTTCTTCAAGCTTAGAAAACTTCAAACTTTTCGGAACATTCAATTCAAAAACATACCCATTTTCAAGCCATTGCACCCTGTCTGTACCAAAACTGGTTGGAAAAAATAAAAAAAAATAAAAATTTACCGAAGCGATTTTCTTGGATCTTGGCCGAGTACTCGAAGCGGCCGATGAGTTAGATGGGTTTCTGAAAAAAAAAATCCGATTTTTCTGAGCTGTATATACTGCCAATTTCACATTTTTCAAGGACAACTAAAAAGCATGATACGCTGTGAAATCCCTTGCTACTGCAGGCGAATCCTGGGAAGGTGTTGGGAAGCTCCTTCTTTCTATTCCTTGGAAGACGTTTGGAAGTTTTCCAGCAGGTTCAAATAAAAAGTGCTGGAAAGGTAGCATCCAGAGTCGCACGGAATTCCGTCTCCCGCAGTTTTTGTTCTCCCGACTTCCGCTATCCGCGTTCCGCAAAAAAAACTCCCGTTTCCGCTTGAAAGTTTAATTCCGTTTTCCATTTTCTTTTCACTACCGTGCAACTTTGGTAGTTTCCAGCAGGCTGCCAGAAACCTGCAGACTGACCTTTCTAACACCTTGAAATATGCTTCTCAAGACCTTTTAGACGCGTTTTACCTTCCAACCTTCTTTCTAACACCTTCCGAGAGATTTCCTGAGGATCTACCTACCTCTGCCGCATGTCCTGATTCCTCTCCTTGAGCCTGGCGACCGGAGATCTTCTCACAGAGGGGGACAAAGATTCGCGTCGTCCAGTGGCACCTCTTCTGGAGCTGTCCCTCGTCGTCGCGGCCAAAGTCCCGTGGTCGGCCTCCGTTGAAGACAAAGAGCCGCGGCTGAAAAGCCAAATTTCTTCAAAACTATCTTCACTCATGAGACGTAGTAGTAACTAACAAAAAATTCTCATTTTCTGCTACTTTGGGTAAAATTTCTTTAAAAACCTTCAGCAAAGCAGTTAAATCCTCTATTTTAAATTTCAATGAGAAAAAAGTTGGATATTGTCGTTAATTTTCTCTAACCATTTTTTGATTTGGTCCTGAGGAAACTTATCAAGAGAGAAGATGGCGAAAACCACAGATTTTTGAGAAATTCTTCAAAAATAAAACACCTTTGAGAAGTTCTAAGAGACTTGAGAGACTGGTTAGATTTTCCGTCCCAGGAATAAATCGGAACGGTTCGAAAAAAGTCCAAAAAGGGGAAATACCCACCTGGCAGCTCTTCTGGCCCTCCGCTGCCTCTCCAAATCCTCCTCCTCTTCCGTCGAACTTTCCTCGTCCATCATCGAATTGGAATGGTGCGATTCGGGAGCCACGTAAGCGATGTGCTTCTTTCTCTACAACAAATCATAAAACTAAGATACAATCGATTAAAAGTCTTTTTTTTCGATGATTCTGTAAAGGATATGTATCCTAGACTCATCATCCGTGGCTACGACGGAAAACTTTGAGAAGTACTCTTATTCATTTTTTGAAAATATATCTAGGATTCATAGCCACTTTCTTTATCAAGATTCATAAATAAAATCAACTCCAACTGGCAGATTCACTGCTTTTACTCGAATAAAAAAAATTTTTTTTCAAGGTCATTTCCTCCTTCCGCAGATCATTTTCAACCTATGAAGTTTTCAATCATATCCTACAAAAAGATCCTCAATATAACTATGATCCTCTCAACGTATGAAGGTGCTTATGACCAATGAGAGGCGTCGAAACGAACCACAGGGAATCCCAAAATATCGGTGCTGTCGGCAAGACTGTGGTTGTCGTTGGAGTAGGTCTCGGTGTAGGTCGGCGACGGGTTGTGGCGGTTCTGTTGGAGGGCCGCGATCCACGAGTCGCGGATTCCTGGCGTCATCGCCGAGAGGATGTACCGTGTTCGACGGCACTGTCAAATAACTACAGTTAGGCTAGAAAACATGTTTCAACAAAATTGATTGCTTATATTTCAAAATTCGAACGCTTCAGTAATTAAACACTGGCAGAATTGAGAGACAAGGATCACGAAACAGAATCCATTTATCGACTTTTTTCGCATCCGCTTTTTTTTTCACTGTGATTAGTTTTGAGCCTTTCATTAACTATTACAGTCCTTGAGAAGTATAATGAATAATTGGACAAACCGAAAAATGCTAATTCGAAACGATACTACTACAAAAACAAAATCTAGAAATCAAAAAAAACGAATTCTGGATCGCTTGAAGCGTATAATTAAAAGTTCAACTTTAAATGAATGAAACAAAACTTTTCAAATAAAAAGTTTTTGAAGTCACCTAGAGTACTAAAATCGTCCTCCATCTCAGCTTATCTTTGAACTTTTTGAGACTAATCTTGAGTTTTAGAACAAATCAGGAGGCAAAATAGAGCGAATTTAACGCAACAAGGATCAGAAAACTGTCAAAAAGGCATGAAACCCAGGAGAAGAAGCAATGGAAGAGAGCCCAACTACACGCGACCAAATCCGCTTAACAAAATGAAAGAACAAGCCCGCTCGAACACGCATAGACACATGGGTGTATACACACCGGAAGGATTTGACCGGTTCTTTTGTTCGAAAAAAATACACGATAAGAGCGAAAAAATTAGTGAACTTTTAGCAATGAAAAAAATAAAGTAACTAGTTTGGACAAAATTAAATTTAAAAAAAACTTTCAACTAACTAATAAAAGTTAGAAACACTCTCAGAGCCTTCGACATTTTAAAGCAGCTATATTCAATTTCAATCACTGACAAACTCTCAAAAAGTTACAATAATCAAAAATACGATCTCAAGACCTTTTTTCTCAAAAAAAAATTTTTCAATAGCATTTTGTATTATTTTCCAGGTCGAAGTTCTTTTGGCATTTGTCCACATAGCATTTTAAAACTTTTGAATTTCAAGGGATCGTTCTAGGTCTGCCTTCTCTCCCAAACCTTTACCTTGATCTCGATTCCATAATTCTTGGCGCTGGCCGACGGGTAGACGTTTTCGCATTCGGAAAGGTCAATGGAGATCAATGGCTCCGTGGAGTCTTCCGCCCAGACGTCTCTGAAAGGAGTTGAACAAGTTGTCTCCGTGATTTCTCAAGAGCTCACTTGTAGAGTTTCAAGCTCAGTCCGGCGAGGACGACCCAATGCTTGGTCCAGTCGTTCTCCGACTTCCCACGGAGCATCAGCCAGCCTTTGCGAAGAGTGTGCGCTTGCGAAGTGTCGATGTTGAACGGCTGAAAGATGACGTTGTCAAGAATAATTTAATGGCGTCCTCGAAAAATAAGTTCTTGAGAACGATCAAATGACGTCAGAAAGCGTCTAGAAAGGTTTTTTTTTAAAATAGGAATTCGAGTTCGACAAAAAAGTGAGGGGTTTTTGATTCCCCATTTTATGCCCGAAAGTATACTAAATAATGCTCAAAAAAATTCCCGGAAATAATTGCCGTCATAAAAAAATTTGAAAAAAAGTCAAAAAAAGCAACAATAAAAACCAAGGAATTTTTAAAAAAAGTTTCTTTCATGAAAGTGACGTCATAAGTTGCCCCTGAATGTCGTCATTGCACTGCTGAGCGCCAGGTGACGTCATGAAATACTTCAGTGAGTGACGTCATTAAAAGAAAAGTCAGAGAAAAGTCGAATTTTGACGTCTTGACTTATTTAACATCCATCCACTAACAGGTCGATGAAAATGAGACAAAAAAGATTCAAAATAATTTCAAGAAGCGGAATATCTTCGTAAATGGCGTCATAAAAAGGAGTCATAAAATATCAAAGATTTCTCACAAGCTAAAAAATGGATATTTTGAAAAATCTTCAGAAAAACGAACCGTTCCAAAGTTTTTCTTGAGAGTCGCCTCTCCATCGATCGCCGAGGGCGATCCGGCGATTGTAGGCGTCGTCGTGGCGGTCAAAGTCGCCACAGAAGATGTCGTCGTCGTCGTCGTCGGCGAGGCAGAAGACGTCGACGGCGAGAACCGATGCGGACTCGTCAACATCTTCGAACTGGAATCGAATCGGTGGAATGGAAGCGGAGACGGTTATGATGTAATGGAGGCAAATAATGGCTGTATGGATGTTCGTATAATTACCCGGCCGTGGGTAGGTTCATCAGCGGCGGAAGCGTCGGCGGAAGCGAGGGCGGCGGCGTCGACGCTTCTTCTGATGACGTCGACGAGGTCGTCGTCGGGATCGTCGTCACCCGTTTCGGCTCGTCTCTGGAGCAGAAATGGATGAATAACTTCGATGGGGAGGACCGATTTCATTAGACCAACTCAAAACCATTAACCTTTCAAGATAAATCACAGTTTGAGCATATTTTTGAACCATCTCTCAAGTGACCACTTACTACGCTTAGAAGTTTGAGAGGCCCGAGTTCAAGTGATTACTTAAGTGATCTTACAGTAAAACATGTTCCAAAATGAGTCTAACCTGATTTATCTTTAAAAAAACTTCGTTTTAAATATTAACGAAAAGACCAACCTCAGGCTTCTCTGTTTGATGCTCCTGACAGTCCCGTGCAGCTCTCCACGGCCGTCGGTTCGATCGCAATCGAGTCTGTCAATCGAAGAAGATCTCGAAGAACTCGCCGACGGGACCTCCATCGGCGGCTCCGGGCTCTGAAACTTTTTTTCTTAACATTTCGAGGAAAACGAGATCTGAATTCAGCTCCTAGTTTCTGAGCAGTATAAAGATGGATGATTGATGGAAACAACGTAAATTCCCCACCATGACCATTGACTCCGACGGTTCGTACTTCTCAGCCTCGGCGCCTCTCCTCGGCTTCACCTGGATCATGTTCTGCTTGGCGAACTTGTTCAGCATGTTTTGCCACCTGTGAAAAGGAAAAATTGAGAAGAAATTGAAAAATCGAGCAAAAAACGTTTGGAAATAATTTGAAACAATGAAAAAGGTAGTGCAAGTACCTCCAGACTTGAAAAAGAAAATTTCAAAACTTCTTTTTTAAGAAATCATGAAAAAAGAATATTCCGACGAGCCCATCTCTTTCCCTAGTCCTTCCCGTATCGTCTTCATTTTGTTAATAAAAAAAATCTCGAAAGAAAGAGTAGAACATGTGAATACTAGTTTTGTCGATAAAAAAGCCCTATACGTCAAAAAAAAAAGAATAGACCAAAAAGAAAGTTGAAAACTGACCACCGGATCTCCTCGGTGGTGTCCGCCTTGACGTAGACGATGGGCGGCTGCTCGACATCGCCATCCGTTTTGTTAAAGGCCATCAGGATGGAATGACCGTTTCCCGTGATGGAATCGGCTTCGCAAACCCGGTGGCACCTGGTCATATCGATCGTGAACTGCGGTACCGTGTCCATCTGGAAATTGAGCGAATTTGCAAGACTTCAATTATTAATAGAAAAAAGTTTCAAAAGCAATGAAGTACAGTAGGTTTGGAAGAGTGTAAAATTCAAAGATGAACGACAGATTAAAGCGAATTTCAAAATAATATTTTGAAACGTGACTTATAACACAAAAAAAAGTTATATTAAACCATAGTGTCGGGTTCAAAGCCTTTTCCGCGAAATTCTGAAAATTATCTCTAACTCTCCAAAATTTATTCATTATTCAAGCCCGGCACAGCCCAAAAAGCTCAAATTTCCTTGAAAACGAATATCAATCTTTCTTACTACAAAAGTCATGTTAATGTTCATTATTTCACGTAGAGTTTGACACAAACTATGATTTTAAGAGTAAAAAGAATTTTTCGGTGAAAACTTTTTCAGCGAAATTTTAAAGTTTTTTTTCGAAGCCCGGCCTGACGCACAGGTTTGGACACTGGTGACGCGAAACGGACGTGCTCCGGACGTTTCTGGACATTTCTAGGGATGACTTGAGAGTGCTGACGCTACTTAAGTTGTCACTAAAAATGCCCAGAACCGTCTGGAGCACGTCTGTTTTGTGATTACCAATGTCCAAGTCGTTTTGGAAATTTCAGATTTTCACATGAAACTTACATTGTTGTCCAGAGCGTACGTGAGCTCGCCAGAGTCAAACAACGTGAACCATCGCCGTTGCCATCGCTGAAAAAAAGTTTTCATTAAGGTAAAATCAAAACAAATAAATAAAAAGGTCCAAAAGACCTTCAAAAAATAAGATTCTCAATTCAACATACTCTTTTGCCTCATTAACGGCTTCAATTTGTTTAGGCAATGAAAAAACTGATATTCTTTCAACGTCGGGAATAGTAAAAAATAATCCGCCTGAATTTCTTGTTTTGAAAAAATCAACTCATGGTCTCTTATTGCTCACTCATCTTTGTAGTTATCGATTAGAAAAAATAATCATAAGAAACTAAAAAGTTCTCGTGAACAACTTCGCAAAAAGGCAGAACTCAATTTATCTGTTCAAAAATGTTTCTCCTCAATACTGTCCTATTTTCTTTTTTTTTTTCAATAACCTCTCAACAAACAAAACACCTATACGAATGGCCGGTATCAATAAAAACGTACGCAGAATAAATATTTGACATTTGAATGATGAATCGTCTGGAAAAGAGAAAAAACGTGGAAAGAAAAGATATTGTATAAGGACGTGACTTCATCAAAAATTGAAAAATTCTTACAAAATTGATTAAATTGATAAAAAGATTACCTTCGCCGTGTGACTCTGAAGTGAAAAATCGAGGTTAGGCGGCGCCACGTAGAGGAATCCACAGGCGCTGACTTTGCGGTTCATCTGAAAAATTCGAAGTTCAGTACTGGAATGAGAATCCATGAAATAAAAGTCAAAAGTATCAGTGTAACGTCAAAATTACACCTATTCGAGTAGAGCATGAAAACAAAAGTTTAAAACAAAAAATTCCGTTTCATTTCGTCAAATTTAAAAAGAAAAATACACACTATTCCAAATGAAAAAATCCAACCGGAGAAATATCAAAACTATAAGGTTTTGGTTGCTTAGTGATCCGGTGAAAGTTAACAATCTTTTAAACAATAAAATCGGAAGAAAAAAAAAAGGAAATCTTCATATCAAACAAGGAAGGTTATTTTCCTTTTTGAAACAGTGAACTTTGAAAAAAAAGGCTAGAAAACTATTTGACATATGAAAGAAAGATAAACCTGTCCAGCCTGTAAAACTTTGATTTTCTCTAGAAATAAAGGCTCAAAGTCTCTCAAGTTTCACCAGTTTCAAAGCTTGAATTTGACTTTGAGCCCTTTTTCTATCGAAAACTAGTATTTTCGCAGGTTCGTTGGAATAAGGCATTTTCGTTGGAATAAGGCTTCCAGAATCTTCATTTGATTTATCAGAAAGTTCTTTAGTCACAACTCAGTGAAAATACGGCCAGAAAAAACCTAGAAACTTTTTTCAATCAAAAAGTCAACAAAAAAGCTTCTTCTAAATTTCGTGTCAGTTTCAGTGACTCGACGGAAGAAACATATGTTGGGAGGGTGGAGAATAGATATGCAAATGCAAATATACACGACCGACCGACGGCCGACAAATCGGGGGAGGCTTGGCGACGCCCGCGCGAAAAACCGTCGGCTGCCAATCACGGAAATCAAGTCAATCCAATTTCATGGAGAAAAAACGACTATTTTCTAGCTTGACGGGTGTTGAATTAGAGAGTAGAGGTCGTTGGAAATGAGGTGAAACCTGTCACTTTATAGAGTCAAAGCCAGAATGAAGATAAAGATTTTTCTTTGGAGCAGAGATAAATTCTAGCTTGAAGAGTGTCAAACTGAGAAAAGAGGTCGCTGAAAAAGAGACAAAATTTTTTTCATGATGAAAACAAAGCGAAAAGTATAGCTTCCTTAAAAATATAAAAAAAATTTCTCCTCTATGTTAGAAAAAAGTCAAATTGGAGAGTAGAAGCCGTCGAAATTGACTCCAAAACTGTCGCTTATTGTCAAACTTTTGTTGAAGCAAAAAAGGTACAGTTGTTCCCTTAATTGGGAAAAAAGCAACGAAAAACCCACCAAATTCAAACTTTATGAGTGTTAAAATGAGAGTAGAGATCGTAAAAATTGACGAGAAATATGTGATTCAAAGGGAAGTCGGAAAAAAGTCGGGGCTTTTGATAGATCTCGAAAAACCGATCAAAGTCTCTAGTTCATATTTTTCTTCTCAAGGAAGGTTAAGATTTAGAAGGAAATTGAAAAGGTTCTGGGAAAACAGGAGCCGACTTCATGAACATTAACGGGCAGAGAAAACTGGGTTAAAAGCTCATAAATGGGGATATTTTCAGGGGCGTTCTTTGCTGGTAGTGATATGAGACCTGAATATTTTGAATTTTGAACTCAAAATGACTTTGAATTACCAAGGAAAAATCCAGAATGGCTTAAAAAACGCCAAAAATAACCGGAAAACCAACGAAATTCTTCTATTTTCAATCAAACCACTACTAAACAAAGACCTGAGAACCGTCGGAAAAAGAAAAGGAGACGGCAACGAGAAGCCAAGATCGGGCAACTGAATAGAAATGCAAACGGAGGGGAACCGACAAAAGGAGCAGCTGTGTGGAAAACGAACAACCACAATGGTCTTGGCCATTTTTTGCCGTTTTTCGGCTTTCCTTTGCAGGGAGGTCGTCGCCGACAACACAGAGACTGAATTGTGTTCTATGTTTTGGTGATTTCAAGTGGAAATTGCTTGAGAAGATAAATGGATACTTTTCTGTCTTTTAAAGTTTGAGACACAAACTTGCGCTCAAGCAAAAAATGTTGTATCGCAAATTTCCTGGTAGGTCTTTGTTTTGAAAAAAAAAAACCTTCATTTACACAGCAACTTGTGCTTTCCAAAGTATTTATGAGGCATTTATTGTTTCAAAAAGATAATTATGAAGGAAAATAATTTTTTTGATGCGCATTCATATGTGAGAAGTATACAATAATGCAAGAGAGCCAAAAAGCTTTTTTTCAAATTGATCTAAATCAACTTTCTAACTGTTTTATCTCTGATAAATTCTTATTTAAAGCCTTTTTTCCTTCTCAAATCAATACGAAAGCTAGAAATAGTTTGTGAAAAAAAATTTTAAAAGCCATTAAAACATAAAAAACGTCGTCCTTCAATAACCACCACCGAGAAAAAAAAGGCAGAAAATGGCCAGGTTGTTGTGTTTTCGTGTGGTGTCGACAAGGCAAGACGGACGGAAAACGAGGTACTTTCCCGAAGGAAAAAAGCCATAAAAAACTGAAGGACACACCTAAATATGGCACTTTTGCAGGTTGTACACAACCATACCACGTGGCGGATGGTTGTAATTATTTTATTTTTCCGATTTTTCGCATTGAGAAAAAACTTAATGCATGGAAAACGAATTGAAAAAAGTTTAAAAAAAAGACAGCGGATGGAAAAATTCAAAAAAAGTTTGAAAAAAAGTTTGAAAAACCCAGATATAATTTACCAACAATAAATTCAAATCGAAAAAAACAATTTACAAACTTTATAACTCAAATTCGGTCTTAAAAACTAATACTTTCCTCTCAAGAAATGCTCAGAGAAACGGAAAAAAGTTTTGCTGAAGAAAACCTGTACCCAAACACAAACATACACCTACAAACGAAAAAATGAAACCCGAAACTGCCGAAAAAAGACAAAATAAATATGGGAGAAAAAATAGAACAAGAGCGAAATCGATAGGCCCTTTTTGCAATGCATTCTCATCTGATTCAACAAGTGTTTTGTGCAAATTCTAGATCCCTTTTTTTGAATTTGGAAATGAATGAGAAAGCGAAAATCCAGGAAATGAAAACAAAATTCTGGAAAATTGCATGGAAATCTTAGTAATAGCCATCTTTTATCATAATTTTTATTCTTTCCCATAAGGCTCTGAAAGTAAAGCCCACGACTCTTCACAAAAATCTTTGTAGTCAACTAATTTTTTACCACCTTCTTTTTTAGCCCGAAAGATTTTTCTATAAATCAACACAAAACTCAAGAAAACCAACAGCTTCCGGCCCTTTTGACCGAAAATTGCAAAATTGAAACTGGTTATCAACAAGAATTGTTATCAAATCAATTCTCAACTGATAAGCCGCAGCGAAACTGAATTGAGACAATAAAGTAACACAAAAATATTTATTTCGAAAAAGCGGCCCTTAAGAAGAGTACCTAAATGTGGAAAATTTGATGGTCGTCGTTAAATGATACCGAACTTATCGATAAGAATTTACACTGGAGTCGGATGTCCAAGATGGGAGAAAAAAAAGTGTTGCAAAAATTTGAAGTTCGAAAAATGGGAAAAATTCATGTCGGAATTTTAAATAAAAAACTGCATTGAAAAGGTAGTTTTTCGTATTTCGAAAGTTCTCAAATATCTGAAAAACCAATCAAGAGCCGATATTAGTAAAAGAAAAATTGAATTAAAAAAGCAAAATTTTCGAAATTTTTGCAAAATGATTCTGTCAAAAAAACTGAAGTGAGAAACGGGCTCTCAAGTCTTTAAAAAGATCAAAGATGCTCTCCGAAAAAAAGAAAAAAATTGCGAGAGGGTCATAAGAAGAGTAAAAGCACTTCAGGTATTCTCAGGAATCTCTTTGAATTTTTTTTGTATTTTTCGAAGCTCCAAAAGAACTGAATGAATTAATATCTTTCTATTAATCAGAATTTTTTTCATTGGATCCCGAAAAAGATAAAAACTCGAAAAATTTCTGAAAAATTTCAAAAAAGCTCAGGGTGAGTACCAAGAGAGTCATGGACCTTAAAATTGTTTAAAAAAGCTCAAAACAACCACAAAGCGAGATATTCCTTGAGAAGAAAAGGAACCAAAACCGTTCGCAGTTCTTGAGAAAACTCAAGCCTAAACCAGTCGCTAATGGAAAGTCGAAAAAAAAGAGAAAAATATGGGGTCGTCAATGTACGTGTGTGTGTGTGGCGGAACCTTTTCCCACCAAGTTCTCGCCTCGATATAAATCAACCTTCTATTTTGATTGATTTTTCCTCTTTTTTCGTGTCCCGATTTGGCGCCGCAAAAGTGTTCCTTTTTCTCTTTTTTTTTCCGTCTTCACACGCGATTCCCGTTCAGCCGCAACGTTCAATCTTCTTCATTCAAATGGATTCGCCGTTGGTTTAAGAGTTTAAAGTTTGGCCTGGGAAAGCGGCTTTGAAGAATGCATACTATTGACATACTTAATGGATGGGGATGAAAAAAGAGTATTTTTCGATGTTCGAGCAATAATCTATTCGCTACGACTTGAAACTGTCTGACCTGTCTGTACCCTCTTCTCGCTCACTGGCTGGCTCTTAGGAACGTTATCGAATAAACAAGACAGTGTCGCCAAATGATGAGAGAGCCAGAGAAGTCAGACCGTTTCGAATAATGGCAAAAAGAGCAGAGTCCTTTGCTTTTTATTTCTTTGAAAAAATTTTAGTTTTTCTCAATACTTGCCATAGAGCGTAAATGCTTGTTGAATTCTTCTTCAATCCCAAAAAAAAAAGATCAGCTCAGACGTTTTCAGGAGCAAATCAAAGCCTTTGAGAGCAGAAAAAAGGATAGTTAATAAATTTACTAGGACTAAACAAGAAGAAAAAAATATTATCTCGATAGAGCGCACTTAAAGTCAATAAATTGCTACAAAGTTTGAGAAAACTCTGAAACCTAAATTCTAGTGTCCAAAAATTCCTTCCGTTTTGTTTCAAGGAGCAGGTGCCACACTTAAAGAGAGTCTCGAGGCGAAAAGCCATTTTCAGTGTTATTCTATATCTTCAAAATGGAATTATTCGCTTTTCAACACAAGGATTTATATGTGAATCCAAAGAAACACTTTGAAAGAGTCGTTTTGAATCGGAAAAAAAAAGAAAGCGGAGAGATCGTCACGCCGTTTTTCCTTCAGATTCTTTGTGAAAAGTTTTGAGTTTTGAATAGGAGACGAGGTGATCCGCCGCGCGGATGCCCATTGAAGCGAAGTCGCGTAGAGGGGAAAACCGGCCAAGGTCCGCGTCATTACAAGTTTGAACAGGGAGGGAGAAAAAGAGGACGAGAGAGGAGGGTCTACTTTCAGATGATACGACTTTTTCAAGTCGTCCGCTCATTTTCGACTGCGCTTTTGAAACATTTTCTCAGAGAGACGGTTTGAAAAGTCGTCAAAAGACAGTAATTCTGAAGATCCGAGTTAGGAAAACCTTCAACTAGAATCAAAAAAGAGTTTCTCAAGCTAATTTCGAATCTGGGCTAGAGATCTTTCGAGAAAGTCTTTGAGAAAAGTTCTGAGATCTCAAGTTGAAAAATTACTGATCTTATGTTAAAATGATGTCAAAACAATGCCAAAAAAAACCAAATTTAATTTAATGATCATAAAATAGCCTCGACAACTAAAAAAAAAGAATTATTTTTCCTATAAATAACGATCTTTTCACAAAAACTGTTCTATCAACAGAAAATTGTCACAAAGATTGAAGAAAAAGAAAATTTTATCCAATTTATCGAAAGAGCGCACTTGCCGTCAAAAAGAAGCCAACCATTTAAATTAGCCTTGCAGTTCAACTACAGGTCAGAAACTATTTTCAAGGAATCGGAGTTAATTTTAAGACTTTAAAAACAGTCAATTTTATCGGAAGAGCGCACTTGACGTCGAAAAACGGCCACCCACTCGAATCTTTTCAACTTTTTTCCTTGTGAAACGGAATGGAAGACAAGAAAAATGGGATCCACTGAAGCCGAAGTCCGACTTGATTCGACTTGACTTGACCACACATACATAGACGGCCACTTGCCTAATTCGTCGTCTTCTCCGTAAAATGGCGGTTTTATGCGTCTTTTTTTTGCTTTTTTTTTCTGCCTCTTATCTATCACTGTGGGAAAGAAATCTTCAAACGAAATTGGTTCTAATGGACCCGGTTTGAGCTTGATTCATGAGGAGTGCACTGGAAAAGGTGCACATAAATCAATAAGATTAGGTCAAGTCTCAAAAAATACTTGAAGTTGTCAAGTGGAAAACAATTGTAAACGACTTTTCACTCAAATTTTTCGAGTGTTTTTATAAAATTACAAGTCGAGTGACTGACAAAAAAAACGAAAATTGTCACTTTTTCAAGTACCTCATTGAGCATTGAAGTAAACACTACAATGGAAAAATAAATCAAGAAAAAAAGGAAGTTTTTCTTAATAAATTTCGAACTATTAAAGAACCTTTAAAAGAGATGATCAAATAAAATGAGTACACACACTAAATCATTCACTTTAGTAATTTTATTTGGGTCCATTTAGTCTAAATGGACCCAAATAAAATTACTAAAGTTTATCCCAGATATTAAAAAAAAATAAGCTAAGAAACTTGGGAGAGTCTCTTTTGGATGCCTTATCAATAGAGCCTATTAGTGCGAAAAAAAAAACGTCTCAACCTTTTTAAGGAAATGTTTTTTTGTTGTCTGAACCTAAAAACTAATTAGTCGAAAAAGAGATTGATAGCTTCCTTTCCTATTCAAATAGAAAAAAAAAATAATCGAAACGAAGGTCCAAAGAATAGAACAAAAGGAAATAATGAAAAGAGAAGAAATCGAGGACGAACATTTTTTCGAAGCAAGAAGCTTGGAAGTCGGTTTTCTTGAATGTACAATCGATAGAGCCAATGGGTGAAATGACTCCTCAACCAATTAGGAAGACTTTTTCCATTGTCTGAGCCTGATTTTAAGACCTCATTTATCCATAAAAAACGGTGAACCCTTTTCCAAGAGATCTATCATCACAGAATGAATAACTGAAACCTCTGGAAGAAAAAACTCAAAACTAAGGTGCAAGGAAGGCGGGAGTGGAAGAGAAGAAAAGAATAAAAGGAGTGGAAATCGAGGACGAACGCTTTGGCGACATTCACATCCTCGTTTCTCTCTTCTCGTCGTCCCGCACAGAGGCCGTTCGTCGTCGCCGTCAAAACAACCAAATCCCCTTGTATACATGTCCAAATTCGTCTCGAGAAACGAGGTGGGAAAAAAAAATCGAGAATGAGAGCTACTTTCCGTTAAAAGGGGTTTTTTTGAGTTGCTTCAAGGATTAGTTTAGTTCAAGTTAAGAAATTGACCCCATTTCAAAGATTTTGGGGGAAAGCAAAGACTCGAAAAAATTATGAATATCACGCTTTGCAAAAAATCAGAAACTTGAAATAAAAAGTTACGTCGGAAGATGCGAAATACGTATAAATTTGATACTTCGAATGAGCATCCGGTGAAGAAATCGCAAACGCAAATAAATATAACAAGTGATAAAAAATGTACCCGATTAGGATGATAACCAGGTGTTAGCATTATATTTTCTAAAAGTCCGAAGAAAAGTCAACTTGGTTTTAAATATCTACTTATTATGGTTCTATGTTTCTTTTCTCACACAAAAAACTTTTTTTTCTTCACAGGTGGGGTTAGTTAATCCACCTAGTGGTCTTTTTCCCTCCCTGCAACATCACCATACCATTCTGATGTTGCGAAAAAAATAAATAAATTGAAATTGAAATTGAAAAAAATCAAAAAGCGTAACATTTCTTTCAAATTAATAAATTTTTCATCAATTCAGCGTAAAAAAACTTTAATAATAAACCTTCTGGTGAAACTGAAGTTCTGAACTACATTTTTATATCTGAAACTAGAGAAAATAATCAAAATTTTTCGAAAAAGAAATATTTTTGAAGCAGGCTGGGATAATATCTCTACACAATAATGCCAACGGTCCGCTCTGAAGTTGACTGGCCCGTTTTCGTCTTAAAAATTTCAACTTGGAAAACAGTTTCAAGATTCGAAATTTCGGTGTGCAGGAAGGACTTTAAATCCGCAAGTGCTCTTCAGAGCTGACCGTTGGCATTGGCGATGCCACAGTCCGTTCTGAAATCGAAAGAACCAAGAAAAAAAGTTTCTGAAAGAGCACTCGAGGAAAAATGAATCCTATTCGAGTTTCGAAAATGGTCAGACGGAAGGCTGCACTCTGGGAAAAAAATTATAAGGAATCGGATTGAAAATGACGGTACCACCTGAAGAATTAATTGAATTATGATTCGGAAAAGCATAATAAATTTGGGTTCGGAAAAGTACACAACCGATTCGGAAAAGTACGATTCGGAAAAGTATCGGTTCGGATTTCGATTCGGAAAATCCCGGTTCGGAAAAGTATCGGCCTAAAAAAAAGCTAATTTACTCAACAAAGCACGATCTCATAGGAAAATCTGTTTCCTTTCAAAATTCCAAAACAACACCAAACACCATTATCAAATGTCTTCAGGAGGAGGAAAGCCCAAAATTGAAGAAGAATAGGAAGAAACACGTTGAAACAATGGGGGGTTTTCAACGGAAAGAGAGATTGAGAAAAGTCGGTCAGCCACCGAATTTTCCCTCCTCCTTTCTTCATTTCGGAAGACAAATCCGCGATAACCGCAATTAACATTGGGTTTTGAGTGGATTTTCTTCGTTCAGTCAAGAATTTTTGATTATTGCCTTCTAGAAACAGCGAAAAAAAGAGGATAGAAATAGGATACTTTTCTGCCAGGAAAAATTTGAGAGAAGCGCTCGGAAATTTTTCAGTTCAATTTGGCAGGAAAAACGGTTCCGAAGGGAATTTTTTTTGCCATTTTTTAAAACAGTTTTAAGGTTACCTTTTCCATATTTGGAGTCCAAAAAGACTATTTTTATGAACTTTTTTGCTCTCCAATGGCTCTCTAGTTGAAAAAATCACAAGTTTCTCTCAATTGACAATCCCACTCAACGAAAAAAGTTCTTTATCAATATCTGACCTCGAACTCGATGAATAGGAAAGTTCCGATTGGAGGAAAACATTTTTCCAGAAAAATTCTGATCTGATTTTTCAATATTATTCGTCCCAAATCATGCAAATTTCTTTTTCCAAATTGTGTTTTTCAAGACAAAAAGAAGGGAAATTCAAGGACGATGCCGGGAAAGGAGTTTCGCGTGACCTCTGACGCATCAACAAAATTCTCTAATTTCTCAAAAAGACGTGAATTATTTTTATTTATTGATCTATTCTATTGACTGAGGCTGTGGGGTACAGCCTCTTTTTTTTGATAAAGAAAGAATGAAATACAGAAAAAGATTATGAATCATATCCATAACTTCTATAACTAAGAGAAAGATGTTTTTGACTGCATCTTTTAACCAAATCACCACATAAGAGACCATCTTCTTTCAAAAAAAGTCAGGAAAAAGTTCAGAAATGGTACCTTGGCCTTTTCCAAACATTCGGCCGAGTGTTGCTCCTTCGGTTTGTAGCAGTTCTTGCATTTCCCCTTGTTGAATATATTTGCCTCGAACCGGGTACATTGGTTCATTCCTGAAAGAAATACAAATAAAATCACGAGATTTTTGAAAGAAATACACAGAAAAAACGCACGATTTCAAGTTCCTCGATAAAATATGATTGAGAAAGTTTGAAATGAGAAAATATCTTGTAAAATTCGAAATTCTTTGCTAAATTTTAGTCATTACGTGTATAAAAAGTGGAAAAAAACAGGAAAGATTTTTCTCAAAAAAAGGGTATTTTTCCTAGTCAAAAAAATTAATTCAAAAATTTTTCTTTTTTTATAAATTTCTTTTATTCAATTGATTATTACCAGAAAACTTTTCGAAACGGCAAAAAGGTCAATTTTCCGTTTTGAATTCGAATAAAAATAAATAGGATAAATCTCTCATAAGTTCCACACAAATCGAGAAAAAGAACAAAAAAGTTTCTGTTCAAAAAAAAAAACCCAAAACGCTTTGATGAAAATCTATCTTTCCTTGAAAAAGTTTCGAAACCCCTGCGAAACTCAATCAAAACAAAAACATCAAACTTTCAAACAAAGACGAGGAAAGTGTAAAAAAGAGGATTTCCATTGTATCGGACCAAAAAGACAGAACGGAAGAGGAGATATATCTTGTGGATACAGAAAGGAGAAAATAGCGTCAATGAACGATCACAAGTTGAGATGACCCCGATCTCGTCAAAAACTATATGTAATGAAAATGTTGGGTCAGAGTTCGATGTTCGAGTTTCTCGCTGTATATATTTTATTAAGAACCGAGGGAAAAAAAAAAGAAAAAAGAGGCTGAAAAAGTCTGAAAAAAGGAATGATTGAAACGCCTTTTCAACTTTTTTTTCGAGGAAAACGGAAAATTTTCCCATATAAGCGAATAAAGAGCCGAAAAAACCTTTTCATTCCTTTTGAATATTAGGAGATAATTTTTGCGCCTTTCAGGGGAATTCGAAGAAACTTTCTCTCAACTTTTTGAGATAAAAATTTGAAACCTTTCAAAGCTTTTTTTCATGAAAATTCATCTCACAAAAATTCTTTCTGGCAATACAAAAACGAAAAAAGTTTTAAGTAAACAAAGTAAATTTAGTCTAAATTTTCAACTTTGGAAAAGTTTTTCCATAGTGATAGAAAGAAAACTAGAGCTTCGTATCAAAAACCGTTCTCTAAGGCGTCATTTCCATTCATTTCTTCGCCCTTTCTCTATTTTTTTTTTCTTTTTTTGTTCCGTCAACGCTTATTGTTCAATTTTCGCCGTCGGGGATGGTTTTCGAAAAGAAATTGTATGGTAAGGAGAGTTAATTGAAGAACTATATCAAGCTTTGGGAAAAAAATAATTAAATGTCAAAACAAGCTGGAGCCATGAAAAAATTGATAAGAAAACGAACTTTACAATGTTTTTCAAGAGACGGAAAAGGGTGAAACAGTAAAAAATGAAAAACGCCGAGGAAAACAATGAAGACACGAAATTTGATTTATTGATGAGGATTCAAAACAAAAAAATTTTGTTTCCCCATTTCACCGAAAGTCTATCTTTGGCTTATGAAGCTCAGAAAAAAGGAAAAAGCTCACATTTTACTCCAAAATAGTCCCATGAAATGAAAGAAAAATTCAATTTTTCACGGGACTTAGAAAAAAAGGATGTTGATTTTTCTCGCTTTAAATTTTGAAATCAAATCAACCTTCTTTATCTCAAATTTCAGATTTTTTTCCATGAAGATTTGCTGCCCTCATCCATTTAAATTCTCAAGAAAGCCCTAAAAAAAGCAGTCATAATGCACCATAAAAGTATAAGAGCCCCCAGAAGCTGTATCCGAGCCAATAGCCATCAAAATTAATGAAAAAAATACGACTTTCTTTTTCTCAAATTTTCGAAAAACTTTTTTTCCTTCCCACTGTAGAAAGGTCGAACTACAAAAAATTGAGCCACACTCAAAAATGCATCTAAATCCATCAAGAAACCCCACAAAAGAAGTCGAAATGCTCCATAAAAGGACAAAGAGAGAAGCCCCAAGAAGCCATGTCCAAACAATGCTCTTGGTCGATTGTTTACGCGGCGTTCTCTTGTTTCTCAGCGTGAACAATTCTCATCATCATCATCATTTTCGTCATAACCACCAACCCCAAAAATGCTCCATAATGAGGCGCGAAATATGGGCGCCTAATTTCCTTCTAGGCTCTCATCTTGGACTCATTCTCTCACAGAGAATCAGGAAATTTCCAGACTCTGACAGAGAGAACGATGAAAAAAAGACATTTTAAAAAAACTAAATTCTGACAGAGTATCCGAGTAAGGTATTTTTATGAAATTTTTAAGAGTTTGGTAAATGGACTATTTTTGATTCAAGTCGAAAGGAGTCAACCTTTGAATCTACACATGAATTTTTTCTCACTGATTTCGATTTTGAGCTCAGAAGTAGTTTGGAAAACTTGAATTTTATCTCTCCAGATAAAATTTTAACGCTGGTTCCTGAAAAGCTCCGATTCTCAAACTTTCTCTTGAGTATTTGTAAGAATGTTCGGACCGCAAAAATTTCAAAACTCAAACTTCTCAGTCCAAATTCCTAATGAATGGTAGACAGAGGTCACAGAGGTAAATGAGACCCGAAACTGGAGGAGCAGCACAAAAACCAACGCCAAACTTCCTGGTACTATCAGGTCAAACTCAGAGTGAGATAGAACACATAATGAGATGCATGAGCTGGGGAAACGGAAGGAAGAGCACTAAAACAAAGAGTTCTCATCAGGTCGAGCTCAAAGGGATAAAGCACATGATAATGAGACTGAAGTAACAGCTCCAGACCAAAAACTCGAAAACCGAGTTTTGGGTGAGTTCTTGTCGGGTGAAAATGGCAAGTAGATTAGCCATGGATGGTGGCGAGTGCGTGGGACTCGAAGCGCGACAAATCGAACGGGTCGTCGTCGTCGTCGGGAGCCACCAACACCGGACTCGAACAGATTATTATCGGTCGCTGTCTCACGCATACACAACAACGAGAGAGAGAGGGAGATACGCTGTGGGAGCCGTCGTTGCGTGACCTTTCATGCGTTCCCGTCGGCTCCGATTTCAAAAGGTGAGATCACTTTTCGAAGCTCTTCAGAATTCAAAAAAGACCCACTATTTTCAAAAATTCTCGAGATTTCAAGTAATTTAAATGTTCATCCTCTCGACTTTGCTCCCAAAGCTCAAACTGGGCGCATTTTTTTAAGGAACTCTTATGATTTTCAAAGAACTTCCAAGACGATTTCCGAGCTCAGACTCTGAATCAACCTGAGATACGACTCGGAACAGAACCAAGTTATCAACTTTGAGCAGCGATAACTGCTTTCGCCAAAAAGTCTTCTGAGAGCTTTTTTGGGATGAAAAAGTATCGGTCGGTCAACAGCAAGAATCCCTTCAATTGAGCCTTTTAAAAAATAGTAACGCGAATTATTTCAGAGACTATCTCCTCTTCCTGTCAGTTAGCTTTTTTTGAGTGGCTTCGAAACGTTTCTAGAAACTCTCTGAATTCAACTCGTCTCCAATTTTTTGGCCTAATTTTGGTCCTTAAATTTTTTTCTTGTTGCTGAAACCGATTTCCTAGACGTTCTGAGCTGGGATTATTAACAAAAATTTCAGTTTGGAAACTTCAGAAATGAAATTTAAAAAAAGTCACGAAATTCGCTAATAAAGCTCTCAAATGGTCAGTAAAGTTATTGACTCAGCTTGGTTCAAAAAAATGGCAAAAGAAAAATTTCGACGTTTATCAGATAGAATTTATCAGCTCACAGCAAGCTTAATACGAAAAAAAATGCATGGGTCATGTTTGGGCTTTTTGAGAACAGATTTCCGAAAACTGGTTTTTCTGTCATACTTTCCTACAAAAAATTTTTCCGAAAGAGAAGAAAAAACGTAGAAACTTGGAGATAAGATCAAATTTTGAGGAGGTATCCCAAAAAAAGACTGGGAAACGGATCAAGATATACGGTGGCAAAAATTGACAAAACATGCGAATGAAATGAGGCGGGCTGGAACAAAGGGGAGAGCGGCGAAGCGGGATCTCTCTCTTATGTTTATCCAGGGCTTTTTGCGGTTTCTCGGCTCGCCCTCCGAGGCCGACGGATTCCGGAATCCCTGTGGCCACTGTCTCTGGCTGCTGACAGCCCACTCGAAACATCTGTACAGATTTCTGTACCAATAACTTGTTTCTTTCGTGTCCTTAGTAAACAGAACAACGGGGTGAATCCAAGATTTCACAGGAAAACTGAGAAATTAGAGGTTTTATTAGCTTTTACTTAAAAAACCAAGGATTTTTCCCGTTCAAAGAAAAAAGTCTAAAAAAAATATTTTTCTAGAACTTTGATTGATTGTCAAACTTCTTGGGTTCTATTCGGAAAGTTTTGGCTAGATTGAAAAATCAGAGAGTTTGAAGTTACATATTTCTGTACCAATACATTTTTTCTTTTCTGAGTAAAGAGAACAACGGAGGAGATCTCAGCTATCACAGAAAAACTGAGAAACTTGGGTTTTCTAATCTCAGTGCTTGATAAAGATTCTATTTGACGAACCAATGATTTTCCTCTGCTTACAGAAAAAAGCCGATTTTTCAAGAGCCCTGCATGATGCTCAAGTTTCTTGAAATTCTTTTTTCGAAATGGCTCCAAAACAAACTAAATGACGTCATTTGAGTTCAAAAAGAAGTATTTTCTAAAATGATTCAAACATTTTCGAAGATGACGTCAAATTTTGAAAAACTTTTGCAGAAGACTTACTTTTTAGGTTTTTTTTTTATGATTCTCCGTATTCTTACCAACGTGTCCCACAACTTAGAAAAGCCTTCAGACAAAACAAAAATTCAAAACCGATAAAAACAACTTTGAACATTCTCAAGTGGTCTCTTGGCCGCCTAGTTCCTATATTCAAGCTTTGACATACTTTTAAAAAAATTAACAAAAAAAATTTTCATAACTAGAATTTAATGGGAAAAGATCAAAGCTACGCAGAGAAAGCAATCCAAACCTTTTAGGACCGCGCAAAAAAGTTTCACATTAACGACAACCCCAGCAGCCAACCAACCAAAAAAGGGACCATGTCAAAGGGCACGGTATGATGATTCAGACAGAACTTGTCTCGGCCATTCATGCGTCTTTTGCGCGGAAACAATGGGACCAAAAAAGGAGAAAAAAGAAAAGAAAGAAATGGTGATTTGAAAGATGCTACAACCAACCTAGCAAACATACTTACAGTTTCATGACCTAGGTGAACCATTCTTCAACAAAAACCAACAAGGAGCCAAATAGTCCCCTCAAAAACTTCAAAAAAAGCGAAAAATTTTGAGTTTTCCCCCCAAAAAAAAATCCAAACTGCAAGAAAAGATCCTACTTTGAAGGCCACTTTACCTTTAGGTTAGGAACTTTTTTTCAATTGGTCAGATTACTTCTCGATGTACCAGACGAAGGTACTGTAAGTGAAATCCTGCAAAACCTATTTATTCGAGAAAAGACACCTCAAAGTCAAACAAAACAATGAAACACTCTTCAAAATGGGCAAATTACAGACTTTGAGATCATAGTCCTCAACAACTGTGGAGTTATGCAGAGGGAGAGTTTCAGGATCTTGAAAACACATCAAAAAGTGTTCTGGCCAACTTTTCAGAAAAAATCCCAACCGCAAAGTAGACTGATCTTCCTAGTGAGGTCCTCATAAAAGATTCGGAATCCATCTAGCAGTGTTCCTCCGTTCCCAGAGCCCCGATTGAAAATTCCAAACATAAACATAAACTCGGAGGGCGTAAAGCGGCTCTCCAAGAGAGGGAGAGGGCAAAGAGCAATAAACGTGGTGCTTCAAGTGCTCGACTCCCAGAGCCGTGTTGGTTCCCAGTTCCGGTCTGGCGCAGATTTCGACCCCATTACTTCAAAATCGACGTTCAAATGGAGTCAAAGCCACTAGAGTCATGCCGTGTTCAAAGTGATTTCGCAAATTTCAAAACTCCGATCAGAGAGCGGAAAAGATAACTAAATTTTGGAGAGTAGAGACAATTTTGCGTTTCGCGGAAATTACTTTGAATACGGCATAAAGAAAAAAAGGGTAACTACGAAAGTTTGGACGATACGGACGTCAATTTTTTGGAAAGTTAGGACGTATTTTGCATTCGTAAAAAACGACTTTCACAATAATGAGAACGTAAATTTTTCTTTTTTTCTTTTTTTCAAATTTCTCGATGATACTTTCGTTTTTCTGATGAATTTTAGTTTCATTCACGGAAGTTAGAAAATATATTAACTTGTTTAAAATGCAAATATTCTAAAATTATTCTTTCCCGTTTTTTTAAAACCTTGAAATTTAATGCTTATTGGCGGTTCCCCGCATCGGTTCGGCGCAAGTTCCAACTCCATAACTTCAAAATCCACTTCCAAATATAGTCCGTCCTACGCGACTCGACAGTTTCCGAGTGTCTGAGTCTCTCTGTTCCTTCACCGGCAAGGTCACAGAAACGCGAAAATAGCGCTTCACCAAGAGAGAGTCGTTGAGAGACGAGGAGGGCGCAGAGAAGTCCCGCTCTTTCAAGTCACGAAAAACGGAGTATAAGCCGAATCAAGTAAATATCAGTATAATTGGGCTATGAAGTTCTGGGAGAATCTCCTTTTGAAACTCGAAAACTTCGTAGAATTGTAGGAATTAGAAAAATATTTTTACACTCCTTTATAAAAAAATATGAAAAAAATTTTTGTCCTAAATAAGCGTGAATCGAACTTCGTTTTGGTTTTGTAAAAGAAAGAATTTCATAATCTATATCTTGAACTCATTTGAAACATCGAAGTTCGGCAGAAGTTTGGAAGGGAAACCTCTTTTAGTTTAAAATGAAGAGTCAATTGAACTCATCGGACCCCAAGGACTCAAATTAAGGTTGAGAGTATGATGAAAAACTTCCGAACCAAGTATTTCTACTTGAAATTGTCGAGAAACGTAAAGTAGAAAAAAAAATTGGTCGATATACGGCATTTTCATCCTTAAAGTTAAAATCCTAAGAAGTTCCTTTGATTAGGGGGCGCAAAGCCCCGCCCCTTCACGCCACCAAAATGACGATTTTTTTTGTTGCAAAAACGGTTTTGAGGCGTTTATACTAGCTAAAGTCCCACTTTAAAAATGAACTGTTTCTGTTAAGCTATGTAATCGACAACGCTCTACAAGACTGAATATTTTTTTAAACTATGTATTTTTTTCAAAAAAATAAGCGAAAAAAAGTAAGATTTAACACGAAAAAAACTGACAAGTTTCACAAAAATCGTCGCGTTTCAGAAAACCAAGTGAGGAACGCTTCTAAATTTTTAAGTATGTTATACATTAACACTTTCTTTATTTTTTTGAGTGAAATTGAAAAAAATCTACCGACGCGAAAAAAATATTAAAGCTTGTAAAGTGACACCAAACTTTGAAGCTGAAATGCGAAAAAAAATTTCAGCGACATGGTATACTTTTTATTTGATTTAAAAACTAACAGTGTGTCCAAAAATAAAAATTCAAAATGAAAATAATTATTGGGACAGCGAATCAAATTATATTTGAGTTTTACCAAAACCTCCTTTTTCGCCTGCCTCGTTGACGCATGAGAGAATAGGATCGCGTCTATACTTTTGATCAGGTTATTAAGCGTTCAAAACTCCATCAATGAAAAAATTATGAAAAAAATCGATACGGCTTTGAAAACCTCGAAAAAATGGCAATTTTTTTTGAAATTTTGGAGGATTTCGTGCAAGTGTCCGTAGCAGTGTTTGGTCAAACACACCGATGCGCCCCTTTTAAATGTCGCAGGAGCCGTTTTTTTCGGAGTCAAATTGCACTTTTTTTCCTGTTTTTATTTCGAAATAACATTATTTTTTTCATTTTTTTCTTTTTTTCCAAATCGAATGATAATAATTTTTTTCTGAGTAGAAAAAAAGAAAAAAATAAGCTGAAAAAAATCCCTTTGACCTTTTTTTCTAGGTAGTTTTTTTGATATTTTATCAAAAAAATTCTTATGAGGATTGTACAAAATATTCATACCAAAACATGAAGCGCAGTTCGGACAACCTCTCAGAACAGAAAACCGATTTAAAAACGGTCCAGAAACGCGCAAGAACATTTAAAAAGAAAGCGTGCGGCAGCGGGTAAACCGTGAGACTTTGCCTCCAGTTGAACGCCGCGCGCGCTAGTTTTTTAGCCATAACTTTTTTCTTAGTGGAGCTTTTTTCTAAAACTGAACGGATTATGAAAATGGACAGTCTCCTCTATCGAACAATGTGAAAAACATAATTTTTGAATCGTTCTGAAGAAATGGCTAGCGGTCCCTACCTTTGATAGCAATTTTTTGAACTTTTATTGCGAACAATTCGAAAAGTCTTTCTCAAGAAGGAGTTCTTAACATAAAGGAATTGGGAAAGTAAAATTTTTCTTTTTGCAATTTTGAAGCAGCTTTTTTTCAAAAAAATATAAGCTACTTTTCTTCAGACTTCTTTTATGAGTGATTTAGTTGTGAAAGTTTAACTCAGGGATCAAAAAACATGGGGAAAAACCCTCGAAAAAACCCAATTACATCATTTTTCATAAAAAGGCCCTTCAAAGAAGGAAAATAATAAACTCCCGAACAAAAGTAACAAAAAGCTCGTTTTTCAAATTGAGCGTTCCTACACATATAAATCTCTAGCAAAAAGTGTAACCCGCACTGAACCCAAAAAATGTGAACTTTTCGTTTGAAATTTTCGGTGCACTCCTGGGGCAATCGGTCGGAAAAGACTCATTCAAACTACAGTAACATCTTATAAGGAAACTATAGAAAAATGATTCGTGAATTAACCATTTATTGATTGGGTACGGAATGAGCGCCTTAATATTCATTTACATCAAAACGGGGCGCACCCTTAGTTTCTTAGTAATGTCAGTTAGTGACCACTCTAGGGAAGAATGCCAGTGGTCCTTCATACGTCGTTCAATAAGTCTTTTAACTCTATACTAACAGCTTGAGGAGCTCAAGGCTCAGGCTCTAAGCTCCTAGAGGGAGCACTTTTCCTCTTTTGAGCTCTATTCTTCACCTAACCTCTACAAGTACCACTCTGGCGTTTTAAAGTTTGTTAGAGACCTAAAATTTCACGTCAAAACCTTCTAACTTCCTTCAAAATCACAC